TGTTCCGTTTATTTAGTCTTCTCCTGGTTTTATTTGAGTGTATTTTGTGTTTCTGTTCCCCTATAGTCCAGACTTGTGAGTTTTCACTTTGTGTTTGACCCTCTTTCCCTCCTGTTCTCTGTGTTTTATTCTCTAGATCAGTTTTCAGTGTTTATTTCCTGTTTTATTTTGTAGGAGTTGATTCCTTGTGTTTCTAGTCTGCTTTTACTTCCCTCGTTTACCCTCCCTCGTTAATCACTAACAAGTTTCACCTGTGTCTCGTTAGCCTCACCTGTTGCTAGTCTCCCAGTATGTATATAGTCTTTTTCTTCCCCTCTGTCCTGTTTAATTCATTGTGTGTCTGTGTGTGTATGTCTGCCAGTTTACTGTGATCCTCCATGTGTGAATCTCTAGTTCCTTGTGTTGAATGTTCTCCTAAAAATACTCACAATAATACACTATTATTAGTATTATTATTATTATTATAAAACATTTTGTTATTATTTTATATATTTTTATTTTTAATTATTTTTAATTATTATAGTTATTAATATTATATATTTTTTGTTAGAATTATTTTATATATTTTTTTTATCTTTTGAAAATGATTAATTTCATAATTATTTTAATTTTTATTCTCATTATTTGTATTATATATTTTTTATTATTATTTTTATTAAAACTATTATTATTATTATTATTTTTTATTATTATTATTATTATTATTATTATCATACATTTTTGTCATATTTTTATAGTTTTTTTTTTTTGTTTGTTTGTTTTTTTAAATCATTTTTATTATTTTCGTCAGAGGGCCCCAATAAGCAAAAACTGCTTTGGCGACAGGGGGCGCCAAAACTCACACAAACTGAGAGTTCCTCACAGGAGCTTTAAACAAGCATGTAAATAATTCACTAAGTTCACTAAAACAAGCTTTAAATCATGGTCCCAAAAAAACAAAGTTGTCCTAAAACCACTGGTTGATGTCGCAGAAGCCCCGCCCACTTTGATCCTGTGGTTTGCAGACAGGACATCTGTACGGAGCAGAGTCTGTTTTGACTCTGAACTGTGATGAAATTAATGTAACTCGAGCAGATACTGTATCCTGGACACAGTACAGAAGGGGATTAGCGATTATGGTATTAAAAAATGAAACATGATATGATGTTTTTTCTATAGGGAGAAAAAAAGAAGCATCGGCAACAGCTTGACTTTCTGTGCGTTAATAATGCAAATGTTGCTATAAATCTGACACGTGTGGCAGATCACATTCATATTAGTAATCCCCCTCTAATCTGACCATCTCCCATTCCTCAATATTCACTAATCTGTCCGATCCATATTCCTCCTTATTCTATATCACTATAACATAATCTATACTAACCCCCTCCTGCCCCCAAACAAACCGCCATTAACGCCTGGATAAGCGTGTAAATCCTCCGATAATCTCGGCTCTATAGCTTCCTCACGCAACAGCCTGTTAGGAGACCTTTGCTGTCTGTTTGTTGGCTGACATGAACATGAACAGAAATATAAACAAGAGGGTTTTTTCTTTAGCGAGTGTGTTTTTGTCGATGGAAGCGCTTATTTTTCAGATTTTACATGCATTTAAAGCTGGAAGATTTCTAGTTTAAACAGATGTTGTCTGATAAAGAAATAAGCTCTCGGAATATGTGCTTTAAAACTGTACGAGACATAAAAATAACACTAAAGCTTCATGTTTTTCATCTATTCAAGCTGCAAACTGTCTAAAAGTGGAGAAAGGGGAGCAGGGAGAGGAGCAGGAGGCGGAAGGTGTGTGTGTCTGAAAAGCCAAGGGACGGCGTAAACATAGTGAGAGAGAGGCTGTAGCCATTATGTGTTTGAACAAGAATGAACAAGCTCACGTTTCTGAACCCAGACAGTCAACGGTTTGGAGTGCGAGAGCCTCTCTGTTTGTAGTAAATATAGGTCTAGCCATGTTCATATGTGCAAAATTTCTTTATCCGATCAAAAATTTGAGTGATCAGATAATCCGAATCCACTGTTTATATGGGCGCAAAATCAAATAATGCGAGTTTTATTCAGATTAGAAGTTTTTGGACATGTGCAGAGTTGTCTAATTTCGCTAAAACAACCACAGAAGAAGAAGAATCATTTACGCAACAAACCAACAAACGCGGTAGTGTCTCACTCTATCCAATTCAGGAGTTTTCCCCCCTGTTAAATGTCGTCACTAGATGGCGCCCTTGCGTACTTATTAAGCTGTTCTGTCAAAGGTTGCTCTGCAACGTAAAGATGTGACATTATAACGCCGTTTGTACATCTTGTTCTGTTATCAGAGGACCAGGCACGGTACCTGAGTGTTAAAAATGAAACCTCCTTTTCTGGCCTCAATAAATAAACCAAAGGCTAAAGAGTGAAGATCGAGTCATGTTAGAGAGTCACGATCAAAATGAGTCTTCACATGGACGCGTTTCGGAATAATGATCAGCATAAACCACCCCTCTTGATCGGAATACAATTTCTTTCCTATTGTGCCAAATTGGATCAGAATTTTCCGATTTACATGTTTACATGACGTATTATCCCGATCGGGCCTTTATTCCGATCATTTGTGCCCATGTAAACGTAGCTAGTGTCCTTTTAGAGGCTATAGTCTTCATAGCAGCAGTCAGGTGTTCGATTCCAGACCATGACCGCTTTGATTACAACTGTTTGGGGGATTTGATTTAGACTCAGACTGGATTGATGAGGACTTGATGTAAATTTTGACTTTTAATTGCCAGTGTAGCTTATTTCGAGTCAAACGAGACATTGACATCATTTGCATAGGTTTAAATATTCTGGTTTACAGCTTAGATATAAACTTAAAGAGCAACAGGTCTTCCATGAATAAGTCCATCAGTCTGACCTCTCTCTAATGAAATCCATTAGATAATGAAGTTTTGTGTTTATTTATTAATCATGTAAAAATCTGAGAGAGAAATAAATCACCTATAATCATCATGTCGACATGTAAGCTTTGATTTTGATCATCAGGAAACAATAGTGGAGGCTCTGAACGTCACGTACATACAGTTTTAAAAAAAGAGTGGTAAGCTGCCTGTCAGTGTATGGATTTTAAATAGACACACACACACACACACACACACACACACACACACACACACACAGAGGATCAACGTGGATAATCCTCAGGGCTTTGAAGGCCATCTGTGGCTCCAACAAACTCCAATTATTTTCTCTGGTATCAGCAGGGGGCGCTGTAGGCTCGTCCATAAGTTCATGCACCTTCACAATAAAGTCAAGCACCAAGTTATTTATTTCAATGTTTCTCTTATAGATTAGGTTATAAACATTAAGTGTACTCAAAAGTGCTAGAAGGTATGACATAGAGAGGAAAGCATGAATAATGATTCCTTTACAAAGTTATATTTGAAACAGTTTTCTATGAAGCAAAAACTTTAATAAACTTCCATGTCCTACTCTGGATTTAAGAGAATTAAACATGTTCATGTTAGACGCAGCATCAATCATCAATCAAGTAAATACCGGAGACTCTGGCGGAATAACGGGCGCTTAAAAAGGAGGTAGACCGGACAAGAGCTAAAGCCTGGTCAACATCAGTGAACGCTTCATGATATTCCGAAACCTTTCTGCTGGACAGGTAAACCGCTTTAACAAAGTAAGACAAGTGTCTGTAACAGAAGTGTTTCTTGTCAAACGGACCTGCTGTAGCGTGTTGTAGCACAGCTAAACTGTTGACCTCGGGTCCTGGACTATGTCACTTTATCCTCGTTGTAGAAGTCCTGCAAACATTGTGTTTGCTGGTAGTCTGTTGGCATCTACAGTAGCACCAATGCTTTTGACTTTCACCTTGACTGGGCCCCATTTGTAATGATCTGAAGTATTTATCTGCATTATATCTGAATTTAATTGGAACGATACGAGCGAGCAGGAGCGTCTGTTTGTGGGCGGGGCTTGAGGGAAGAGGAGGAGCTGAGGGTTGGGAGGGGGTAGAGTTTACATTCAAGATTTCTCCCAAAATCTGGCATTTCCTCAGATCCTGCCTACCCCACCTTTAATCATCCCCAAAAAGTGAAGCCAAAACACTTAGAGCTCCCCCTACTGGTTGGCAGCAGTATGAGTTGTCCAGCCAAGCTTCTCCATGTTAACAGATGGGACATGGGTCAAAAATAAATATCAAACATTAAAATACAGTGTTTTCTTGAACATGGTTTCTGTCGTTATAGTTACTTACAGTTATAGTGTGTGCAAATACTAACAAACAAAAATATTACGAACATCGGATTAGACATTAGGAACCTGCTGTATGAAGTTAAACCAACAATATAAAAAGAAAAGGAATTTATAATTGGTTATTTTTACGTACATCTAATGCTAACTGGCTAGTTGGTTAGCTAGTTTGCACAATAAGTTCTCTTAAGGTGAAAAACATGAATGGTCCAAATTTTCCAAATGATACAAGACAAACTAAGAAATAAGAGTGCGTTATGACCTGCCGTATAGTGTTTCTAACTTTTCTACTTCAAAAATCCAAAATTTCCATTGAAAGGAGTGAAAGTTTCTCCCTCTATTCTTCCTTCAGATGTAGAAACTGAGAGGGGAATTAAGAGGAAGCCGAGGAGAGGGATTAGCTGTTCTTCTCTGACACTGACAGACAGTCTCTGAACATCCCTGCTTTGCTGAGTCAACGCTTCTCCTCCTCCAGACGCAGTTCAACATCAAGCTTCATCTCATACACGCTGCTTTAATACACACAAACACCATTGCTGACTTTCCGTTGTTGTCCCATGATGAAATTCCAGGATATTTCCATGTTGGAAGGTTGGCAATGGGTGAAAATGCAGGTCCAAAATCACAGTTTTTACTATCGTCAGTTTTCTAGTTTAGAGTCCAGCTGAGCAGTGAACACCCAACATCCAAGTCCATCCAGTCTAAGGAAAGTTTGAGGCCTTGTTCACACGAGGATGACCCCATGACCTGAGAAAAATCTCAGCGTAGAGGTTTTGATTCTCTTAGTTTCTCCTCTTTGCATTTTTCTCCTGTTGTAGTTTTTCAGCTTTCCATTTCTTGTACTGAGTGATCTCCGCCATCTGCAGCCCGTGAGCCATTTGCCTGTTGGGACAAAAGTAAAGGACATGATCGCGTCTTATGGACTATTTTGACTTTTTTTAAATTTCCATGGATGGATTAATGTGAGGCATGAAGAGGAGGAAAGTTGGCCCTACCCAGATTTGAGATCTGGAGGAACTGGCAGAGGTTTGGTGAATCCTTCTTTTCCCACCAGCCAGTATGTCTCCTCAACTCTTTTCCCCTGAGACAGAGACCGAGCGGAAAGAAGTTCAAGAGATTAAATTTGAACAAGAGTTGAATTTCAGATTAAAAGTCTTACCTGGACTTCCGTCTTTCCTCTCAGCTCAACCTTATAGCCGAGATTCAAGTCCCGCAAAACTTTGACTGTGCTCTCGTGGACGTGGATTCGGTAGGCTGCAGAAAATGAAAGGATTGGTTTGTATTTTCCCATGTGGCTGGAATAAACAGCAACGGAAAGGCCTCTACAAGACATCATAGCAACATGTCCACCAGGTAGTCCGGTTAAGTTTGGTTGGACACGGAACTGTACACTCAATTGTCAGAAATCTGTGCAGTACTACTCTTTTGTCCGAGGTTGTTTTGCTGAGAGCCTAGCGCAAAAATTGCCTCTATTGTCTTGCTACGGCATGACACTCATGAGAACCGCTGCTCTACTTGCAGTCTGAATTGTCCAATCTGTCGGCATCAACGCCAAGTTGGCTGTTCAAAGATTAGGGTTTACTCTACCGAATGAAACTCAACCAAAGCTGGAAGTGCTCCGGCACTAGGTTCCCTAACTTGATGAGAAGATATAACTTTTGGATTACCGGTTGAACATCTGTCTTTTGTTCATGTGGAGATTCTCCATCAATTTTCAGTGCCTGAGACTTACGTAACCCACTAGACTCCATCAGGGAAGCCGTGGTCACTGTGTCCCCAAACAGACAGTAACGAGGCATGGTGAGTCCAACCACACCGGCTACACATGAACCTGCCAAACAGTCAGAAACAGAGGAATTCAACACTCTTTGTCCCTGTCCAAGTGTCTTTACTGTAGTTCACTGGTGGAGTATCAGGTCTTCCTCAAACCAGTTTGGTTACAGGTGTGTAAAGTAGTTCTGTGTCTGCTTCTCTTACCCGTGTGAAGTCCTATCCGTATCCTGACGGGAACGTCAGGCATGTGTCTCATTTTAAAGGTTCCCACAGCACTCAGGATGTCCAGAGCCATGTTTGCGATCTCTGCGGTGTGGCGGTTCTCGTTCAGGACAGGGACACCTGATGCCACCATGTATGCATCCCCGATGGTCTCCACCTTGACAGAATCAGAAGAAGTATGTCTTATTGGGAGTCTGAAGGATTGGGCAAAGAAAGGTGCATTTATTCAAAGTCAGCACCTTGTAGACATCATGATTCCCAATGATGGCGTCAAACACTGTGTAGAGGTCATTGAGCAGGTCGACCACTTCGATGGGTTCGCTGTTGGCCGAGATGGTGGTGAAACCGACAATGTCGCTGAAGTAAAGTGACACACTGTCGAAATACTCGGGTTGAACCGTCCCTCCAACCTTCAAGGCCTCGGCCACAGAGCTGAACCAAAAAACATCAAGTTTTACTGTCTCTGCCAAACTATTTCAGTGAGTTTTAATCTGTATTTGAATGTGAGTGGTTTGTAGAAATATTTCTAAGTTAACTCACGGGGGTAACATCTGAGTCAGCAGCTTCTCCGTCTTCTGTTTCTCGATCTCCAGCTCCTCCGTTCTCTCCTTGATCAGCTCCTCCAGATTCGACGAGTACTGCTCAAGCATCCGCAGCATGGAGTCGATGATGTTGGTCTTCTTACCTTTGTTGATGTTCTTGAACTTAAACAAGGGAGAAGAGACGAGGACTGGGCTATACAATAGAATACCATACCGTATGATACTTCAGATATACACTTGAAGATTTGGTCCACCTTTGCTGTGAAACTGATACCCCTAAAACCCTCCTACCTGGTCGAAGATTTCCTCAAAGCTGGGCCTCTTGTCTGGTTGTTCACTCCAGCATTGTTTCATCAGCTGGATGCACTCCACCGGCGCGTAATCCGGACTCACAACCGGGCGGCACAGTGGAGGAGGTTTACGGACCCTCTCTATAATCTCTAAAACAGAAAGAAAGTTCAACTGCAAAGTTTTTTCAGTCTTAGTGTTAATTTGGGCGGTAACAGAGATGGTACTCTTACCTTTGGCGGACAGGTCCAGCATACAGAATGGAGGCCCTCTGACCACCACTTCCTGCATGACAATAGCAAAGCTGTACACGTCACCCAGTGGGGTCCCATGAAGCCCCGGCTGTCCAGAGAGTCTCAGGCTCTCTGGAGCTGTCCACAGCAGCTCTGAAACACAAAGAGTTTCGTTAGTTTCCTGTTACAGCGGAAACTACTTTGGCTCTAAATCTGGTCTGTCCTCTCACCGTCAATGGGTGGTTCGATGTAAGGGAATTTCTGAGCCTCCATAACCTCGTTGTAGCCATAATCTGTGACCTTCAGGACGAAACGCCCGTCCACAACACAGTTACGAGACTTCAGACGTGAGTGGGACACCCCACGGTGGTGGAGGTACTTCATACCCTAAGACAGAACCATTTTTTTCATGTGTCTTTTTCAACTTTTCATATCTGCTGCTGCCTTGCTTACTGACTTTAATCAAATCCAGCAGCAGAGACGACTTGAACATCCAGTCGAGTTTGACGTCCTCGTTTAGAAGCAGGTCCTCCAAACTGCCTCTGGAGCAGAACTCTGTCACAATGGCGAACACGCCACAATCATGGAAGAAGCCCAGGAAAGGGTTGATATTCTCATGGCGCAAGTCCTTCATCTGTAATCAAAGACAATAATTTATGATACATGTCCTTGATATCTGCTTGGTTTCCATGATTTTTTCTGATAACAACAGAAACGTCATGTACCAGTTCAAATATCAGGCTGGTTTTGGGGTTGATGCGACTAAATGTTCCACCTTGAAGTCTTTTTAGCCATGCCCAGTCACCCTAAAGGAGAGGGCAACAACACATGAAGTTGACTCGAGTTAGCATGTGTTTGTTAAGACTGGCCAGGATTTACTCAGTACATTGTTGTTCAAAAATTGGACCTTAAGACACAGGACCTTGAGGAAAAGGACTTTTCCTCGTAGTGTTTGTTCAACTTTTGTCCCACCTCATAGATGACGACATTTGAGTTCTCATACGTAGCTGGGGACTGGGCGGAGCCTGGTGAGTCAGCACTGCAGCCTGACAGACTCCTGATGTCGGTGGCCTTGCTGTCGTCCAGACTCAGCTTCTACATGGAGTCCAGTTCAGGTACAGTGGTTTCATTTTAAGAATACTTTACATACAAAACATGACATTTACAACCACTCCCATCTACTGTAATTATATCTATAAAAGTAGTTGAGCTTCACACAGGGCTAACCTTGATGCTTAGAGTTGGGTTGATAAATGTGACATCATCCAGAGTCAGCAAGATTTTGTTGGGACCCCTGATCAGGCGAATCCGATATATATGTCGCCTGTGTAGCAAGAGGACAGCAGGAGAACATCACGATCAATCGGTCTTGATATTTCCTTTTCTGATTACCTTTAAAAATTTAACATAGATTCTACAATCTGTGGGGGTACATGATCTAGAACTTTCTGCTGCTTTGTACCTGATACAGTAAATAAATGGCACCATGGAAACAGAGGAAACCATCACTCCAAGGAACATGCTGATGATGGAGAATAAGTCTACCCCTGTAGCAGAAAAAAAGAGTCAGATTAGGCTGAAGAGTTCAAAAGTTCCCCCTACACAACCACAACTAAAAATATTTTTTAAATGTAATGCAAGAGGTCTTAGTAAGGCTTAAAGTCCTGGACAAAATCCATTATTGTGTGAGTGTCTTTGTGCCGAACCTCCTGAGCAGATGACTCCGGGAGTAAACCAGCAGGATGGGTCTCCTCTGGGTCTGGAGCCATGAGGGAAGTGGATGTCTCGACCAAGGAACTGCACCAAACCAGCTTCCATGTCAATCCTGCCCCAAATCAATTCCATCATGATATCAAATCAACATTAACACCAGCTTTGTTTTCTATTTTCTCCAACTGAAGAGCACCAGTATCATACTCCATCTCATTTACCTGTATGCTGGTTCCAGCTCCCAGGAAAGCCCATCTGTGTCCAGTATAAGGTAGTCAAGCAGAATGTCTCCAGAGCTGTTGGTTTTGATGGCATGGCTGAAACCCTTTAAGAAGAAAGAATTCAGTTGTCCTTTTTGTTATTCTATCATGACAAGAAAATAAAAGTCTTGAAAATACATGCTAAAATCCAAAAACAATCATGTACTATCAGGAAACTCTTGGTCCGTAATCTTTTGGAAAATCAAGTTAACTCAGTACCTGGAAGGCTAGGTTGCCAGTATGTCTTGCCAGATTTCCTCCAGACACCCACTCCCCGGTCTTTCTAACCTGATGCACTGCATGAGCCATGGTGAGTATGGAGTTGTAAATCGTACCAAAAAGTGGAGATACCTGTGGAACAGACAGGAAAGATTTTAACAAGAACTGCCCCGGTTGACTTCAAAGGTAAACAAATCCTGTTCCCTCATCCTGACCCCTCTTTGCACCTGCTGTGGCTTCAAGGTCCTTGCCACCTCTTGCCTTCCCATCGCCTCACTGTAGGCCTCATAAAATGACACCTGGGGAGAGTTGATGGTGACAGTCAGCATGGCATCGTAGGCCCGTAGCAGTTTGCCGTTGCTCTTCAAAGCTGGGTAGGATATGTTGCGGTAAGGGAGGCTGTACAGCAGCGTGTCGTAGGGCACAAATACCAGCGAGCCATCAATCATCTGCATATCATACGCCGCCTCCAAGAGCAGCTTCTGGACTATGCCACCAAGAAGAACCGAGTGCATGCAGAGGATCACAACTGGAAGAAACCATAAAAAATTACAATTTAAGGGGTCATGGGCAAGGTCCTTGTTGAAGCTCTTAAAGCAAAAATACACTCGAAAGCACCTTTTATCTCCCTCATCTTCCGGATCTTGGACAGAGTTCTCCTTATTCCGTGAGGGGTGTTTTCCATGAAACTGACCAGTCTAACCGGAAGACCATGACTCCTTAGTGAATCTGCAACCTGAATGGGAAAAAGACAAAACCCAAACCTTAAGAAAGTAGAAGCATTTGAGCACAATTATCCTTCCTTTTCTTTGGATGTTAAAGGTACCAAACGTTCAAACCTTGGTGGCTGTTTCCACCCAGACGTCATCTGAGGAAGAGATGATGCCAATGTGAGCCCACCTGAAGTACTTGATCATGCTTAGCAGTACCCACGTGGGCCTTGGAATTGAATGGGCAAAGGTTGGATGATTCCGCACATCATCAAGTTCATAGCCAACACAACCCCAAGAAAACAAAGCCTAGAGGAGGAGGAACAGTTACTTCATCCTATTATTTACACAACTACTTAAAACTGAAACTCCTCTTAAGTACCATTCATACATGATAAACCTACTTTTTTCCAGCCTTTGCTCAACATCGAAGCAGCATCACAGTAGCCTGGGTTGGCTGGACCAATGAACCCTGAGGCCTTGGTTTGAAAACCAATGAATGTGTCAAGTGCTTTAGATGTTTCACATGGCTCCTGAAGAGTACATGCAGAGTTGGGGTAAGTAGCACACTGGGATCACAAGACACCATAACCTCAGAGTTGGGAACACAGAATTCTGGGCATTAAGGACCTTGCAGGACCGGGGCCTTAAGACCCGAGAAACACAAGCACTCCGGCCTATACGACCCAGAGAACATAGTGCCCAGGAACACAGTATTTTTGGAACAAAGGACCAAAGGTTCTCAGTGCAGTGGAGTCAGTGCAGGACCCAAGAACATGAGATCCTATATGTATGGTATCTTTGTGAGGGAATCAGGACTTTGGATATAAAGAATCTCGGAAAAACTTACTGCCACAGGAGAAAAGACCTTGTGCAGATGGGACTCTAGGCACAAGGGACCTAGAAACATATGGTCCCAGGAACATAGAACCTTGGCAACATGTAAACTTGGGGGATATGACCATAGTACTTTAGGGCTGTGGGATCACAGAATTCTGGGTTCACAGTGTCTCTGAGACACAGGTTCCTAGGAACATAGAAGCTTGTACCTGCAGCACAACATAGTCAAATGTTGCAGCATAGGACAGTGCTGGGTCCTTGTTAATCCGGTCAACTGCTAGCTGGGCTGCCACACTTGGCAAAGCCTTGGCGAAGATTGGGTCACACCCCCATGGTCCCACCACCCCGACACGAAACAAGGCTGCCTGTGCCGGACAGGGCAGCAAACACGAGCAGGCCATAAGGACTAAGATGATAGCCATTTTTGTCTTGGGTTTACCTCCAAGACCCACCACATCTAGACCTGACAAGAACCTGAAACAGAGATGGTAGAAAGATGTTGTTTTCCAGAACAACACAGTGAACATTATCACAAGTAAGAATAGTGGGAAAAATGTAATAAAGTGGATAAAAGAGCCCACTTATAGTTAAAATTGATATAGATAGCATTTTATAACTCTAGCAGGTCAAGATGGAGCTGGTTTTGGGTTCTCCTTGAACAGATAGTGATTTCCCATACCATTCAGTCAAGGTTAAGGATAGAATTTAGCTTTTGAAAACTTTGATGGACAAAAATAACAACTCTACTTGAAAATCAATGAAAGCAAACTTACCAATAAGTTATAAGAAGGTCTTTCCAGTAAATAGTTTCGCCACTTTCATCCGAATGTTTCTCCTGTAGTGATCTCTTACTGCATTATAAGGAGTACATAACGTCTCACTCAGCTGATGAAGGTGTAAAGCTCATACATGTGTGAGAGATGACTTAAAGCGAGTGTGTGACCTGTCCTGTCTGATTATATCAAATCCAATCAGGTCACCTGCTGCTATAAGCTGCACCGAACAATGTGGAGTCATATTTACAATTACTTTTCCTTTTATAGACTCTTGGTTTGACTTTTCAGATAGCTATATCCGTAAATGATTCATTCACTCGTCTTCATGTGTAGTTAAATGTGAGTAGTGCATTAAATAAAGAGGATTCCTTAATGCTGGACATATTTCAGTACCATGCTTTGAAAGCTAGAGGGCAGCATGATGCAGAAACCAAACTCGCCTCTCAAGCCTGACTCCAGCAGAGAAAAACTCTGGTGTGCAGATTTCTGGAATAAATCAGTTCTTTGCTCGAACCCAAGGGGGCAACGAGAGGCAGATCCAGCCTCCGCCAGTCCTCTAGTGTAAAGGCTAATAAAAGGTTACAAGGCGTTACACAACATGGCAGAACAAACTGCACATTTCTGCAGGACAAACGTCATCGTTCTGGTCTTTTCATGGGTTTAATTTTAAGTTTATTATCTAATTCACCATTTTAAATGGGCTCACCCTCTCCAGTGGGATCAGGATCAGTTTCAGGAATGTCTAAAAATCCAAAACAAGTGTGAAGAATTTTGTAAAAGTAGGCCTTGAGACTTAAATAGTGTCATTTCTGTGTCAGGAGTGCTGCCAAAGGCTGCTGGGCTAATGAAGATGTATCTGTTTTCATACTTATATTTCTCTCTCGCTCTCTCTTACTGACTATAACAACATTATGATGAAACTGAGACAAATCAGTCCAGATGTTGAGTCTTGACCTGCCAGATGAACTCTCCGACTCCAGTAAATGTTTCAAAACAGCCTAAATTTACACCTTTGAAATATACATACGGTATTTTCAAACTCTGGGCAGAGATAGTTTTATAATACTGTGGGTTTGCTCAACTAACCTGAAATGCAAAATAATAGATGGAGATAGATGGATATGACTAGAAACTTGAATATATGAACCTATAAATCATAATAAAGGGTAACAGTAAGAGATACAAACAATTTCTTGGACTTTTGAAATGAAAGTAAAATTTGAGGATTATATTTGTTATTCTAAATTTTAATCTTAAAACAACAAGATAATAATTTGAATGATAACTTTACACACCGAATTATAAGAAAAAAAAACTTCAGAGATTAAAGTCAGAATTATGAGACATGAATCCCAATATTGAGTGCAAAGTCAGAATTTTAAAAGTCCAATTACATTTAGAACTCTCAGATAATGATTAGAATTCCAACATATTGGACAATGTCAATGCTGAAATTCTAAGATCAAAGTCGGAATTCTAAGATCATCATTAGAATTCTAACTTTGAATTCCAAAATCAAAGTTGGAATTCTAAGATCAAATTTGGAATTCTAAGATCAGAGTTGGAATGCTAGGATCAAAGTTGGAATTCTGAGATCAAAGAATTCTAAAATCAAAGCTGGAATTCTAAGATCAAAGTTGGAATTCTAAGAACTTAGTCAGAATTTTAAGTTCAAAGTTGGAATTCTAAGATCATCATTAGAATTCTTACTTTGAATTCTAAGATAAAGGTTTGAATTCTTAGATCAAAGTTGGAAAAAACATCATAAGAATTCCAACTTTGAATTCAAAAATCAAAGTTGGAATGCTAAGATCAAAGTTGGAATTCTAAGATCATAGAATTCTAAATTCAAAGTTGGATTTCTAATTCTAATTTTTTTTTTATCAGAGTTCTGACTTTTACTTAAAATTGTGAAAAAATTTTACATCTTCAAAAAATTTGAATTTTCCAAAAGAGAAAAAGTCGAAATTCTCAAAACAGAATCATGACTCTCAGACACTCAGCTCATGACTCAATTGCAAAAATCCAGGACTTTTTGCAGTTGTTTCAGGCTTTTAAATGATGTAATTGAGTCACTCTATGTTTCCAGTCTGGATTATTATAATGAAATAATGGGTGCTTTAGAAACAACACTCTCAGAAGTCTCCGACTTTCTAGGATACTTTCTCCAATCAAACAGGTCCATTTTGACTCTGAAGAAACAGATCTACCGCAGAGTTCACCCACAGGTTACTGTCCACACTCACATCTCCTTATATCCAGGTGTTGACAGTCCCTGCCATAAGCGACCCTTTGAATCAGTCATAAGTTCTTTTTTTTTCTGAATGGCACTTATCTTTATGAAACAGCCACTTAGCGCTCACTGACAGACAGCTCCATTCTCAAGACTGACCGGCACCGTGCTGCTGTTGGAGGGAGGGGACAGGGCCACAGACGGGATAAGACAGGCTTTCAAATTCCTGTGACACCACACGCCCACATATGAGGATCTTTGGGATCGGTCACTTTAAAGAGTCAAGGTCTCTCATAGCTACAGATGACAAATAACCATCCAAATATGAGCTCATTTCCAAAAAGTGGTGAAATATGGACAAACTTTTTCTTTTAGCGGCTAACTTAAGACACCTCATTACGTTCAAGTTTTGTTCTATGACTGTACGTAACAAGAAAATTCCACAAGGACTATGTTGACATATCCATTCAGAGATTTTCCTCAGCCGGCCCCACCTCGGTCCCCTTATTCTCCTTATCTGATGTGGTCCGTCACATGAGCGCACATCAAACAAGGACGATGAAAAGTCAGAAATGTGGAAAGATGTGAATGGAAAGGGAGAAGAATGAGGAGGGGAAACAACTCTGCCACCCAGAATCAACCGTACACACCAAGTATTTATGGTTAAATACTCTAAAAACGACATTAAGGGAAGCTCATGAAAATCTGACACAAAAAACAACTTTTCAAAAAGAAAATTCATCCATTGTGTCATGTTACAGCCTGATAATCTTGGGCGTACGTACAGAAACAAAGGTGATGAAATGTTTCTGACTGATTCGCTGTTGCGAAAAAGTCACATTGAACTCTCGAGAGTGAACTTCTTCCTCGCACACACGGTTCCGACTTTCTTGGCTTTACAGACTGTATCACAAACACAAGTGGCTGGTAGGAATACAAAGTTGCAGCGGTTTCTGTTTATTTGTTATGGCAACAACAGTCCGAAAGAGGCTTTGGCCTGGGCGAGTTTATTCCACTGCGCTGAAAAGAAACATGATTTATGGAAACAGAGTCAAACATGTGGAATATGATAAAAACAGATTTACCCGAGGATCTTTATGATTGATCGCATCTCCCACTTTGATGATAAAGTTCATCTCTACATGGATTATTTTGAGGAATTTCAAGCATATATATATAAAAAACAGCAAGAAACATAACCCTGAAACTGGCTTGTTAGCGTAAGATTAATAAATCTAGCTGAAGTGCTGATCGAAGGAATCCTGAGAGCTTGTCCTGATAACATGATGCAGGCCAAGACGAATGGCAACAGTGGAGAGTGTTTAAGAGAGCATCTGAATAGAAGTAGAAAGAGATTAAGAAAAAGGACTTTCATGCAAAGTTTGGAATGAACCAACAGGCCGAGCGCTTAGTTGGGAGTAAATCCTGGTGAACACGTTCAGCCTGAAGAGGAAGAGAGAGAAGAGGAAAAAGGAAGTGGGAGGCTGGATGGGTCGTCCTCTGGGAGCCCTGAACCCAAAAATAGAAACAGCAGAGCTCAGATAATGTACTCGCAGCTATTTAGCCAGAGGACAACAACAAAGATCCTGATTGGAGCTCAAGATAGGAAGCAACTCCACTGTGCTATTTGGTATTTCACTGTGTGTTTGACTATATTTGACTACAAGATGAAATCGTACTTGTGAATGTTTTGTTGGTGTTTTGTTGGAGGAGTTTTAGACCTTTTATGGACACGATTGTTGGACATATGTTGATTATTTGTCTGGATGCCAACAGTGAACGTGGCATGATAGTGTTGGGCGAATGTTGGTGCCATCTCTGTCTAATCTTTATCAAGTCAAACATAAACCAGAGCTGCCAAGAGTTACGCTTTCAGTCTGACAGTCATGCAGTTTGACCCACTCTCACACCACACGCAACACTCGACATTTCTCACGCTTATTTTTCCCCGTTCAACACTCTGTATTTATTTTTTCATTATAATAAACTTGCCGTAGTTTGAGTAACTCTGATTGACTGACCAAGATAACCAATCCCAGACTAATCCATCTAAGATCATAGTTAGAATTCTAAGATAAGCATTAGAACTCTAAGATCAAAGTCGGAGTTCTAAGATCAAAGTTGGAATTCCAAAATCAAAGTTGGAATTCTAAAATCAAAGTTTGAATTCTAAGATCAAAGTCGGAGTTCTAAGATCAAGGTTGGAATTCTAAGATCAAAGTTCGAATTCTAAGATTCTGTTATTGATCTCAGAATTTTTGGTTTAAATCTAGAATTCCGATTTTGATCTCAGATTTCCGACTTAAATCTCAGAGTTTAGACTTTAATCTTGAAATTTTGGGTTTAAAATTGGAATTATCAGCCCTTTGTGCCTAAATCTAATCAACCAAGGAAGGCACCACGCAATATAAACCAAACAGAAGCAACGTAAGGCGGGTCTTGGCGTCTTTAATTATCTTTCACACACAACAGCGCTGACTTTTAAAACCCACTCAACGTAATGCAACATTGACAAATAAATTTATTTTGTAAACATTCGTTACAATTTTCATTTCTAATTTCTGGTTAATTAAGACTAAAATTAGGGAGATCAGCATTGAGGTGAGGACATCAGTCTTAAGGTATAAATCAACATTAAAAAAGGCCAATTTTTATCGCCCAACACATCATAACGCTGAAGTCTTGTCATTTTCTGAAACTTGGTACATTCAAAGTCAGTAAATTTTCTTACACAGTAACTCACTAACCCTAACTTGTAGATTGGAATGAGTGAGTTTCTGGTTGGCTCGCCTTTGCGCAGATTGGAGCATAGAAACAAGGCGTGACTCAGTGCGCAGTGACCTTTACTTTGTTGCACAGGCACAAAAAGTTCTCCCTAAAATAAAGAAGTCAGATGACGTCTACAGTCCTTGTCCTGGGAGACCAATTGTAACTCTTTTTGGACTGGACTCTAATCAGTTTTACAACACTGGTAACCAAGACACACTGGAGTCCAATCAGATTACACAGTCAAAAATCCTGATGGTTATTGGGTCTACTGTTCCTGATGTTTAGCAGTGTTGAACGTCCTCTTTACTGTTCTGCTGTGGAGTTTCACATTCACTATCTGGTGCTGAAAGCTGGCATGTCCATTTGTTTTCTGTCAGGCTGATAATCTTCCTGTTATTCTGTCTCCGTTTTATCTCCCTCCCTTCAACACCCTCTATCTCTCCTCTGCCTCCTCTCCCCGTTTCTGTCAACGTCTCCGTCTTTGTGACGTGATTGATTCTGTTTTCGTTTTTATTTATCCCATAAAACGTTTCACTTCCCAAACTCTTCAATCTTCTTACAGTTTTTCGCTCCGCTCTCCTTCTTTGGGTTACGGCCTTCGCTTCATCCAAGACGGGACCTTCACTTCCTGCCGCCCTGTGCAGATAACAAAATGAGGCCATCACACACACACACACACATAGACACACACACACACATAGACACGCACAGCTGGTTCATGTCCTCCACACTGCTGCTGCTGATAGAGTTTCCCTAGAGCAGTCACCATGATGAGAACACTCAGCCATGTTTGTGTCTGGGGTGGTTCACAGTTGAGCTGACGATGATTTCATCCGTCTCTGTCCGCTAAAAACAAAATTGTTTGAATAATCAAAGAGAAGTGAAATCAAGTGATTAACGTCACTCTAAAACGACGAGAGAATGAGATTTACACATGAACAGGACAAGTCGAGCAAAGATAGAAGGTACCACTTTGTCCACAGGGGGCGCCAAACTCAACACAAATTCAAAGTTACTCACAGAGCTGTAAATTTGTAACACTTTCTATTAACTTGTTCACTTCCCTGTTTCAAGCTCCTATCATCAAATTTTACAGTGACACCTACTGGCAGGAGTCGCCACATTCGTAATGCTAACTCAACCTAACTTAACGGCCCTTTACGATCTTCACAAATAACTACAGTGCGCTCACTTGTTGGTCAGTTTAGCCAAGCATCTGATGAGATTTACTCATGAACAGGACAAGTCAAGCAAAGATAAAAGGTACCACTTTGTCCACAGGGGGCGCCAAACTCGCAGGAGCTTGAACCAGCGAAGTGAGCAAGTTAATAGAAAGGATTTGTATTTTTGCTAAACAACCAATTGTGCAACTCAAGAATGGAAATGTGAGCCTACACCCAAAAGCCGAGCGAGTAAACGATTAAAGCATCTTTGATTTTTTTTCAAATTTACAGCTCTATCGTCAAATTTTACAGTGACACCTACTGGCAGGAGCCGCTGCATTCATAATGCTAACTCAACCTAACTTTCAGTCAGCGAACCTGGAGCGAGCCTTTACGATCTTCACAAATAACTACAGTGTGCTAGGGTGACCATATGGGCGGAGTCACAGAGTCGCACAAAGTTAATTTTTAGTTTTTCGGAACAGATTGAGTGTCTTTTACGAGCTTCTAACTCACTAAGTTCATATGACACAAACTCGAAACTTAAGAACAAAACCGCGGACCTTTCAAGGATTTGATGACCTTTCCCGACAGTCCTCAATAAAGAGGACATATCTGGGTAAAAGAGGACGTATGGTCACCCCACAGTGTGCTCACTTTAGCCATGCATCTGATTCGCCAGTCTTGTAACCTTCATAACTTAGTAGCTAATGTGATACTAAGATATTACAGTCCTCATACAGTGGGAGTCGTGGAAGCCCTTAACATTTCAGACTAAAACCATACTTCGTACCAGACTGTAAACATGTTTATTTTTGCTTTAAAAACTGGTTTATTTGGCTTATTGTGTATGTGGCTTTCTAGTGCCTCAAGTGGACACTCAGGGAACAGCAGTTTTAAGCGCTTTATTACCGGAAGTTGCCGCTTGGTTGTGACATGCCGAAAGACTACACTGTCTGACATAAACATGTACGAGAAAAAAAGACATCTGATTCACAAAGCACCGGCAAAAGGTTGAAGACAGACACACTGGAGCTTGTCAGGATTAGAGTGCACAGCGCAGCTCTGTGCAGCAGAAGGTGGAAATGCTGACCACTCGTCTACACAATTACATGCAATACAAGAGCAAACTGCAGACAGCTTCAAAACTCTCTGGGTTTGGGGTCTGGGTTTCTGGGGATGGGGTCTGTCGCAGTGCCAAAGGATGTTCCGATTCTCTGTGAATTCACCATCAGGATTTTGTTTTCTTTTCTCGAAGGAATACTGAATGTGCCTCAAGAGACCAGGATTGCTTTTGGCCTTCTTGCAACTTAACATGAAGTCCTGACACCAAACCAGCCTGTCCAAACAAATGAAGTGAACTGCATGACTTACTTGGAGCTGCTGGGCTGCATATTTCCCTGTAATGACAACGAAATTTTGACTTTTCTCGGTTTAAGAGCAGAACCCTTAATTCACTTTTGGACCTTTTCCCCCTTGACCAAAAAAGGGAAACTGTTTGCGGAGGGTGCCGTTTCTAAATCGGGCTCTTAAATGTCACATTAATTCTCCATTTATCAAATAAACTCTTTATTTAACTTCAGATCGCAGGCTTTGAGAGAAAAAAGGAGGTATTTCAGGAACACTTGGTTGAGTGGCACACAGGAACAAGGACTTGAGAAGGGGCCTGGTATGTGGTGTGTCGGTGCGTGGGGGGAGTAAAAATGAGGTCTCAGAAGGAAGCACTAGAGGAAATTAGATTTGAAGGAGCTGAAAATGATGTGGAAAATCACAAACCCGCTCTGGTACCCTTCATTTTTTATTCCTGCTTGAACTCGACCAATTTTATCTCAACTTCTTTCCACACTCTGATGGATCCCTGCTGCTCTTAAAGATCAGAGGTCAGGGGTCACATGTTGGGGTCAGCAGACAATTTTTAAGAGTGAACGTGCTTGTGCGTGTGCTCGTGCGTGTCAAAGGGTTAGAGTGGCGGTTCGTTGACCGGGAAAGAAATTCCAGATGGCGAGGAATTTGTCTTCGCTGGGAATTTTTGTGTGTGTGTAAATGAGAGGTCATGAGAACGGCAGGAAAACAGGCACGCAGACATACATCCGAACTTCCTTTTCCAGACTTCAGCCTCTTCCATATGGCGCATATCACTGGATTTCTAAAACATAAACACAAGCGGAGAAGCTCTGGCCAATCAGACTCAGAGAAAACAAAGATTTTCCATGAAAACCAGCAGAAATAAATTATTATTATTAGACATTAAAGCGCTTAAACACCTGCGGTTTGGAGTCTTTAGTCTGAGCTATTGTGGAAAGTTTACCTTGAGTCCAGATCATAAATTAGAGTCTCTTTGGTTTTAGTGTTGAGAAACAAATCGAGGGTGACCATATGTCCTCTTTCACCGGGACATGTCCTCTTTTCTGGGGGCTTGTCTGCCTTTGTTTATAAGTTTATAACATCCTTCAAAGGTCTGCGAGTTTGTGTCATATGGACTTACTGAGTTAGAAGCATGTAGAAGACACTCGATCCGACCCGAAAAACTCTTAAAATGAACTTCGTACGACTCCGTGACTCTGCCCCTGCATAGTCGTGTCGTCTTTTTCGGAAGTCAGAATATGGTCACCCTAAACAAATCTTATTCCAACCTTTGCAACTTAAGTCAAACCAACTTAGGTTGGACATGTGAAGAAGAGGCCGGGTACCTGTGCCTGTACTTACCATTTTTAAAGACAGTAAACACCTAAATTTTTGAGGATGTTCAATAACAAAATTATATAAAATAGACCAAAACAAAGTACAAGGTCAGACTGTCAGGGTGATTTCCATTTTTACACAGTCTACGGCCAATAATGAGTGAAAAAAAATCAAGGTGATGCAGTTGGAGGAAGGTGCAAAGTGTCGCACTGACTGCAGGTGAAAGCACTGACAAATGTCTAAACACTTACCTGTGAATCCCAATGGGTCCTGAACAGCTCTGCTCCACTCTGGACCGGCAAATGAATTACATGTTAAGTCAATGTAAAGACACGATTGGACGCTCCTACCACTCTGGCGGCGCGAGTGGTGCGAATTGGGCGGGAGCTGATAATGTCTCAACTTGAGCAGATATTCGCAACTGCAATAACTAATCAGCACAAAGGTTGCCAGGTGACTTGTGAAAATGGACGGGTGTTCACTGGTATTGAAAATGGAGGACAAACTCATTGTGTTGGTGTGTGGGTGCCACGAATTATATGATACCTTTTCTTTCACTTACCAGAACCAGGAATGAAAAGGAGTTCGCCTGAAGGCGAGTGAGTGAGGAGGTCGGCTTACCTGGTAAATTGTAAAAGACCTTTGTTCATCACTTGATCCCGCCGGTTGAATTGGCAGGGATTACCGTTGAACTTACCATTGACGCGCGAATGAAGCGAGTAAATACTATTCATTCTCGCTTCTAGATTCGCGCGAATTAAGCGAGTAAATGATTTTACATGCCCTTGACGTGAGCACCTCATAATATCAACACTGGCTGTTTTTGCCTTAAAGAGACTGATCTGATCAAACTCCCTTGTGGGTTGAAAATTTTTCCCTTTTTGCATTTTTATTTTCAGGAACATCCTTGAACAAATTTGAAAGCCTTTGTTGTTCGGTTGTGGTCGTGAGAACTCTGGATTTTATTGAACTCAAAAATCTGATTTCAATGTGTTCCAGTTACGTTGTTAGACTCTCAGAAACCTCTCCTGTGTTGTGTTACTCTCTTTGCTTCCCGTCCGGCTGCTAAATGTCACCCTGAACAGCCTTGACCGTTTCATATTTTGGGGTCATTTCCTGCTTTAGCTGCTTTCCTGCTTTCTTCGACTTCACACACAGACTGCAAGATAAAAGACTGAGACTTCTGCTTTGTTTATTTGGTTTTGAGAAAAGCTGGAGTCTGGTGTCGTCCTCGCAGGGATTGAAAACCTTGAACTGTAAGATTGTCACTTAGTTGCCAAGTCCAAAAAAGTGAAAAAAAATGACTAACGGTTGTCTCTTCAGCTTTCCTTTGAAGGACTTTGTAGTAAACTTGAATCTGTCATGACGTTTTAAGTGATTTTTCAGCCTCTGGAAAACTGAGACTGGTTTGGTGTGACTCTGCCGGTGACAAACTCACTCTCCGTCACGGTAAACAGCCAAGTTCCTGACACAGCTGAAGGTGTTTGTTTAGCCGTCCGTGACATGTTCGCTTTGAGCGGCTGACTTGTTTTACTTGAACCTCGGAAAGGTCACGTCGACCGTGAGTTTCGTCCAAACCGCTGAGAGCCGAGCTGCCGAAAGCTCCATTCAGTCTGAGTCCATTTGTTTGATGACGTCGCTTTGAGCTCCTAAAACGACTCTTTGCTGTTTTTCTTCTTCTCTCGCCGTCTTTCACCGAAGGATTCGACCCCTTTTGTTCCCACAGGAGCCGGTTTCGTCGCCACGTGTCTGACTGCTTCATGTTCTGGATTTGATCCCGTCATCAGAGCGTGGTTGCAGACTTGACTTTGGACGATAAAACCTGTCTGAATCTCCTCTTCAGCTCCTGCATGTTGGGAGATTTGGGTCGGGCCAGGTGGAGGCCTCCACGCCGTTTCTCCCCGTTACCTCCTCCCAACGCTCGAACCACCTGGGACACGAAGAAAACAGAGAAAAGAGTTTAAAGATAAGTGTTTGAAAGCGTCCAATAAACACAGAGTCACGTCAACATACAAATCAGGCAAATCGGTTTTAGGGCCAAGAGACGTCATGAGCGTTTTTGTCCTGTTACATCAGAAAAAAACAATAAAAACACTGATTTGTCTACTGAAGAAGGCTTGTGATTGGTCAATTTAAAGAAAGTCTCTGATTGGCGGATAGTAAGGAGGCTTCTGATTGGCCACAAAGGAGAGTAGGCTTGTGATTAGTCAATTTTAAATGAAGCCTCTGATTGACAGAATGAAAGGTGCTATTTGATTGGCCTGATGAAAGAAGCCGTCTAATTGGCAGGTAGTGAAGAGGCTTCTGATTGGGCAAAGAGGAGAGTAGGTTTGTGATTGGTTGACAGACAGAAGTCATCTGATTGGCCTGATGAAAGATGCAATCTGATTGGCAGAGAGTGAGAAGGCTTCTGATTGGCCACAAAGGAGAGTAGGTTTGTGATTGGCTGACAGAAAGAAGCCATTTGATTGGCTGGTTGGATGATGCCTTCTGATTGGCTGAAAAAAAGGCAATTTCTAATAAAAGGATTGTGATTGGTTGATTTAAATGAAGTCTCTGATCGGCAGAATGAAAGGTGCTATCTGATTGGCCTGATAAAAGAAGCCATGTGATTGGCCAAATGAAAGGAGCCATCTGATTGGGAGTTAGTAGGGCTTCTGATTGGCCACAATGGAAAGTAGGCTTGTGATTGGTCAATTTAAATGACAATTTAAATGAAATGAAAGTTTCTATCTGATTGGCTCGATTGGCCTGTTAAAAGGAGCTATCTGATTGGCAGAAAGTAAGGATGCTTCTGATTGGCCCTAAAGGACAGTAGGCTTGTGATTGGTTGACAAAAAGGCACCATCTGATTGACCTGATGAAAGGAGCCATGTGATTAGCCAATAGTAAGGAGGCTTCTGATTGGCCAAAAGCAAAAGGAGGTTTCTGATTGGCCGAAAAGGAGAGTAGTTGTGAGCCATCTGATTGGCTGGTTAGAAGATGCCATCTAATTGGCTGAAAGAAAGGAGATATCTGATTGGCTGGTGGGCTCCTACCCCCTCTATGAGGAGGGACTGTTTTTAACTTCTCATTTTCCCACTTCCTTTTTTTTCCCGCACTTCCTACTCTTCTGTCTCTTATTGCCATAGATTTTTCTCTTAGATGCTAAAACCTCAATAGACCTGAGGGACTTAGATCACCGAGTATTAACTCTCTGTAGATCACCAGATACCAGATATATACAAAATCGCTCAGATTACACATCAGTGAAGACAACACACTGGGATAAAAAGTTATTTCTTTAAAAACTGGAAGTGAAGTTTTGTAAACTGATCTCTCGAAGACCAGAAAAGGAAACCGAGTCCAAGCAGACCCTCAAATACAGGGGGGCCTCTGAGCCAAAACTGTTATTACCTCACCAGAAAGGAAAATATACAGAACAAACCATTGAGGGCTGGTATACCTCTTTCTGTCTGAAAACACAAACATGTGGTATTTCTGCTTTTTTTTCTCTTTCTAAGTGCATCGGAATCGTCAGTGGGAACCAGCTTGTAAAAGGAGTTCCCACAGAAGCTTTAAAGTGAGGTATAAACGGACGTAATGACAGGAGGGAGTTCATGTTAGATCCATCTTAAACAAACTAATAGACTAACAACAAAAAAAACAAAAAACGTTGTCCCACCTCCTGACAGAGATGCATGAAGGCGGCCTGGACTCCCTCGTGGTTCTCTCTGGCCGAGGCCTCGAAGTAAACGCCTCCTGTGATCGGACACAGTTTTAAAAAGTTATTTTTTAGATAAACTCGACATTCCTCGCTCATTAGACAGCGAGCAGATTACAGCTCTGAAAGAACAAGATATGTTCCTTGGCTCTGATTGGTCAAAGGGTTGAGTTCTTGGACAACCTGACCGTACACACTTGCAGATCGTTGACACTGTGGCAAAAGCAGTCTATTTATAGACGCAAAAACATGGTAGATATCTATCATTACTTTGGATTTATTTGGAGAGCATGAAACTTGAGATATTCGGTGATCAGCTGATTAATAACCAGTGGAGAAAAGAGAGGAGGGGGAGTAGAGAGGAGGAGGAATCCCAACCCAGTGAGGATGCTAACGTCTCGCCCTCGTCTGCCGGGACTTGTCGAGCTCTGAGCAGGTCGCTCTTGTTTCCAACCTGCAGTAGATTACAGATTACAGGACGGATTAGATTACAGGGATTAGGGTTAAAAGAACACTGCTTCAAGCACTTTAGAAAGAAAGAAGTACCTTTGTAGAGTTTAGTGCTATCAAACTGGATCATTCGTTTTTATTGGGGTATGCATCTAATCTAGTTAATCTGACCATGACTATGTTGGACACTCACTGACCAGTATGACAGGTATGTTTCCAGAGGGGTGGATGCGTCTGACGTGTTGGTACAGAGGCTGGATGGTGCGGTAGCTGTTGTTGTCCGTGATGGAGAAAACCAGTACGTAACCGTCCGCCCAGTAGATCGACCTGAGAGCGCAGTCATCGCCATTCATCATTCAGTTACAACAGGATATGCAAAAATATCTTCCATTTATTCAGATTTATGTAAACGACTCTGACCTGTTGATTTGCTCCTGGCAGTACAGGCCTTCAGCATCGTCCTGGAAAAGAAACAGGATGACGGAATTATGTAACCACTTTGGACAAGAAAGGACTTCAACAACAACATCCCGGTCCATCGCAGGACAAATCAACAGATCACACTTTCGTCTTTTTTTCTTTCTCTCTGAATGTCCACATCTGCTCGAAAGATTGGCTAAAAGCGAGTTAACAGGTGGTGATTTTACTGGGAAGGCACTCCGCCAAGACAAATGGCGGTTAATGGATGTACACCAGCTGGTTCGCAGTCATAACTCCAGACTCACGGGCCCCAAGACCACCCAGCCGCCGGTGTTCAGCGACAACTCACTTCATGCAGACCCTTATACCCAATTTGTCTGCAAGAAGAACCAACAAAACCATCCTCCTCGCATATAAGTGTGTCTGGGAAGGGTTTCGTTGCCATGGTAATCTTAATTTCACTTCACTTTCAACATTTTTTCCAAAAGCCGTGACTTTTCGACCTCTCCAATTATTTCTGTCTAATCTCTGGAAGCCGGTCTCCGTGGTCAGGGGGGACTTCCTCCTCACCCTCTGTTATCTCCCCCCCCGAGTGAGGAAATGAGCAGATTCTCAGGCCTGGTTTTGTAAACAGACGGTCGGCGTGGAGCGGGGTGAGCCGTGTGGCACGTTGCTCTCATTATATTCATCCAGAGCGGGGAGATGGTCGCCGGAGTCATTTCCTCGAACTTCAAATACATTCCTCAAACTGCTTTGAGATAAAAAACAGTAGCAGCTTAGATGGACCGGGAAGAAATGATGCCAAAGAAAGGCGCTGACCCTCTGAGTTGACACAAATGCAACTGGCCGTCGCACCTCTGCACAGGTTGGGTCTAAACAAGTTTTGGTTGTCAGGGATACAACATAAAGTGGGAATAACTTCATCATCCTAAATCATGCCGAGCAAGGGTTCTGACCACGGACATAACGGTATTTGCACAAAAGGGACTGTTATCTTATCAGTAAAGTTCAAGGAAGTCTGTGATTGAGAAACCCTTGTAATCCAGGGCATCACGCTTTCACAAACCGCCACGAGTTTGTAAATAGAGTCAAGAATATTTTTGCCTTTTGGACGCACAAAAGAAAGTTGTAAAAAAATGGAATTGATTGGAGGATGTTGAAGAAATGGGATTACAGTAAATCAGATTTGCCAACCTAGCGACTTTGTCTCTACATTTAGCGACTTTCAGACCCCCCTAGCTACTTATTTTCAAAAAAGCGCCTAGCAACAAATCTTGGGACTTTTTTTGGAGTTTAGAGACTCCAACATAAACGCAGGAATAGAGGTTACTCTTCTCAAAGGGTAGCGGGTTTGCATCGAAAACACAGACACTCAGACACCCCAAGGAAGACTCCTCCTCCTCACGGTGGTGGGGAGGTCGGCGGCGACAGTGGGTTTGACTGAAAAGTTATGCAAATTAGGCAATGACGTCATCTAGCAACTTTTACGACAGCCTCTAGCAACTTTCCTTACTGAGGAGTTGGCAACACTGCATTGAATTCGAAATTCGTCACACTGTGCTGACCATGCCGTTAAACAAGAACTCACGGTTTTTGGCACAAATGCAGACGAACATCTCAAGATGATGGACAGCGAAAATGATCAAGTAGTGTTCAATGGTCTCTGAGTCACAACTCGTAGAATTACCCTGAATTTCCACCGCATCCAGAACGGCAGTGGTTTTCACTGTCCGCCAATTCCTTCCAGTTCCATTTGTGGGGGGAATTATGGACAGCGGGAATCACGAGAACTCACAAGAACTTGCGGATTTATGTGCAATCGTGCGATAACAAGTTGCCTCTATAAAGACAGCCACATAGGCTAACCATGTAAGCAGTAGATTCTAGATTTCCTTTCCAGCACGGGTTAATCTGTGCTGAATTTATCCGGCATGCTTCGGCATCTGGAAAAAAATATAACTCTTGCAATTGGCTGCAGAGTCTGGCGATCGGCAGCGGAACGGAAAGAAGCCAGTGAAAATTGACACGTTAACTTGAATGGTTACGATAAGCTACAACCCGCTACGATCGGCGAATACGGTCTTTTCGTAGCGGTTCCAGATGTGGTGGAAATTGGAGGTTAGGCATAAGATTTCCTGTTGCCACTAGGGGGGACTGTGACTGGGATTAAATAATTCCATATAGATGTGTTCAGGCCTGGACCCTCATTATGTTTGCCTAATTTGGTCAAGATAGGAGCATGTATGGCTGAGTAAAAAACTACTTCCTGTTTCATGGGAAAGGACGCAGTCTGTTTAGTCTGTTTGTTTGTTACCAGCTCAGCAGTTTGTCTTTATAAACTGAGGCTGAACCACCTTCAGCAGACAGCGTGTCTATCGTCCTCTCTTTGTTCAGCATGTGGAAACTCGGTCATGGAAACATGGCCGCTGTCCCTGAGCCTCCATAAGTTACCTGCAGAGCGACACAGGGGGTATCCTGGATCTGAAGTGACACTTCCTCCCCTTCCAGCGTGACCTTTCTGGAGTAAAGAGCCCCTGCAGAGAGAGAAAGAGACATGGACGAATGAATCGATGGCTGGATGAATGAATCAGCGGTGGGTTTTTTTCCACTACTGCAGAGAGAAATCACAGCAGCAGTACTTTCCCTGCTTACTATGACAAATGATTTTCTTCTCTTTCATGAAAAACAGATGGATGGAAACTCACCAGTGTTTGCTTCATAATCCCCGATGAACCTTTTGGTTAGAAACCGGACAATAAGAGCTGAAAAGAAACAAGAAAATTGGACTCAGGGAGGTGGGAAACAGATTTATCTAGGACTGTTTTTAAACCTAAAACGTGTTTTTTTTGTGGAATTGCTGTTTGAGGAATTCCTCTTTTCCGTGACCCATATATAGTTGATTTTGCAGACTTTGGTGATGTTGAGATAAGCTAAACAAACAGTCGAAGTCCAAGCAAAGAAAATGATTCACTGATACTCAGAATCTGCTGTTGCATCATCTCATTCTGGTAAATGATTATCTCATCCAGATTTGTTTGGCTTTTTTGGACCAGCTTTTGGGGTCTCTGCAGAGATCAGATCTGCGTGTTCGTGCATTTGAGGAAATTAAAAGGGACATTTCAGTGTTTTTTTTGGAAGTAAATGTCACAAATCAGTGTATGAGTGAAAATAGGTGTCGGTCAGTTTGGCCCTTTGGCTAAATCTGAGAGACGACAACCCAAACTGGACTTTAAACCTCCATCGTCTTATTTACACTGATGGTATTGTTTGAGTTCTTAACAGCTGAACTTTAAAAGGTAAATCTGTGAATTCGTAAAGCTCTAATCTCTCACATTCACTCATTCGTGCTCTTGTGGCTGCTGTGTAAAGCTCCCATCAGTATTCATAAATCCCATTTGCACACCGCTGGGTGCAGCCAGCGGGGTCAGCTCGAGGTTAAGTGTGTTGCACGGACACTTCAGCATGTGGGCGGCGGGACCTGGGATCAAACCCTCATCATCCTCCTGACTGAGTGCCTGAGCCACAGACCAGACCGACAGGTGGGCGTCCCCTGGATGTTACGTCAGCTATTATCTGGGTCAATCAGAAGTTAGCTGAGTCAGACTTTGAGTCCGACCTTTGATGGGCTTCAAAGAGCCTCTTCAGACCCCATCTGAGACTGTGTCTGTGTTTTTGCAGGATATGCACCATCCACATTCAGATACAGACATTTAAAACAAACTGAATCCTACAGAAAGTGTATTAAACGGATACAATTAGCCTTACAGAGACCTATCACAATTTAACCCTGGAACACTATTGCCCCACCAAACATGTTTCCGTGATTTTCATGATGTTGTGTTTGCAAGTATCATGGGTCCCTGGGTAGTTTCAGAAATTCCTTTGACACCTTTGAAGGCATATTTGTTTCCCTGATCCTGGTTTGGGTGGATTTGATAGCTGCATGTAGGCGAATAAGGTCATTAAGAGTGGTCCTGGCCAACACCCAACAGCAGGATGTAAGATACTGGCAGGAAAAGCATACATGGAACGCCATAACCAAGTAGTCGGTATAGTGTACAGGGGCATCTGTGCAGAATATGGACTGGAAACCCAGAGGTCAAAATGGGAAGCACCTCCGAAGGTGATGGAGAATGACCGAGCCAAGATCCTGTGGGACTTCCAGGTACACACCAACAAAATGGTAATGACCGACCAAACAGACATTGTAATCGTCGACAAACAGCAGAGGAAAGCCGTTGTGGTAGACGTCGCCAAAGAAGGAACACGAGAAACTAGAGATGTACCAAGGGCTCAAAGAAGAGCAAGAGAAGGCCTGGAAGGTAAAGGCATCAGTGGTGCCTATGGTCATTGGGGCACTCAGGGCAGTAACCCTGGGGAAACATCAGACATCCCACTCCCGAAGAGTGCAGTCCAAAGAACAGCAAGGATACTGCCCAGGAACCTCAAACTCCCTGTGGGTCCTCCAGATACAGACCGATGGAATGGTAATTACCAACCAACCAGACATCGTATTTTTAGACAAACAGCAGAGGAAAGCCGTTGTGGTAGACGTCGCCATCCCAAGAAAGAAGGAACACGAGAAACTAGAGAAGTACCAAAGGCTCAAAGAGGAGCAAGAGAAAGGTGGAAGGTGAAGGCAACAGTGGTGCCTGTGGTCATTGGGGCACTCGGGGCAGTAACCCCCACACTGGAGAAGTGGCTCCAACAGATTCCTGAGGAAACATCAGACATTTCACTCCAGAAGAGATCAGTCCTAGGAACAGCTAGGATTCTGTGCAGGAACCTTAAACTCCCAGGCCTCTGGTAGAGGACCCGAGCGGAACGTTTTGTTCATGAATGCCTCATTTCAGTTATTTACCTTTCCTCCCTGTGGACATTGCACAGTCAAAAATAAAAGATAACTACTTTAATTTGTCATGTATTGTCCTATTTTGATATATTTTGATGACAAGTACTTTTTCTTGGGTAAAAATCACCCGGCGATAGTGATGGTGTTACTAATTTTAACGATGGTGTTCTAGGGTTAAGGCAGTGGTTCTCAACTGGTGGGTCGTGGACACGTTCTGAACGGGTCGTGAACAGATGGTCAAAAAGGTAAATATTTAATTTTGAATGCACGTCTTTTATTTTGAAAACTAGCTTATTTTAAAAGGCATGCAGTGTGTCGTGGTTCTCCTTGGTTTCTTATTAATGTGGCCTGAATACGCTCTGAATGCAGAGATGCAAGTAAGTCAAATTTTTCATTTTGCTGGTCTCCATTGTGTACAATTTGATATTTCATTTTCTGCACACGAAACTTCAGCCGTTGTCGTCCTCAGTTCAGTTGAATTTTATAACAGTGGGTCACGACTTAAGGACCAGGGGAAAATGTGGGTCCCAGAGTGAGACCAGTTGAGAACCAATGGGTTAAGGGTTATATAGATGTATGGATAACAGCCAGAGTAGGCGCAAAAGGCTGCCCCCTGCTGGAGAGGATTGATCACTTACAACAAACATCTCCACCAAATTTAAAATATTACAACCCGTCTTTTTTTGTGACAATTACAACCGACCACAAGGGTTTTATAAGGACTTAATGTCTCTCGTGATTGTTAAGTTAAATTTGATGCGTTTTTCTCAGTTTGTGCTCAAAAACCATCCCTCAGTCTCACAGCTGCTGCCTCCAAAGTGCATCTATCCTTCAACTCATACCGGTTTTGCCGACGTTACTCGCCCCCAGAACCACGATCTTCACCGTCTTGTTGGGCACACAGTCCAGCAGAGGGTACTCCGGTATGGGGACCAGCAGAAAGTTCCCCGAGCCGCTGCTGCTGCTGTTCATGGTTCCCGGTGCAGGGTCGCCTCCAGTCAGCCGCATTTAGATCCTCTCTGCGCTCGGTCCAGCTCTGCTCGGAAATAAAACCGTCCAGAAACCACATCCAAACCGAGGAACTATCACTGCGGGGTCTGCATAACCATTACGCAGCTGTCTTGTTTGCATTTTACGCAGCCTGTGCGTAAAAGTCCAAAATCCCCAAATACTCCCAGGTCATCCAGCTCCAGTTTTTTCCTTCAGTTGGCACTTGGAAAAGTTTAAGTATCCCTTCGTGGAAGTGTTTTAAGTCTTAAAAACACTATTTGAGACACTTTTGTTTCGATATGAGGAGCATAAATAAGAGGAAAAATGAATTCCAGTTCGCACCGAGTCCAGATGCGTCTGAGTGCGGGTAGAGAGGAGAGGAGGGAGGGATGAGGAGATGAGAGAGGAGCGGGGGTGGGATTGTGAACCTTCCCCTTTAATATTCCCATGAGAGCAGCTTTAACGAGGCCCTCCTCTCCAAACTCTGGTATCTTTCAGACTTTCAGGACCCCTGTAACCCTGTGTCAAAAGTGAACTTACCCAGACTTATTTTGAATGAAGATTATAGAGCTAGTACAAAGAAAGCGTAACAATAATTGCAATAAATTAATATAATAAATTTTGCTCGTGTTTTTGACTTTATTTTGCTGAGTTTTGTTGGATTTGGAAAGTCAAAATCAGTTTTTCAGTTTCTAGTAAACTCCTGAAAATAAAAACCGAAAATAAAAGTGCAAAACAGGGGTTTAAAACGACCTCCAAACATGTCTCTAATGTCAATATAATTACCATATGTCATTGGATTACATGGATTTCTAATCTGAATAAAGTAAAAATGATAGACTAGAACCAGCTATTGTTGAAGAGTCATGCACCGCCCGCGTATTCTAGCCCGTTAAAGTGAATCAAACCAACTCAGTACATCTGAGTAGTTCGTCGGCGACACTCCCTCCCTGCTCCTCCAGGCTGGACGACAGGAAGCTGCTTAGAGTCAAAAGTCTGCAAGAAACAGTAAGAAATGCCGGAAGCAACTATTTTTACTTTCAAAATAAAACACCACCAAAAAAAAAAGGTTCCAAAAGAGACGAAACAAAAATGTTCTACTAATTTTGAAATAAAAATCTCAGGTATGAACGATTTGGACTTTTTTTTTCAGTGTGATGATAGGCCAAAAAAACATCTTGACACACACTATCATTTTATACTTCTGGTAAAAATAATTAAAAACGACAAAAAAGCTTAACAACAATTATTGTTATTATTATTATTATTTTAATGGGACTGTGTATGTTGAACTTAACATTCATTTTGTTCTCCCTCTCCCTGAAATTTTCATGTTATCTTCTAGAGATCTATATCTTGATTTGCTTGTACTTTCTTAACTGGTTGTGCCGTCATTTCTGGATCATGTTTTTATGGTTTCCTCAATGCATTGCACAGTTTTAGCCCTGGATTTGAGACCTGTGCAGTGATTTCCACTTCAGAGTCATGCCAGCTTTTAATGCAGTGCCATCTGAGGGCCTGGAGAGTTTTTACACAGTCTTTTTAAACACAGGATAGTATAGTAGTTTGGTTTAGTTTTGTTTAGTTTATTAACAGCTCAAAATATAATTATTGTATAACCAGAGCCGGCCCAAGCCTCAATGGGGCCCTGAGCAAGATTTGATTTTGGGGCCCTCTATTTCTGCCAATAATATTGATTTTTGATCATCACACACCTTGTTTGTACTTTATTTTCATTTTTACAATAATATACATTTGATCATACAGAAAGCATCACTCATACATACTATATATATATATATATAATATAATATAATATAATAATATATAATATAATGTATATATATATATATATATATATATATAAAATCATGAATGTTCTTCCTTGAGCTGCGAAACCCCGCCGTAGTCTGTAATGGACTGGTACAAGGTCTCCCTTTTTTTTTTTTATGATTTTTCTTCAATTAAAACATTAAAAATATATAAAACATAAAGCTCGTGGCTTAGGTAGAATTCGGATACAGCTTTGTTTTTTTATATATATGTATATTTGGATTAAATGTGAATATTTGTTCGAAAAATTCAGTCTTTTTTTCGTCTGAAAAGGTAATAAACGAAATACATATTCCTCAGGCCTTTTCTTTTACGTTTTATAAATTGTTGATTTACTCTGAAAATCTGTACCGGAAGTGTGAGCTTCCATTTTGTTTACCTTGACAGGTGTGATAATAAACAGGGCAGAAGGCTCTCCCTCCCGGAACTCTGCAGCCTCATCGGCTCTCATTATTTCAACATCGGGGTTCGGTCCAACATGGCGGCTTACGGATGGAAATACTGATGACAGTCCGAAAGATCGCCTCGATTTGTACGATGGTAAGGGCTCTGAGATCGGTTCGGTTGGGTCCGGCCGGCTGGTGTCTGTCTGGGCTGAGGACGCTAAGCTAGCTGCTGTGTTAGCCTGTTTGCTAACCTCTCTCTCTCTCTCGGGGCAACATGATAATAACACACAGACAGGGTTTATTAAAAGTTACACAGCCCAGTGTGGTAACCGGCGCTTCTCTGACCGTGAAGATAACCCACTTTGACTCATAAACACGGGGGTAATGTGACTGGACCGGGCGGTTCTGACAGTTTTAACAGCCCGTTTTGGTAGTTTGTTGATGCTGGAAGAAGGGCAGGGTTGACCAACGGGCGAAAACTAGCTAGCTTTAGCCTGCTAGACTAACGGCTGTTGGGACAAAGTTGTCTATTCACCAGAAATTCCTTATTAAGGTCATTTTAATCATTTTATTACTTTATTTTATAAGCTTACAAACATTAGGGGGGTTAATATCTGAACTTTTAGGCATTATAAACAACCTACAACTGGAACTGCTGCCTCTTAGCAAACTAATATTTGTATTTTTGTAAGTTTTCAATCGACTATTGCAGTTATTTTAACAATTCATACATAGAGTATTTCACTCATAATGAAATAGAGGATAATCTATTGGTAAACTCTAATAGCCTGTTATAATGTATTTGCTAATAATCAAACACTGAGCCTGTTAAAGTAGAATAATCACAGTTTAAAGCTACTATAAGGAGTTTTTCGACACTTGTGAAATGGGCTAATACTAATACTGATGTGACCACATGACTTGTGGTGCGAACCGGATCATAAATGTTAAGATTACTAACAGCTTTATGGTTATTTTTGATGTATTAAACGGTGAATGGAGGGGAGTTGGTAAGGTGTTAGAGAGATTTACTAACTGTAAATTACAGAGATGGCCTTAAGAAGGACTTCTGATGAGTGATAAAGGGATATTCTTGCGTAAAATTAATTCTCTAGTTATACCAACTTTAGTAATGACCGCACGATAGCAATACAGAAAGCCGCATGCTTAACCAAAACACCACTCTATAGCCACAAATAATGCTCAGAACAGCACCTAACTTCATCAACAGGACATATAGGGTCACAGCCATAGTACTAGCCACCAAACTAATTTCTTTACCAAAGAGACTAAACACAACTCACCTACTCTCTTCCACAGGCCCATTACGACAGTGTTGTTTATCATCAACGCCCCTATTTTTTTCCACGACTAAGACGTGATGTTGACGAACTAAACATAAGTCTTAGATAACTAAAATGTGACGAGACGAATGATCATTTACGTTGACGACGCAAGACTAGACGAAAACGTTAGTGGTGGATGATGAACAGAGTTGCAGAATTCATGAAAACAGCACTGCATTACGGACTACAGCGGGGTTTCGCAGCTCAAGGAAGAACATTTATAATCGTTTCTTCATGGAAATACAATCAGACCGAGACGCTGAGGCAGAAGAACTACCGCGTCTGATATGATCATAAATGTTCTTCCTTGAGCTGCGGCACCCCGCTGTAGTCCGTAATGGACTGGCCCGAGATCTCGCTACAAACAAGCGGCTGCTGGAAGAGAGTAGGTGAGTTGTGTTTAGTCTCTTTGCTAAAGAAATTCAGCAAAGTTAAAAAGTTAAAACAAAAAAAGTGATAATTTTTTTTTTTTTGTGAGGAAGCATGAAATTGTAAAATAGTGACCTGCCATCAATCTGATTTGGGACGATGCTGTGGTATCTTATGACTTGTTTGAGGTGCTGTGCACTTGTTTTGGTACAAGTATGAAGTCAGGTGTTAACTTTACAAACAGGGGGAAAAAAACAGCAAATGAAAAGTTAAGTTTGACCAAAGTGAGGCTGTAAAACTGGAAGTATGATGGCGTTTCCAGCAAATCGATGATACCTGAGTAGGCTGCCATGCCTCTGTCCTCGCACGACGCTACATCTTTAACAAGTCAGCTAATCTGACGTCCACACTTGTGCTTGTGTTTTGTTTTTGGTGTCTTCATAAAACATGCTGGTGATTAATATTTTCAAAGATCTGATGTTTTAAGGTAAGAGAACTGGTCGTCAAATTGGTAGCTGTGTAAAAAGAAACACCCACAGACTGTTTTTAATTTAAACCCACAGGAAAAGTAGCCAAATGAAACTGCCTTTTAGGTTCAGGTCGAACAGAGTTCAAATGAAGGTTTCATATCAGCCAGTATAAGATAGATAAGGAGCGTTTGGAGCGGTGAATCATGCAAAGCAAAAGGTCAAACTGAGTGTCAGAGGTCTCACACTTCATTCGACGTTTCCTGTCATGGGATACACACCTTCAATGTTTCCTCGACATTAAAACTGAGCCAAGGTTCAGTCTGCGGTTCACAGGATGACAGAAAATAATAAGAGTCACTTCTCGAGTGTTTTTTTCTCTCCTCTTCGCAATTTGATGATAATTCTTCCACCGTCTTTGGTTCCCAGTAAACCGTGAAAGCCTCTCGCCGGGTGTTTAGCTCCACATCTTAAGTGCTTTTACGTCTGAGGCGGTCCACTTAACAGCTTTGAAAATATGATCCTCGATTGATTCTTGTTGTGAAATAGTGGGAGACGGTCAGAGTGGGCTGGAGCACCTTGATTGCGGAGGGGAAATCTGCCTGTTGATGCTCTTTTACAGCGGGGTTTAGCTCCCAGTTGAAGGACAGGGCCGTGTTTAGCAGGTTGTAACTTTAAAGGTCAAAGTTGAGAAGCAGTAGACGCTCCGACTCTTGCTTTATTTGCTCTCTCGGTGTTAATGTGGCGGCGTTGTCTTTGTTGATTCTGGAGTAAAGTGGTGAAGTGACAGAGGCGGGCAGGAGAGCTTAAAGCGGGAAGATTAACTTCAGAGTGAAACTTATCCGGTTTTTCTCTTCCCCCGACAGACGGCTCGGCAGATGCCACAGAGAAGTCGGTTGAATTTAGCGTGTGTGATCTGAAGCCCTAAACTTCGCCTCTGTCGCTGGTACCTGCCCGGTGTTTTCAGCACCGCACAGACAGCCGGCTGTGTAACCCATTTAAGTGTGAAGTCCAGCCGGCATTGTGGCAAATTAGCAGCAGCGACCAGCCCAACACTAACAAGGCTGAACATTAGCTCTGTCTCTGGCAGGGCTGTTGGGTCTGTTTGCCATTTTGGCAGCCTACGAGTTTCTGCCTGGAAGGTCTTTGCTTTTTCAGAAAATCAATTTTTTGTGGTGAAGGCGTGAAAGTCACCAGGAGGACGGCGAAACCACAGCAGAGCAGTTTGATCTCAGTATCAATAATGTAGGAGAGGAAAAACTCCCAAACATGAACGTATCCCAACTTCAAACTATAAATCTGTTTTAAAGAGAACGTCGGCTTTAGTGTTTCATGACCGCAGCTTTTTAAATCATATACGTGACTCTACAAATTTGAGAGAAATTGACAGACAGAATTTAGTGCCAACTGATTGGTTCTTAAACAGTTATTCAAATGTTCAGTACCTCTGTTTGAGCTGTTTCAGACTGAACCAACAGTACCTAAGCTGAACGTAAACATTTCAGCTTTCAGCCAAATGAAACAGGAGCACCGGTCAGTACAAAACTAATTTCTTTAGCAAAGAGACTAATCATATATGTTCTTCCTTGAGCTGCGAAACCCCGCTGTAGTTCGTAATGGACTGGTCCAAGGTCTCGCTACAAACAAGCGTCTGCTGGAAGAGAGTAGGTGAATTGTGTTTAGTCTCTTTACTAAAGAAATTAGTCAAAGTTAAAAGATGTTTGGTGTCTAGTTCTATGTCTGTGACCCTATATGTCCTGTTGATGAAGTTAGGTGCTGTTCTGAGCATTATTTGTGGCTATAGAGTGGCGTTTTGGTTGAGGTTAGTTCATGGCACCTCAGACCGCTGTATATTGCTATCGTGCGGTCGTTACTAAAGTTGGTAGTAGAGAAGCAAGCGGTCGGCAACATTCATCTCTTGAGGGTCTAACTCGCTGTTGGAAATTCAGTCTTGTTTTAGTGACCAAGTTCATTCGGATCAGCAGGAACCAGCTCTTTTAGCTCTCGGACAACTCTTAAAGAGACGGTTTTTGAAAGCCGAGTCCTTTACAGCTGATACACTTCCTGTCTTAGCATAGATACTGTCTGTTTCCTCAGTGCTGTGTCCCTTCAGTCAAGTCAAGTCAAGAAGGGCTGGGCGATAAATAGAAAATTTACGAATACCGAAATTTACAACAATTTAAGACGTCATTTTGCCCATATTGGTATAGTCAGTGTCAAGTTGGTTTTGGATGTGTGTAGGTAGGCTATGGTCTTATGACCCTTTAAGACACTGTCCTATGTCAGAGATGTGACTCCGCCCCATCCAGTCTGTAACAAAGAGGGAAAGACAGGTGAGGAGATGGAGGACGGTTCAAAAGTTGTAGCGGCTGAAGTAGACAAAGTTAATGTGGGAGGGGGTGAGCAGCTTGTGGAGTAGTTATCGTCCATTTATCATTATTGAGGTGAACTGATCAATATATCGTGATATTGATTTGAGGCCATATTGCCCAGCTCTAAAGTCAAGAATGTGAAACAGGTCTGGTCTGATGAGTTCTGAGGATATTCAAACGTGAATAGCTCCAGTTTTTCGTCTCCGCACTCTGCTGCACAGATCTGTACTGTGCACTCTCATCCTGATGTCCCTAAATTCAGTCCACATCCATGTGGACACGTCTCACCAGACTATTAAGGAGTTGACAGGTTTCAGTTCATCAAGCTCACATCTGGGAAAAGCAGCGATTCAGAAAGCGGAAAGGTCACCGTCTTTCTGTTTACCCAGGTGACCATTCTGCCAGAGCGTCCCGGGGTTCGAACATGTTGACGGCTCTCGTTGAGCACGTATTGTTTCCCAGACTCCTCTCTGTTTGCCTTTCCAGCTTTTTGTTTACAACCCCGCACTGTGCGGACGCCGTGTTGTCGGATAAATAACCTCGGCTGTGTGTTTGCTCGCCGGCCCGCTGGTGTTGACTGTAGCGATGAGTAACAGCGGCGTGGATCAGTTGATGTAGTCACTCAGCGGGTCTGGAGGGAAACATGCATCAGGGTGACTGATGATGTGCCTTTTATATCACAAACCGAACGACAGCGTCTGATTGGACGAGAGCGCTGAAGACTTAAATCTTATGATCGTCAATGAGAGCGCTTATGCAATCTCCTGGAGTGAAGAGGTGGTTTGAGAACACAGAAAAAAAAACAGTTTTTATATGTTCATGTTGTTTCTGCACTTGCATAAGCGCCGTCATGTAACAGGAGTGACTTCTCAAAGTTTGAAATATGTGTCGTAAATGAGAAAAGCAGGAAACCAGCTGCGGCAAAACAGATGGTTGGAGAAGTGGAGCAGGAAAAACAAAACAATGGAGGAGGAAACGAGGACAGAGGATGGAGAACTCCACAACAACAGTTTTCACCAAAAGTGCGAAATGATCCTTTAATCGTTTCTCTTCTCCCTCCTTTAGGGCGCCAATGCCTCTGCCTTGGAAAAGGAGATTGGACCGGAACAGTTTCCCGTTAATGAACACTACTTTGGACTGGTCAACGTGCGTGTCCCTCTCAAACACAAACACAAACATAAAAACAAAATCATTTTTAGTCTTCAGTCAGAGTGTGCGTCTCATCCTGTGTGTGTTTGTCCTTTTTTTTGTTGTTCCAGTTTGGAAACACCTGCTACTGTAACTCAGTGCTGCAGGCTCTCTACTTCTGTCGACCGTTCAGGGAGAAGGTGTTGGCATACAAGGTAAGTGATGAGAGAGAGAGACTTCAGTCAGAACAGGAACAGAAGACGAGCGGCTGAAAGAGTCCACTCAAACACGTCCAGAAATAACACAGTGGACTGAGAGGAGGACAAAGATTTTAGATTTTATGCTACGATTGTATAAAACAGGGTTTCATCTGTGTCTTATTAAAGTATTTAAATCAATTTTGCTACAAAACAATCGGCCGGTGAATCAGACGTCACAACAACACGCAATCTGATTGGTCAGAAGTGGACACACAGTATGTGAAACTTTAGAAAAATCGACCGTCATATAAAAAAATAAATGCAGCTATATTGCAGGACGGGAAAACGTTGCTGATGTGAACGCTTGTATTGACAGGATACGGGTTCGGAAAATAATATTGACGTCCGAAATAATCGCACGAAAAAACCTTAAGTCCTAAATTTTGAAGGTATTTTTTCTTAATTTTCTGTCCAAGAGTTTGGGTCCTAAAAACTTCGTAAACGTGTAAACATTTGTGCGTTTCCGTAAAAAACAAAGATAAACCGGTACAGAAAACAACTACGCTATTATCTCAGAGAGCGCCAGAGTGCACTCCAAAATCCACAAAGTGCATATTACGAACGCACCTATGTCACATGACGCACTCAGCGCACAAAAACGGAAGAGAAGGCTCGGTGAACGGTCATGGGAAAGATCGAGTTTGAGGAGTCCTGGCTTGACCTGCCGGACTTTACAGGACGGCTGCGGCCAGTGGAGCGGAATACCGAGGAGGCGTATCGTAGAACGTGCAAGAAGAGGTTGAACATCGTGTCTACGGGAATTAAGGCATTAAAGTCCAACATGTGTTGCGCTAGCCACAAAGCCGCACCTGAACCTAACGTTACGGCTGCGACCTCGGCTCACTCTCCCTCCTCATTTTCTGCTGCTGGGCGGAAGAGTAACGAAAATTCGGCCAACGTTTTCAGGGCGATTGTTTCCCGATTCAGACATAGCCAAGACTTTTGCTTGTGTTACGAACAAATCTGGTCACATTATACAATTCCGCTTAGCACCAAACTGGATACTAAATTTGATCTAAATGCTTATACTAAACGGTTACATATTGAAGTGGCGGTGAGGTATTAAAAAATATTGTGATGGTCTTAAAAAAGTCTTAAAAAGGTTTTAAAATTAGCTTCAGGATTTCTGATTTTTTTTTCAGGTGCAGCCGCGGAGAAAGGAGTCCCTCCTCACCTGCCTGGCCGATCTGTTCAACAGCATCGCCACGCAGAAGAAGAAAGTGGGCGTCATCCCGCCTAAGAAGTTCATCTCTCGACTGAGGAAAGAAAATGGTTAGCGTCTCATTTCAGAGTCTCCAAACCCTCAAATTAAAGCGTATTTATTTCGAGTCGACGTGCAGCTGCTGCAGCAGATCACGTTTGGTAAATCATTCCGGGGAAACATCCATGAATGAAAGAGTGAAACGTCCTTTGCGAGTAATTTGGGAGGAGATCGATGAAAGGAAAAAGGGAGAAAAGTGTGAAGGAGGAGGGTTATCTGCGCTGATGAGGAACTCAAACCGTCAGCCAAATCCTGCAGCTGAGAGCAGATGAACTTAATTAGCTCTTCTTCTTTTCTGCTTCTTCCTGATGCCGTGTGTTTTGTCTTCATTTCCGACCCATCTGTGCTCCGCTGTAAATTCTCTCTTTTTTTCCTCAGAGCTCTTTGACAATTACATGCAGCAGGACGCCCACGAGTTCCTCAACTACCTCCTCAACACCATCGCAGACCTGCTGCAGGAGGAGAAGAGCCAGGAGAGGCAGCAGAACGGGAAGCTGGTGCAGAACGGAGGAGGAGGAGGAGGAGGAGGAGGAGGGAGTACAGGAGGTGGAGGAGGAGGAGGGAGCGGGAGCGAAGGAGGAGGAGGAGGAGAGGGGGAAGGAGGGAAGGAGACGCAACAGACGTGGGTGCATGAGATCTTTCAGGGGACTCTGACCAACGAGACGCGCTGCCTCAACTGTGAAGCTGTGAGTGAGAGGAAGACCTTTAGACAGGATCTGAAAGAGTCGAATCTTAGACCAGGACTAGAACTAGAAATAATATGTAATCGGAATCGGAATCGTTCAAAATCAAACGATACCCAACCCTACTGTTAAGGGCCCTGAAAAATCATGTTTCCATAGCCGGTGTCTCTGCTTGTGTTTCAGGTGAGCAGCAAAGATGAAGACTTCCTGGATCTGTCTGTAGACGTGGAGCAGAACACCTCCATCACACACTGTCTAAGGTAGTAGAACCGCGACGGTCTGATGGTCTGATGGTCCGATCCATCAACCACGCCCGGGCTCTAACGCTCCGTCGATATTCTGAAAAATTGAATTAGACGCCGAGAGTTTTAGGACTTCAAAATGCTTTTGACACGTCTCACTAAATGTGTGTTTCTGTGTGTGTTTGTGTTTGTGTGTGTTTACAGAGGCTTCAGCAACACAGAGACATTATGCAGTGAATACAAATACTACTGTGAGCAGTGTCGCAGCAAACAGGAAGCCCAGAAGAGGTGAGTGTCGGTGAAAACGAAACACCTTCATTTGGTCTTTTTTCTATCTAATCCTATTTTTGAAGTTGTTTGTTCGAGACGAATAAGATATTTAGGGCCTGTGTCCACTAACAGCGTTTTTATTGAGCCCCAGTTCAGCAGCTGCTGTCGTCAAACTACAAAATTTGTAGCCAGCTTTTAATTAGTTTAATTCTACGAGGAAAATGTACAACATTATCAAAAAAACAGCATTATCAAAAGATAATTTTGGCCAAAAACTTACTTTCTTCAAAAAACAACATAGGCCGTTTTTTTATATATATAAATGTGTATATATATATATATAAAATAATATATATTTATATATATAAATTTGTATATATATATATATATATATAAAATAATATATATTTATATATATAAATTTTTATAATTATAAATTTATTTATGATATATTGGCAGCTCTCCCTGACTTGATGCTCTCAGTGGACACAGGCCCTTACGATCCTACAATCACAGCAGATGTAAAGTGGTGTCACGTTCTGTTGAAATGCTTTATTTCAGACTCCGGTTGATTCTTGTTTTCCCAGTTTTTAGAGCTCCCTGGTGAAATTGCCTAAATCCTTAGTTAAAAGGATCATACCATGGGGATTAAGGTGATTTTATCAGAGCTGGCCAGACTTAATGCTGTCAGTGGACACAGGCCCTTACAGTCCTATTATCCTATCCTAGTCCTATTATTTTAATAGGGTGACGTTATAATTAAAAGTTTTATAAAACAGGAATTTGTCCAGGAACCTTAATGTAGAAAAGAAATATTTATGCAGCTCTTCCTGACTTAATGCTGTCAGTGGACACAGGCCCTTACAATCCTACAATCACAGCATTTATTAATCATGTTGTGTTTAAGTGCTTCATTTCAGACTCTGGTTGATTCTTGTTCCCCCAGTTTTTAGAGCTCCCTCTCAGCTGTTATAAATGACACTGAAATTACACGGACTCATGTGCAGATGCTGAAAATACCCCCCTGCTGTGCCTCCACACGCCCCTTTTGTTTAACCGCAGCTAAATGCAGACTCTGGTCACACTCTGGTTTTTCTAAGTAGACATGTACGGCTTCTGGTTGTTCCATTAGACTTCACCCTTCAAACCACATGAGAAGTGACTACAGCGGCTAGAGGAGCTCTTCCTGTCACTTTCTGATAAGCCGTTTATTCTTACCAGCTACACGCCGGGTCTGAAAAACCACCGAGAGTTCAGCTCTGCACGCAGTGACGAGAAAGTTTCTGTCCACACGTCTTTTTTTGTCTGAATCAGCAAAGAGCGTCTTTGAACATCCATTAGTGTGAAAGGACCACATTAAGAGGAACACAGAGCTTCTTCTGGTTCCCTGTAGGAGGTCTGGTACAGCATGGAGAGCTTTTAGCCGCTCAGGTTTTTAGGGACAGATCCACCTCGCTGACTTTGTTCTGCTCCCCTCCTGCTGGAGTCTTTCTCTTTGTGTTTAATCGTCCTATAATTACAAACTTCTGATTATCTAGTTCAGGTGAAAACTAAAAACCCTCTCTGCCTCTAAAACCTTCTCTGCGTCTCCGTCCTCTCTGTCAGGATGCGGGTAAAGAAGCTCCCGATGATCCTCGCCCTCCACCTGAAGCGCTTTAAGTACATGGACCAGCTGCACCGCTACACCAAACTGTCCTATCGCGTCGTCTTCCCTCTGGAGCTCCGCCTCTTCAACACATCCGGGGACGCCACCAACCCTGACCGCATGTACGACCTGGTGGCCGTCGTTGTACACTGTGGAAGGTACACGCCTCCTCTAACAAGATATTATCTTGCGTGAACAGAATAACAATCATGTGGGAGCAAGTTATTAACATGTGATCACAGTTGACCATCTCACTCTAATAAAATGCAATCTAGTGCGCACAGGTTCATATCTTGCGCATTTTTTTTTTCCAAGCAAAGTAATTAAAATGAGCCCACAAGTAATTGCAAAACAATTACATATTCTCGCAAGATGATTAAACGATATGCACCAGATAGACACAACAACAAATTGTAATCTAGTGCGCGCAGATTCATATCTTGCGCATTAACGTTTTTAATTTTAACTTTTAGGTTTTTAATCCTGTGCACAAGATTTTTTTCCTCAAGCTAGTATCTTGTTCAGGCAAGATAGTCTTTATGTGTGCACCAACATAAGTTTTCATCTTGTCCTCAAAAATTAAGTATCTTGTGCTTTTAAGTGACATCTTTCAAGAACAAGATAACTAACATGGCTAGTTTTAGGAGCGTGTGGTTATGTTGTTGGACATTCAGTTATCTTGTTCATACAGGATAACTTGTGTGTAAATATCTTTGCAAGATAATTCCATATTCTAGCAGGATAATGAAACAATATGCACCAGATAGTTTACAACAAATAGTAATCTGGAGTTTACAGGTTCATATCTTGCGCATCTACGTAATCTCCTTTGGTACGCAAGATTTTTCTTCTCAGTGAAATAGTTAAAATGTGCCCACAAAATAGTATCTTGTTCAAACAAATGTATGTGTGCACGAAAACTTTTTTTGTATCTTGTCCTCAAAAATGAAGTATCTTGTGCTTAAAAGTGACCTATCTTGCAAGTACAAGATAAGTTACACTTGTTATAACCTGTGCCCAACAGCCAATCACATGTGTTCTCAACATTGTTAGTTTAAGAGCAAGTAATTATGTCGTGAATTTATGTTCAAACAAGATAAGTTGTGCACATAAGATCAGAATGTCTTTGCAAGATAATCAGATGTTTTTACAGGATAATTAAACGATTTTCACCAGATAGTTGACCTGTTTCCACAGATTCATGACATGTTTGCACAAATAACTTCATTATACAAGATAATGATCACAATAATGTTACCCTCTTGTATGCGCCAGATGAGCTCTTTTTTGCACAAGATACAAAAATTAGCTTTTTGGGCTTAGGTAACAAAGGTCAGGTGACACCTTTTGGTTCATTGAATCAGCCGCAGCTGTCAGCTGATGATCAGATCATCACGTGTGAGTTTTAAGTCTCTTGGTCTTCAGGTGAGTTTGGTGTGATCTCACAGACGGGTTTTTCTCAGGAGTAGAAACAGGAAACAGACGCTGACATGCTGCTGCTGCTGTCTGTCACTCACTCACTCCATCAAAGGGATTACTCGGTTCTTTAGAGGAGCAGATTTCAGCTGAGCGGTTTCTCTGTGAAGCTCTCTGCTCTTTCAAACTCAGCAGGTGGAGTTTGTTTTTTTAGAGATTTCTCCAAAGTTCAGCTGCAGATTGAACCCTGAGTAACAGTCTCTCTCTCTCTCTCTCTCTCTCTCTCTCTCTCTCTCTCTCTCTTCTGTCTGCAGTGGTCCAAACCGCGGACACTACATCACCATCGTGAAGAGCCACGGCTTCTGGCTGCTGTTTGATGACGACATCGTAGAGGTGAGGGTCAGATCTTCACGCCGGATTAGAGCTGTGTCTTTGTCTGACTGCTTGCTTTTCTAGTTATACCAACTTTAGTAACGACCGCACGATAGCAATACACAGACAAACAAACCTTAACCAAAACGCCACTCTATAGCCACAAATAATGCTCAGAACAGCACCTCAACTCACTCAACTCAACTCAACTTTATTTGTAGAGCACTTTAAAACAACCACAGCTGTACAAAGTGCTGTACATAACAGGACAAAAACAACAAGATAAAAAACAATCAAGAAACAATTAAAACAATGGATAAAATAAAAGCAGAATTAATAATAAAATATAGCTTCAATGTTTTTAAAAACTAATTTAAAAACATAGAAACAAATAACTAAAAACAAACCAACTTCATCAACAGGACATATAGGGTCACAGACATAGTACTAGACACCAAACATCTTTTTAACTTTGACTGATTTCTTTAGTAAAGAGACTAAACACAACTCACCTACTCTCTTCCAGCAGCCACTTGTTTGTGGCAAAACCTTGGGCCAGTCCATTACGGACTACAGCGGGGTTTCGCAGCTCAAGGAAGAACATTTATGATCATTTCTTAATCATTTCCATGAAGTAATAATCACCATATTAATCCTTTTTCACTGCAGACGCTGTAGTTCTTCTGCTTTACCATCTCGGTCTGATTGTCTTTTCATGAAGTAATAACCATAAATGTTCTTCCTTGAGCTGCGAAACCCCGCAGCAAACCCTACTGTTCTGAGCATTATTTGTGGCTATAGAGTGGTGTTTTGGTTGAGCTTTGTTTATGGCTCCTCAGACCGCTGTGTTTTGCTATTGTGCGGTCGTTACTAAAGTTGGTATAACTAGAGAAGCAAACAGGGTGTCTAACTCTAACTCTAACTAACTGTTATGGTGTAACTAAATTAATTTTACGCCGGAATATCCCTTTAAGTCTCCAGCAGGTACCTTTCACCACCGCCCTCAAACTAAATCTTCCCCTGTTCGTTTCCAGTTTCTCCGTTCTTTCCTTCCAAACAAGAAACAGTCGTCATGCCTCAGTCTCAGGATGCCGGAGATGCTCAATATTAGATGGAGATTTCTCTGTGATGAAAACAAAAGCTGCTTTGAAACTGTTACACAACAAAGTTCAGCCGCAGTGACGTTTTTTTTGTTGTTTTTGTTTTGTTCTGCCGGCACAGACCTCCCCAAAGATCCCTCATGTTTACGGCTTTTCTGTATATAAACAGTTGCTAAGGCGGAGAACAGAAAGAGGGTTTAAAGAAGTTTTAAAAGTAGTCCTGGTCCTTCAAAATACATCGTTTTTGTGTTTTGCATCAACCCCCTAAAAGTCGTCCAAAGTTTCCCCACTTTGTCCCCGGCAGACAGGAATTTCAAACCGGCGTCCGTCCAGCCTCTCCGTGTAGATCCTGGCGCTTTTGAGTATTGTGTCTGGATTTCCTGCGACCCAGATACCTTCACCTGCGCTAAATAATGAGGAGCTAACGTGGAGTTCAGCCACGGGGATCCGATTAGGAAGCCAGGACGGCGGATGAAAGGGGTTCAGAGAGGAGAAAGAAAACAAGGAGAAGTGGAAAACCTGCGTCCGATTAGAGCGGAGGATCGGCCCGGAGCCCCGCGGATGAGATCTGGAATGAGAATAATGTTGGGCCTCCTGGTGCTCTTCCCCCTCTCGCTCTCGTTAATCATGCTCACCATCTACCTGCGTCAGATTCCCTTTTAATTAAAACATTATTCAGCGCACTTATGCAGTTTGAAACCAGACATCACATCGAGCAGGGAGACCTGGACGGCACATCATGTTCAGAAAATGAAAAACACGACAGGCTGCTGCTCCGTCTGCTCCTCTCTCTTTTTTAATTTTTAAAAACTTTTGCTTTTTTTTTTCACTTTTATACTAAAAAAGGAGCAAAAGTTACAAAAATCCAGATCCAGATTCAAGGTCTGTGCGTTTTCCTGCTCCTTCTGTTATTCCGCAGCTTCTGCCATCAAACCATCTGTTCTCCGCTGACAGGAGAAAACATGGCAGCCCACACAGACGGTCTGACACCCTCAGAGCATGTGTGATAGCGCTCAGCTAACCGCTTCCAGCTCCTGCCTCTGCACGCCGCCGTCGTCGCCATGACTAACATGACAGATGCAACAGTTCACATTAAGACAGCAGCAGCAGACTTTAAAAGATACACAAACACACGTCGTCGTTCGCCAATAGTATGATGTAGCTCTGGAGTTATTGGCGTTAAACCACACGGACACGCAGCCAAAGCCTCGGCTCGCTGCAGCTGCAGCAGCCGGCCAACCTTTCACTTTGTTATTTTCCATCTTCACGCCAAAAAGAACAGCGAGCAACGGCGGTGGAGCTATCAGCGGTTAACTGAGCGTGCTGCCCAGACAGTAAACACTCTAGGGTCTATACAGGGGCGTGCTTAGACTATTTTGACTGGGGTGGCCCTAGGGTTGTAAAGGGGTGGGAAATTTTCGGTAACTTTCCAGAAACTTTCTATGGGAAGTTAAGCTGGGGGATTTTGGAAATATTCCAAATTGGAAACAAAACACTAATGCAATGGCAGGAACAGAAATATAGTTGGATAAACAACTGGAATGGTCTGGAAAACAGTATCACATTTGAGGAAGCTACCACCCCCATAAGCTAGCCCCTTAAATAGTCAATAAAATTAAAAAAAATTTATATTTTCCCTAACTATATTTAAGTTCCCTAATGAGGGCCAACCTTCAATTTTATAAATTTTGGATTTATTCCCATTAATTCCCACATATTCCCATTAATTCCCACATATTCCCATTAATTCCCATATTTTCCCACTAATTCCCATTAATTCCCACATATTCCCTTTAATTCCCACATATTCCCATTTATTCCTGTTAATTCCCACTTATTCCTGTTAATTACCGTTAATTCCCACACATTCCCGTTAATTCCCATATATTCCCACATATTTCCTTTAATTCCCATTTATTCCCACACATTCCCTTTGATTCCCATATATTCCCACATATTCCCTTTAATTCCCACATATTCCCACTTATTCCCGTTAATTCCCACACATTCCCACACATTCCCACACATTCCTTTTAATTCCCACACATTCCCACTTATTCCCGTTAATTCCCACATATTCCCATATGTTTCCATTAATTCCCATAGAAATTTTCCAACTTTGAAAATCCACGGAATTTTGCAGCCCTAGGTGGCCCAGTCCGGGTGGCCAGGGTATCTGTGTACAGTGACTCAAAAATTTAGTTACATAAATCGTCTTGAAATTCACAGCAACCCGTTGCCCGCCTTTTACAAATCAGAAGAATTGAAATGGGAGAAAAGCATATTATCCCAGCCCTAATAGTTCGTTTAGGGGTGGTCTGGAAGCTTTTGTGGTTCGAGTAAAAAATCTACCAAAGACAGGGCAAAATTTTACAAAGTTCAAATCTTCATTCACAGAAAAATCAAAATTTCTGAACTTTTATTTTAAAATGTTGATTTGATGTAAATCTGCAGTGTGAGCTCAGACCGCTCTGTCACTGATGATTAAAACTGATCACGTCTCCTTCAGTGTGTTTTTCCACTTTGACGGAAACATCTGCTCCAGTGAAGAGAAACCGGTCTGTTGATTTCTGCTGAGTTTGCTGAACAGAAGCACAAAATTTTCATTTTTTATGGTTTGTGGAGGTTTACTCTCCTCGTCTGGATCACCACTTTCCTTAAGTCTGAATTTTTTTCTGTCTTTTTGGGGTTTTAGCCCCAAATTGAGACAGTCTCCTCCACCGAGTTTCTGGAAATTTCTTGTCCGCATACTCAGGATTTAGCTGAGAATGAAATCTAAAGCCCCCGTGAAACAGTTACAAATCAAATTCCAGCAGCATAGCAGTGAACTGAAGCAGAGAACTCAGTGTTTTGCCAACACAGACCTCCTCAAAGAGCCGACATGTCTTCAGATTATCTTTGAACAAAGATTTAACAAGGTTTGGGAGAGGAGATCACTGAGATGTGGTTTCTGTTTCGATGCCTGGGCAAGAAAAGGCGTTTCAAGACGTGACAAAAAAACATTAAGATTTTTGATTAGTGATGGGCACGGTAGTTCTTTTAGATGTACTGAATCACTAGAATCAGTTCACTAAAAAGATTTGTTCAAAAGATTCGTTCACCAAATCACAGAATCACTTAACCCTTGGTGACCCCGACCTCCTGAACTGATACACAGCTGAACGTGTCAGGATTCAGTTCAGTTCATAGTTTCTGGGACTCAGAAATGAGAATGTTTGGCTGTGTTGCTTCGGCAAAAAAGTCATGCTCAGTAACTGATTCGTTCACTAAACGTTTAGAAGAATTCACACTGAACAGTCACCGTTTCCTCGCAAACGGCTGCGGGTTTAATGCACTATTTGTTACATGCTGTGTCCTATTGTATGCAAGTTGTTGTCATGGCAATTTAGCAATCAAAAAGAAAAAAAGGGTAGTTTTGTCCGACAAAAATGATTCCAGAGAGTGTAGTTCATGCGTGATTCGTTCACAAAGTGATTCAAGGCGTCTGTGCATGTGGGTCCTTGTTTGCTGGCTGCTGGCCTGGCAATACTGTAATAAACAAGAAATGAACGAATCACTCGAGGAAGTGATTCGGTTCTGTACATTCACTTAAAAGATTCGGTTCTTTCAAATGAATCGTTCTTGAACAACACATCACTATTTCTGATCAGTTTGAGGGAGGCTGCAGGAGGATCTATGCAAGTTTTGGTTTGTGTTAAATAGACTGGTTTAAACTTTTCTCTTTCGGAAGTAAACGTCGTATTTTTCAACTCTTGTTTTGCTTGATTCTCTTGTAGAAAATCGATGCACAGGCGATCGAGGAGTTCTACGGTCTGACGTCGGACATCTCCAAGAACTCGGAGTCGGGATACATCCTGTTCTACCAGTCCAGAGACTGAACCAGCCAGCGGTAAATCCCCAACAGACTGTCACTCAACAGAAGGGGAGGGGCTAAAGGCTGCCACAGGCTCCGCCCAGTACGCTCACATAAGTATCCAGGCTTTATTCCCTGCAGGCGGAGCTTTGCACCGGAGCGCCACTGGGATCGCTGTCGAGACGTGCGCAGGTTGCATGCCAGCCTCCTGGATTACGAGCGCCATACTCCTCTGAGCCCTCACTGCAGAAACAAAGCACCTTAAAACAAAAGACGGCCGATTCTATAACACTCGCTTCGCACTGGGGCTTCAGCTGGGAGGACTGGAGCGACGCCAAATCCAAGAGGCTGACATCGCCATACGCATGGCGCTCCATTCTGGAGGTAAAAGCAGTCTGGGATTGTTGAGACGACGCAGAGTAACCAATCAACTGTTTCCGAAGAGACTCTTAACTTCTGATTGTAATCCTGCTCGTCACGGTAACCAGCTTCATCACGGTCTTCTTTGGCGTTTTTTTTTTTTTTTTTTTTACATGTGCACATATACAATTCTAAATTAGCTCCATGCTAACACACCCGAACCACAGTTAACTTAAAAAAAGTACTTAAGAGCCGTTTTAGACGTCCCACCTGCTTCATTAAAAACAATTACATGACCATTGGCGATTGGAGAGCAAAGAGCGACGTGCGGTGAGCGAAATTTTTTTTTTTTTGGATGTGAGGGGAAGTTCCCACCCACCTTGGTCTCTGATTGGCTAGAAGTGCTGGGCTCCGATTGGCTATTCCTAAGGGCTGTGTAACTTCATCGTCTGTCAGGTTAGGAGTAGGAGATTCAGAAGTGCGAGCCCGTGTTGGCTTGAGCGTGTGATGACCTTTCCAGCTCTTCTAGCCAATCAGAGGCGAAGGAGGCGGGACTTTTCCCTACCATCCAACAAAAAAAAAGATATTGCCGTGCAGTGATGCTAGTCCTGAATTTTCTGTAATAAAGTAGCGCAAACAACAAAACGAGAGTTACAGATAAAAATTCATAAAATTTATCGTCTTTAATTAAAAGAAATATTAGAAACATGAAAAAAGATAAAAACTAACGATCCACAAAATCAGAAATATCACAAAATCTGTTTATAACTGGCTCTGCCGTGAAGGAAATTGAAGCTCTTATTTCGAAAAAGCTGGCCAGCGAATTAAGTTAAAGTAGCCGCTTTTATTCTGAAAATCTGTCAGGTCACGTTTTCGGTGCCACTGTGTGAAAATCCAAACGAGGACGCGTCAAACAAAAGAGCGACCAGGTGTTCGAACATCAGAGCGAGCCAACTTTTTTTTTAACAAATCGGCTTTATCCGATTTTACTTTCAATTTGACGTTGTTTGACTTTTTCAAAAAGCCAAAATACGCACATGTGTGTGTGTCCTTTTTTAAAGGGACACAATCCAAAACCTTCCTCCTCTTTCAGTCAGACCTGATACCCACACTACATTCAGGCTGAATGTTTGTGTGTTTTGTCATTTTTGTTCTCAGTTAAAGCTTTATTCCTGGACAAAAACACCTCCACACACACACATACACACACACACACACACACACACACACACACTCCTGCTGCAGCTGTTCATCACCATCCACCAATCACACGCTGGCAAATTTGAACTGGAGAGGCTGGAGTGCTTTTCTGTCCTGCAGCTGCAGCTTTGGCACGCTGTCAGACCTTTTACATAACCTCTTCTTTTTCACGTCCAGAATCTTAAATTGAAGCAGAGATGTGGACAGTCTGCTGATGTGGAGATGGTGGCTGAAAGCGTCCTCTAACTCTCCTAAATGGGTTAAAATTCACTAAATCAAGAACAAAGAACCATTTGAAAGCCTGTACTGTTTGCTTGAACCTGCTGATGGGTACCAACCTCCTCCTCCTTCTTCGTCACCTCAACGCACAAACAAACCAAATGTAGGAATTTTTTTCTTATTTTTATTGAAGTATGTTTTCACACTGCCAAGCTATTGCCCCAAGTACGCGATGAAGCTCACCTCCTCACTCCTAAAAGTGACGGGAACTTTTAAGACGTTTATAGTTTTCAGTTGTTGAGGGTTTCAGCTTTCATTAGGATGTTGAAGTGCAGTTTAAGGCTGCAGTCAGACACGTTTCAATAATCTGAAGTTCTCTCTTTCCTGCAGAGACAAGAAAAGCACTTTTGACTCCGTAAGTTTGCAGCTGAAGATTTGAGGCTTTTATTTTGAAGCCAAACTGCAAAAGTTCAATAAAAGTTAAAATTCAGTTCTGGTAGAGTTTGGAAATCTCTGAGTTTGCTGGCAGTTTTTTAACATAACCTTAGCTTGAATTTGTTTGGTTTCTTAATTTGAAATTCGATTCAAAATGGCTCTGATTTGATTTTTAAAAAATTACATTTTTTTTTAGACTTTTCAGACTTTCCAAAATCAGTATAACTATAATCTTGATGTGCCAGAAAACTTCCAAATTTCAAGGATTTTCAGTAGGAAAACCATTTTGATCAGTTTGTTTTGCATTAAGGGCCTGTTTCCATCAACAACTGTCAATTTCAAAATACTTATATTTAAAGTTTTGACTGGCCAGTTGGGGTGAAGTGAAATTTTTGGCTGTTATTCAAAAGTTGAATTATTTTTAACAGAAAATGCTGATGCTAGGGGCCTTTGAGCTGCCCCTAGTAAATGGACACAGGCCCTAGAGGGGGGTGGCTCTGATTTTATAAAAAAAAAAAATAACATTTTGTGGTTTTTTTTTTTAGACTTTTCAGACTTTCCAAAATCAGTCAAAATCAGAAAACATTCCTATTTCAAGGATTTTTTAAGTAGGAAAACAATTTGATTGGTTTGTTTTGTAAGGGCCTGTTTCCATCAACAACTGTCAATTTCAAAACACTTTTATTTAATGTTTGGATTGGCCAGCATCAGCGAAGTGACATTGTTGGCTGTTTTCCCAAAAATTGAACTATTTTTTACAGAAAACGCTGAAGCTGAGGCCTTCGAGCTGAATTGTTAATGGACACAGGCCCTAGTGAGGATGGTAGCTACTGCCTAGAAGTCGAGTTTAAAGTGACAGATCCATAACTTTACTATGTAGCCGGTAAAGTAGTGAAAAAATTGACAAACTTGGGTTAAAATGGATGATATAACTCTGACCCGAATGATTCCTGTGCTCTGTAAGTTAAAGCACTGCCAGCATAAACATATCCAAACTCTACTTTATTAAAGTCTTTACTATAGTTTTTAAAATACTGCAAATGAAAGCAGGAAACGGAGCAACTTTTGATTATGTCCTGAATTCACTGGGTTATCAACACTATTTCCAAAACCATCTTTGCTGCTCTTAAACTGAATTATTGTAGATGAAAGAGTTTTTTTTGTGTGTGGTTGAATCTTTAACGGGAGGGTAAATCCAGTTCATTTCCATCAGCTCTACAATAATAAAAGTCAATTTGTAGTTTTTGGTTGCAAATGGCTTAAAATACAAAAAAATATCAGTTTTTATTCATGGCATGAATGATCAAAATAAAGCACAAAAACACAAGTTTAGAGATAAAGGTTGGAGTTACAGTCTGAAGTTAATTTTTCTATAAAATACAGTTTCATGGAAATCGTTCTTCCTCATCAGCCATTAAGAAAACGGAAATTTCTGGACTGTGTTCGAAAACAATGTTGAATTAAGGCTCTTGAAAGGCTTATTTAAATATAATTAATATTATTTTAAGTGTTCATGTATCTTCTTTTTTTTCAGTTGTTCCACTTGTTTTTGATATATTTCACTAATTTTACTCGTCTACCATTGTTGCGTAGGCAGCGTTTTGAAGATTATTTTCTTTTAATTTGAAGGTTTTTGATGAGAGATGTTGATGTGTACATAAATACAGATGTTATTATTGGAAAAAAATATTTGCTTGCTTGAAATAATCAGCAAATCTAGATAGGAAATATTAGTGGATGCTATATGTTAACAAAAACAAAAAAATCTATTCTTGTAATCAATCAATTGGACTGGTGCTCAAAAAGTAACAAGATCTACCTACTTATATGGCATCCCAGACAGCCCAAAACAAACTTCCCAAAGTAAACTAACTGCTAACTGTTTGATTAACAAAAGACTGTCATTGATATATAAAAAAACTTTTGAAAAAGTTTTGTATTCAAAGAAGAAACAGACCAAAAACTGACTTGTACATCACTGTGTTGAAGGAAAAATCCACTTTAGAGTTCACAAAGATCAGATAATTTTAAAGTTTTTGACTGATGTAGATCTAGTGAATTTAAGGTCGTATGTTGAGGACGCACCTTGAGGTATTATTATGTTCAAGAACCTTTAAATGCATGAGACGGTTTTCAGTTCTTATCCACTGCTTCTGAATAAAATATTATAAAGAGTAGCCTGAATCTGGAAAAAATACCAACTGCAAACAAACATTTTTGACTCAGATACACTGCCTAATGCATGTTAAATAAATCTGGTCTTTAAAATGATAACTATCGATGTAAACAGATCAGTGAAAGCAAAGAAAACTGTTACCTGTTTGGAAGATACATCATGGTGTCATCGGCGTAGAGTGTGAGCTTTTTTCTGTAGTTTCAGATTTTATGACCTCATTTACAAAGTTTCTCCATTTACCTCAGATTTTTTCTTAAACTCACAGTTAACTTGACATTTTTTTTATGATTAAAAACTTTTATTTAGTGACTAAAAGTCCATGACTGATCGAAGTGATGATTTGATGAAGTTGGAAAAGTAGAAGCGATGATAACGACGGAGTAACAAAAACTGACGTGTGTGCGGGTGGATTTTTCCTTTTTAACAGTTTTAAGTTATATTGTCTGCTCTCTCGAATGTCCCTTCGAGGTTTATTCATCTGCGTCACTCCACTTTTTTTTTTTTTCCAAACTCACAAAGAATGTATTTGTTTTGAAGGGTGAAAAAGTGGCTGAATGTGTCAGAAACACTCCGGATATTTCGCAGACTGTTTGTTGTAACTGGTGTGCAGAGCGGCAGCAGCCTCACAAACAACCCAAACAGAATTTGTTTGATTTAATTCAAAACCTCAGAAAGCACTTGGTGTTTTTCCATTTGAGAAAGACTTCCCCTGAGTTAAGAGTCCGACTAAAGCACAGCAGACAGCGGGTGAAAAATCTAACTCATTGAGTCTTCTCTGCTCTTATTGTGTCTCCTTTCTCAAACAGAACGAAGTGTTTTCACTCAAATTTGAAGGATTTTATTAACTGGACACCAACTTCACAGACTGTTTAGCTTCAAGACTTCGATCTTTCTTGTTTTGTCGGTGTTGTTGTCAGGCTGCTGCTGCACACACTGCTGTCTGAAGTTCATTTTGAATCCATGTAGATGCAGTGAAGTTTGGGAATGATGGCTGGTTCTGATGGTGTCCAAACTGTTTGAAATAAAACACAAACTGGTTTTGAAGATGGAATAACCTAAAACTTTTTCCTAGGTTTTCATTCCTCCTGTAGTTTCTCCTCAGAGCAAGTCATGTGAGGCAGAGGAGCTGCATTTTATCAGCCGGGACTTTTTCATTTTTCAATTAAGTTTTATTTGTGTGGCACCGAATCATAAGTCATCTCAGGACAAACAGGAAGGCGACTGTTCTATTTTCTCAAATATTTTCTGTGGTAACAGAAGTGGTGTGAGAAAAACATCTCCTCCCCAAAATGAGGAAATTCATTTGTATGTTTCTTAGATCAAAACAAAAATCCAAATCCAGCAAAAACTTTAGTTTCACAAACTTTCAGTTGATAAACAGCAAGACTCAGTTTCTTCAAAGTCAAGTTTTCAGCCAAAACCTTTTGTAAGTCGAAGCACATTTGTGTTGCCAAAACTATTTTAGCGATGAATCTTTTTAACCTGAACTATTTGTGACAAAAAAATTTTGAGCTGAAACAACTTCTTGGTGAAACTCTTTCAAAGTCAAACAATTTTTGACAAAACATCTTTTGGTTAAAAGTTTTAAAGCCAAATTTTTTCACCAAAACTTTTTTTTGCCACTTCATTTTCTAAATTTTGTAATTTTATTTTAAGGTAAAAACATGGTTTTAGCTTTTTTGTTGTTGTTTAAGAGCCTTTTTTCTCCACCCTTAGCACTTTTTCACCAAGATTTTTTGTTAAAAAGACAAAATTTTAACCAAAACTTTTTTATTGCCACCCCAAGCAATCTTTTTAAAGGTTGAAATTTTTTGAGGGCAAAAAACGTTTCTTAATTTATTTTGAACAATTTTTTACCAGACAAAATTTTTTCAACTATTATTACAGTATTTTTAGCCAAAACATTTAAAACCAAATCTTTTCTTGAGCCACAACCTTATTTTTCTTAAGTATTTTAAAAAAATTTCCCAGCAGTTACGGTAAGTTTGATGAACTATTTTCTGCCAATTCTCTCTTTCTCAATTCATAGGTCAAGAGGAAAAAAAAGGACCATCTGTTGATGGTTTCTGTTGATTTTACTCGGAAATATGGTTTCCTGATTCCCACCTGTTTTAGTCATTTAGTTTAAAAGACAAATGAGGTTTTAGAAAAGATTAAAGATTTCGAACAGGATGGTAATTTTCTACCAGCCTCTAGGACATTTCTAGTAATTGACGTATTTGTATCCTAAAGTTGAAAAATGTGGAAAATGTTGTAGTTTCAATCCTGAAATATTCAACATTTGAAACTGAAAGGTAAGTGATTTAACTTGTATTTACTTGTGATGGATCGGTTGCAGCAACAAGTGTTTTCCTCTTATATAGAGCCCACAGTTGTAAAAGAAGATGCTGCAGTTGAAGAGATGTTTTTTTTTTTCTTTTAGCAGAGAAGACAGAGCAGTAAAAAAAGAGCATTGTGAATCAAATGAAAGCAGTTGAGGTATAAGACATAATGAGAAAGCTTTTTGCCTGCATGAGATCATCTTCCCACGAGGGTTTTTATCTTCTGACTCACCTTGTTGCCTCTCAGACGTTTGTTTCCCGGCCAAAATATGACTGAAACTCTGGTGTATTGTGTTTTTAGCAGAAAGAGTGCAGTGACTCAGATCTCTTCCCTCCCAAAAGACTCCACATCAACATCATGCAGAGGCAGAAAGACGTTTAATTCTCTGCAGGTAGGTGGTACAAGCTCTGGTTCAGGTTCTTGAAGGAATAAACAACAATATAGAAAACATTTCACAAAGAAAAAAATACAAAAAGAGGAAAAATATACCATGTTTGGAGTCCGAAAACTGCAGGAATGAAGGACACAATCTGTTGAATATGAGTGTTTTTGTTTAGGAAACACAGGCTTGAATGATGGAAAGACTTTGTACAACAATAGAAACATCCAAAAACACACATTTAAAGACGAGTTTCAACATTCAGTGAGTCTGATGGCAGGTTGAGCTGATCACACAGTTGGCGCCCTCTTGTGGTGTAACCGTGAACAGTTGCCTGTCATTTGAGAGTAACACATGCTTTGAATCCTGTTTGATCAGCTTCCACTTCCATTTTTCTTTAAATCTTTGAGTGAGATATGTCCTGCTAGCTCTGATAGAGGTAGGTCCAGCCTGACCATCTGATGATCCAAAAACACGCTTACAGAAATCTAATCTGTCAGAGGAGCCGGCCCCTGAAAAAAGTCAACATGCTAAAATCTCAAATAGATGTTTATTTGGTGATTTGTAAATCAGAAACAATTTGGCCTCAACTTGGGTTAAATTTAAGACTCTTATCATCCTGAAACCACGAAATTTGAATGTGGAAAAATTCCAAATCTGGGGGATCGTAAACAATCGGTGCAATTTCAGTCAAGTTTAAGATGATAAAAATACTCCAAGTAATCCATAACCAAATATAAATATTGATGCTCCTTTACCCGCTGTCATCCTTGTTATTAATAGTCTTCAGCTGAATTTTTGTGTTTATACGTAGTGTAAGCATGTTTATATCTTGAGTTGATCGTCGAATGTTAAAAGCAAAGTAATATAAATATCTTACATTATACCCCACTTACAAGGTAGAAATATGATTTCAACTAAATTTAGCCCAGATGTACAACAGAGTATAAGGGCCACAAAAATTGAAGACTTCGTAATTAATCTCGAGAATAAAGTCATAGTAAAATCATTACTTACGAGGATAAAGTCATAATTAAATCATTACTTACAAGAATGAAGTCATAATAAAATAATTACTTTTTTTTTTCTTAATGTGGCCCTAATATTCCATCGTCCAGATGTAACAATGATGGTTACATGCTGCCACTCCGACAATTAGAGACCAATGTCGGAATGGCGGGATGTCGGAATGGCGGTTGCCCCCCAACCCTGATATAAAAAAAACCGTAAAATGAGTTACAGATCACCAAATAAAAGTAAAGTTCTTTTGCGTATAGAACGAGTTCCTTTCTTTGATCTTTTTGAGTCTTTGATGTTTTAAAGTTCCGAAAGTCATTCATCTTTTTTTCAACTGTAGCTTTTATTTACAGAGAACGCAGCTTAATGCAGGTTATAGAAAAAAAAAAAAAAAAAACATCAAAGAAACAGAAGGTTCCGGAACATGAGTTCATGTAGAGTTCTCAGTGAGGTTCCTATTAGTGAAGAAAAGGGTTCTTTGAATAATGAAGACATCATATACACATAATATACACTGGAGATATTATTACATCCATCACAGACAAAGATTTTTAACAGGTTCGTAGAGTCGCGTTTCCTTCGTTTACGTACGTTTTTGTACGTCTGTAAAATTTTGTACATTTATGCGCTTCTTGTATCGTCATTGTAGGTAGTCTTCTGCAAAAACAGTTTTATACTTTTTTTTTTTTTTTTATCCTCATCTCCTGGTTTCCTCATGCTTTATGTGTCCAAACTTCACATTTACACTTACGCTGTGTTCAAGCGGGAAATTCCAACTTACATGCAACAGGTGCTCTCTCGCAAAATGTGGATTGAATATTTCTCAGCACCAAATTAGACTTTTCGGGACTACTGTTAGCATTCGTAAATGTAACAAAAATTCGGATCCGTTCTTGAAGCTTTTTCTTCCTCTTTTCGTCCTTCATCATACCATCGTCTCCGAGCCCGACCCTTTCCCGGTGAAGAAGTCCCAGAAGTTCGACACCGTGCTCGCTTTGCTCTCCTCGTGCGGCGTCTGTCTCACCCAGATGCTGCTCTCCGTCGAGCCGCTCAGGCTGTTGCAGCTGCCGCTCCCGCTGCCCCCCAACGTGAAGCTGAGCGCGTGTCCCAGCGGCCCCCTGCGGTCCGAGGCGTCCGAATCCTGACAGTGGACCCTGGAGGAGGAGGAGGAGGGCTGAGCCAGGCTGAGCAGGTTGTGGTGGGAGTGGAACTGACGCATGTGGCGAATGGATTTACCGGGAGGGACGTCACCTAGTGGACGGAACAGGGAAAAGCACATTTACTTTGGTATGAAATGTTGTTTTCCATTTTTGGAAAACTATCAGCGCCCATTTTTTTACACCTCTTTTTTATCAAACAAAAGACAGAACTAATAATGAACATCATTGAACTTTTAAATGGAGAATTTAAAAGCCTACTTTTTTAAAAAATTCACAGACTTGTAAATTAGATTTATCAAATGTCTGTTCAAAATGGAGAAAGACTTAGGCATGAAATAGAAGAGCCATTTTTTTTAAACTAGATTCTTGAAAAGTGAAAAAGTGTGAAAAAAAATTCTGGCGAGATATGAAGAACAGCTATTCTTGAATCTGTAAAGAAAACTGAAAAATAAAATGAAAATAAGGCATCATTTGAAAAGTGCATTTTCTCAAATTTTTACGCTATTTTTTTATTCTTTGCACTTTTTCTTTAAAAAAAATGTAGAAAATACGTCTCAAGAACACTAAAACTGAAACTAGCAATTTTTTTCCTTAAACTAAATTTTTCAAAAAAAAAAAAAAGTTGGACATAAAAAAAGACAAAAAAGGCTTACTTATATTGAAACATATTTTTTTAAGTTTTAAAAAATTGTGTCTTTGACAAAATTTTGAAACTAAGCATTTATCATCAAAACAAATTGGGTATAAATGCTTGTAAAAAAAATTTGCAAAAATTATTCAGAATCAATGTGTCAAAAAAAAGAAAAAAAAATTTAAACAAAAACATTTTGAATAAAAAAAAACTCAAATTAAAAGCTTGGAATGAAATTATTTTTAAAAACTGCAGAAAGGAAATGTTCAAAATGATGGTTTAAACTTAAATCAGTCAATTTAGGGCTTTAAAAAACATTAAATCTTAAAGTAATCTTTTAAACCTATACAGATCTCTATGTATTATGGTTTGAAATATTAAATAGCATTACAACATTTATGAATAATAAGCCTTTATGTCTTATTTGTAACACTTGCTTTAACTTCCCATCTCTCACAGCTAGGTGGTGCTATAGCAGCATTTATGATGCCTGCACATCAGTTTTAAAAATGTAGTTTGGAACAGAGAGGACTTAGTTTTCATCCCACACACACAAAAACTGTCAGATACATCAGTGAAAGCACATTTGAAAACTCTTAATCTGTGATAACACATTTAAAACTGAACTCCAAAGACGGTCTGATTCACTTTGACTCATTTTAAACTTCTCTCAGCCTCAAATAGTCTCTTTGAAAAGGTGCAAACTTGTAAATATAGATACAACAGCCTTTATAAAGTTCACATTAACAGATTTAAACAGTGAATTTAATTTCAAGTTTTCACATTCCTACATAAATGACTCAGTGAGGACACTGCGGCCTTGAGCCAAGCACAGAATGAGACCTAAAACCACCATGTGTACCATACCGTATCTGTGCTCCTGTCTCTTCCTGTTCTGGTTCAGTTTGAGCACGTTAAGGAAAACCTCGCTGGTCAGGCTGCCCTCACCGCCGCTACCATCAGGAGGAAACAGCGGAGACGGCGGCTCCAGAGGAGACAAACTCCCACTGGACGCGCCGACAGAGTCCAGAGACGCCCCCGTGTCCCGCCGTCCTCCTCCTCCTCCTCCTCCCGTCTCGCTGCTGCTCTCCATGGTCAGGTGGCTGCCGCTGTGAAGTAAGAAGACAGACGCACAGATGTTAGCGGCCTGTTTAGACTTATTTGGGGTGAATTCAGGCTGGTTGTCATGGTTACCTGAGCTTCCTCCGCAGCAGGTAGTCGATGATGTCGGGGTCTGTCTGGATCAGACTCATCAGGACCTCCTGCTGCAGCTCTGCAGAAACCTGCACAGCCAAACAGAAGACAGTTGTTTAAAGAAACAATATTCACACGTGATTTAAAGCTCCAGTGAGGAGTTTTTGAGACACATAGACATTAAAGGGATATTCCGGCATAAAATAAATTTAGTCTAAAAAGTTAAAAAAAAAACAACAACAACAACAACAACAAAAAAACAATAAAGGAATCATAAGAAAAGTGAATTTTCTTGCTATTTTATTACACTATTTTTTAATTATTTAGACTTTTTATTCAAAAATATAGAAAATACAGTTCAACAACATTAACACTGAAACTAGTTATTTTTATTCTTACTCTAGATTTTTCCCAAAAATTGTTGGACATTTTTCAGCAAAAACATTTTGAATTGGAATAAAAAAAATTGCAAATTTAAAGCTTGAAAAGAAATGATTTTTAAAGCTGCGGAAAGAAAAAGTTCAAAATGAAGGTTTATTTAACCTTAACTACAATCAGTCCATTTAAAGATTCAGATTTTCAAACTTTTACAGATCACTCTGTATTGAGACCTAAAATATTAAATTGGCATTACAACATTTACTTTGAAAAAATAAACCTTTATGCCTTATTTGTAATACTTCAATACTTCAAATTCCCGTCTCTCACAGCTAGGTGGTGCTATAGCTGCATTTATTCTGCCTGCACATCAGTTTTAAAAGGTCTAATGTTCTTTCTTGAGCTGCGGCACCCCGCTGTAGTCCATAATGGACTCACCTGAGGTCTCGCTACAAACAAGCGGCTGCTGGAAGAGAGTAGGTGAGTTGTGTTTAGTCTCTTTGCTAAAGAAATTAGTCAAAGTTAAAAGGATGTTTGATGGCTAGTACTTTGGCTGTGACCCTATATGTCCTGTTGATGAAGTTAGGTGCTGTTCTGAGCATTATTTGTGGTTGTAAAGTGGCGTTTTGGTTGAGGTTTGTTTATGGCTCCTCAGACCGCTGTGTATTGCTATCGTGCGGTCGTAACTAAAGTTGGTATAACTAGAGAAGCAAGCGGTCGGCAACATTCATCTCTCGAGCCTCTCCTCTCAACGATCACATAACCAGGTCCGACAGCTGTTTATGTGTCTGTGATGTTCTGCTGGTTTGTACCGTGAAGAGCCTCTTGTAGTTCTGGATCAGCACCAGAATCACGCTGATGATGGACGTGCTGTCCTCGATCCCGATGGCGTGAGGACTCACTTCTCCTTTCTCTCTCTGCAGCAGGTTCGGACCGAAGATCACGGCCAGGTTCGCTGCTGTCATCTTGTTTCCACAGATCTGAGGAAGAGGAGTAAGAGGAGAAGAAGGTTATTGATGCTTTTACGAATGGTGACACCTGTTGAGTGAAGAGGACTCGGTGCGGTACCTCCTCGTCGTTGGTCCCGATGCTGTCCTGGGCGTAGCTCTGCACTGTGTGGAGGAAACTGAGGAGGCGCAGCAGAGTGTCACAGTTACACGGAGGGAGCAGGTAGAGGAGGTGCTGCAGGTACTGGAGCTGGTCTGCTCCTCTTAGCACTAGAGGAAACACAGATGAAGAGGTTTTAGTCTGATTGATAAAACTGTTGTGTATCTGCGTATATGTGTGTAAATGTATGTGTGCATACGGTTGGCGTGCAGGAAGGAGGGGTACAGCTCTCGGGGCAGCAGAGGGTCCGGCATGTCTCTGAGGAACTCTTTCAGCAACGCCGCCACATCGTGGACGCTCTGCTCCTCGTCCAGCTGCACGTCCACGCCCATGTCGAAGTCCTCACGAAGCTGAGGAGAATTGGACCCATTTTGAATTTGCCCAAAGAGAGATTGACTCACGGAGGTGAAACAGCGGTCGCTTTTTCCCAGTGGATGAGATTTCTCAAAAACAGGATGCCAGGCATCATCAGTTTTTTTTTTTTTTTTAAACAGCAGATTTATTTTTATCCTCAGAAGTCCAGAGGAGAGGGACACGAAGTGAAGGAGAGCGAGTCACAGGAGGGTTTAACAGAAATGTCACGACCCAGAACTGAACCCATATCAGATTTTCTCCTCATGATTAACATGGACTTAAAATATTATGATAATGATATTTAAACATTTATAGAAATTTGAAAATTAATGTCATGTCTTATACATAGAATGTTTAATCCATACAGTGGTCTAAATAATGTAATTATTATATGATATATTAAATAATATTAATAACAATTATTATTAATATTAATATAATTATTATTATAATTTTATATTATTATGATTGTGATTGTGACTATTATTGTTATTATTATTATTATTATTACTACTACCACTACATATTATTATTATTATTACTTATTATTTTATTATCGTTTTTATTATTGTTTTTATTATTATTACTTATTATTATTACTACTACATATTATACATTATTATTATTAACTTTATTATTATTATTATTACATATTATTATCATCTATATTATTATATTTATTTTATTATTACTTATTATAATTATTATTATTACTTATCATTATTATTATTACTACATATTATACATTTTTATTAACTTTATTGTTATTATTTTTATTATTATATATTTTATTATTAGTATTATTATTATTATTATTATTATTATTATTATTACTACTACTACCACTACATATTATTATTATTATTACTTATTATTTTATTATCGTTTTTATTATTGTTTTTATTATTATTACTTATATTTATTACTACTACATATTATATATTATTATTATTACTTATTATTTTATTATTATTATTATTATTATCATCTATATTATTATTTTTATTTTATTATTACTTATTATAATTATTATTATTACTTATTATTATTATTATTACTACATATTATACATTTTTATTAACTTTATTGTTATTATTTTTTTTATTATTATTATTGTTATTATTATTATTATTAGATAACCCAAATACATGAAACAGAAAGAAGTCCTCCTCACCTGTCTGACTCTCTTCTTTGAGCTTCCAACCCTGAAAATCCCCACAGTCTGAAGACCTGGAGACACCAGACAGAGCAACAGAGAATAGTTTTTATTTTCCTACATTAACAAAGATTTCTATTTTTACATTTACATAAATAAATTCACTCTAAGACTTCAACATTTACTGTTTTCAGGTTAACGAGTTCACTCTGTTCAGGGACTCCGAGTGTCTCACCGTGCGTCTCGATGTGATTGCAGCACCTCTCCACCACGCGGGGCACCTGTCTGTAGATGGGGTTGAGGCTGAGTTTGGTCTGCGTCCTGCCCTCCGACGAGCCGCCAGGGGACTTCTTCAGCTCCAACTCTGCAGGATGAGAGAGCTGCAGCGCCTCCAGCAGGCGAGACTGACTCTCTACGAGGTCGGAGATGGAGTCTACGGACAGACCACCCTGCATCAGAGACAGAGATGGAGGTGAGTGAAATTTTCAGGTACTTGGATTCAACTCTTCTTATATTTTCAATTAGATCAAATAACAGAGGAGGATTAGAGGCCACTATAAAAAGACAATCAGGTATGAAGTTAGTTTTTTGATGCGTTCGAGTTACCGAGGCTCAAAAACCAAAGATGGGACGAGAAAAGAGGAGATACTAAGAGTCGCCCCCATGATAAAGCGATAGAGGTAATAAAAAAGCAGGTGACAGTGAAGGAGGAGGGCGGGCGATAAAGATGACGGAGAGAAAAACTCATAATGACGAGCTCTGGCAGGAGAAAATGGAAATTTAAAGATGGATGTCAGGAGCAGCACATGGAGTCACTTTTCATCACTCATCCTGACGTCCTCGTCCAATAAATATCCCGCACGCCTGAAATCCAACACCGCAGAGATATAAATCAGCAAAGACATTCTGGAGGAGCGTCGGGTTTCTGAGGAATTTCCAAAAGCTTTTAATTATACCAACAAAAAAACCACCAGAGTTCAGGGAAGAGAGGAATTTGAAAATGTATGAAAGGGTGTAAATTCAATCTCTTTCTGAATAAATCAGCATTTTTCAGCAAGTTCAGGCAGGATTAAATATGAAGTATGAAACCAGGACACAGCTGTGAACTTGAGTGAATAGTTTTAGCCTGTTGTAACCTGAGAACATAAAGAAATCAGAGAAACACGTCTCTTCTCTGATATATCCTTCTTTAGTGTGTTATATTTCCACACACGCACACCACCACTGTGGCATCATCCCTCACTCTGTGGATCTCTGGCTGAGTGTTTAAAGTATGTGTGTGCTGTCAGAAATGTAAACAGTGAGCTGTTCCAGTCCAGACAGCTGTAAGAGGGTGAAGTCAGAGTCTCATTTAGCCGTAGACAGATGGGAAAACGTTGCTTTTCTCACCGTCTTTCTCAGAGGAAATGTCTGTTAGTCATAAACACGACATGAATTTTTGATGTTGGTAAATCTGAGTCAAAATGCTGTTGAAAATACCTGCCATAAAAACTTTCTCATTTTGGTAACTTTATCAAAAAAAATCAATCTGTCTTTTTTTTTTTTTTTTTTTTCCAAATTTTACATTTTTCACAAATTTTACATTTTTCACAATTTTCATACTTTTTTTTTTTTACAGTTTTCATATTTTCATACTTTCAAAAACTATGATAGTTACATAAGATTGTTACCTTTTTTGTTCTCTTATTGCACAGAACTATGGGGAAATGCAGGGAAAACCTGTATTGACTCTTTATTTAAATTACAAAAAAAGGGCAATGAGAATAGTTAATAAGGTAGGATATTGTGAACCAACTAATAATTTGTTAATTCCTTATAAAGCATAAAAGTTTAGAGATATTGTCAATATTAAAGTATTAGAGATTCTTTACAAAATTAAAACAATATAATTCCAAAAAGTATTAAGAACTTCTTCAAACTAAGATAAATTTTCACACTTTCATATTTTCATATGTTTGAAAACGTTGATAGTTTTTTTGTAACAAAACATTGTTACCTTTATTTTTCTCTTATTGGGCAGAACACGAAAAACCTGTACTGACTCTTTATTTAAATTACAAAAAAAAGACAGGATATTTTGAACCAACTAATAATTTGTTTATTCTTAATAAAGCATAAAAGCTGAGAGATATTGTCGATATTAAACTATTAGAGATTCTTTACAAAGTTAAAACAATATAATTTCAAAAAGTATGAAGAACTTCTTTAAACTAAGAGTTAGTAATTATAATTAAAGAGGTTTGGATCATTTGAATATAGTAAGATAAGAACAAATGTTAAATCAGATATGTTTCCGTTATTGGTGAATAATATAATAATAATAATGAATAATAAATTATATATATGAATAATATAAATCATATACATCCTTGACAACATTTAAAAAATGTCTCAAACAGAAAAGAATCAGTGACGATCAAAACCATGTATGAGAACATAAAACTGAACTTTTGTCTATATGATGTTTGATTGTATATAAAACTGTAATATGAAGCTGTGAAGCATTATTTGACATTATCGACATATAAGCATTGCCTCAGCCTATAGAACCATATCTACTACTAACCATTATGTAGAATAATATTCACAAAAATGACATCAAAACTGCAAAAATATCAGTAAATACCACCTATATGTTCCGAGAATAACTGGGTTCATAACATACATTTAGCATAAATTAACATGTTATTATCGTGTATTTTAGTCCTGCTTGGTCTTCCATACATCTCCCCAGCGTTTAGCACAGTGACTGATTCTAATCACCTGAACTTGATTGCTGGTTCAGGTTTGTTTACTGTGCTCTGCGGCTGTAATGACACTCATTACAGGCTTAACATAAGAACTGCTTCCAGATCAGCGTGGAGAGGATTACAGGGTGTGATGGCCTCAAGCTGAGAAGGTTCACTCACAGAAAACCAAACAGTATTTCTTCCCTCCAAACCCACTACTAAGGAAACAAACCGGAGAATTCGAACCTAAAACGTTTCAGGAATTAGATTAGCAGACACCACAAACACACTCAAACAGACACGAACTTCTACCTCAGATGACATTAAATCTGGCGGATAGTCGCACCTGCCGCGCCAGTTCACATTTTACCAATTACCCACGTTATTTACCCAGGAGTCATTGCTTCAGATCTCTCCAAACACAAACATGGAAGCACACCAAACAAATAATCGCCGCCTGAGTGAATGTGGAGTTTGGCAAAGATCACCACTTTGATCAACACTCAGCCGTCTTACCCTCCTTTGTCCTCGACCAACGTTGTCCAAAAACGTAGGCGACATCGGTTTGTTCTGGTTCTCGAAAACCGGCGCCGGGGCCACGGAGTTGGCTGGCGGTGAGCTGGGGCCTCCGGTGATTGACGATGAGCTGACCAGAGGCTTGTTCCCGTTGAAGAACTGCCTCTTCTCGGCCCTGAAGCGCAAGATGCTGGCCTCCAGGTCCAGACAGTCCCGCCGGCTCTCTTTCAGGGCGTCCTGTCGTAGCTTGTACGCTCGGTCGTTGGCGATGACCTGGGAGAGGGGAATGCCGAACGCCTTGGGGGCCGATTCTGTACAGAACACAAGGAAAAGAAAAAGACAAGTTATTTAATAATTAAAAGTTTAAATCAAGCCGGTGAGGATGTGAGGTCATTGATCCCAAAGACCCTCACGAGAGAGATTACAAGTTCAAGTGGAAGAGCGGTATAAGAATAGACAATGGATTCAGAGAACAGGTACGAGAGGGATGAGCGGGTAATCCCGTTAGAGCAGTCACAGCCACTCACAAGACATCACACTCCGTCTGATCGAGGCTTACCGCGGCACAAGCTTAACAGGCCGCCGGTAAACATCCTGTCATCACAGAAATGTCGCGATCGGCAGCCCGTCGTTCTAGTGCAGTGAACTACGACATGTTAGAACGCTATCTTGAAGTTAAGATTAAGAGAGCTGTGCAAAGAGCATTAATCCAATCTTGAATTACTTAAACCCCATCAGAGGCAATTATGATATCATCAGCATAAAGCATTTCCCACTCATTTGCACACTCTCTAGAGAGTTTTCAAAAACTTTCAGTAGATATTCCTCATCTTTTTTGGGTCAAACTTTATTTCCACACAAAGCACAGAATTTGGAAGTTTGCATCATAAAACAAAATATCGTCTGCAAAAGTTTACACATATTTAAAAAAAATCTCAAATTATGAAATGAGCACAAACAATCAGGGAAATCTCACTAGGAAAATAAAATCAAAAGATAAAAACTGGAGATAATCACAAAATTGAAATCCTGACGTATTAAATTGTTTACCAAAAAAGTGTAAGAATTGAAAACAGGCGTACCAACATTTTTTGTAAAAATCAAAAATAATTCATGGCTTTTGATTATGTGTCCGTAAAGATATTAATGCAGAAATCTCTTCCAATGATCAATTTTAATAATCAGCTATGATCTCAATAATCTGACAACAGCTAACGACAACTGACAACGGCTAACGATAGCTGTCAAACAGCTAACGATAGCTGACAATGGCTAACGATAGCTGACAACGGCTAACGACGGCTGACAATGCCCAACAACAACTGGCAACTGCTAACAAAAACTGACAACGGCTAACGACAGTTAAGTAAAGTTGTGCCCAAAAATGACAAAGGTCTCAATCTTTACACTTCTTCACTGACTGTCTTGTTTATTTCTGGCTATATTGTGATTTTTTTCCCTTATACAGGATAGAAAGCCCACCAACCCCACTGTTCAGCTTTCCTTCTCAATTTGTTGATGAACTAAAAAGTAAACCATTTATTGTCCTGCCACTTTAACCCCTAATCCTCTTACTCTGTGCAGGTTTAAAAGGCGTGAGCTGAACTTGCCCCCAATAAGAAAATTACCTGTAATCATCCTGAGGAACGTGGCCTGAATAACAACACTGTGCCCACTGTGGGAAAAACAATAATAAGGGGCTTGGAGGCTTGACTTGGTCTGTTATTGACTACAGTACAGAGAAGTTGGAGAACTGAAACAGAAGTAAAAGTTCGACTTCTGGAGTGTTTTGGGAACTCTTAAACATTTTACAACTCTCAATAACCAGGTTTTTGTGAAGCGATAATAATAACTTCTTTTTTTTTTTATAGCAGAAGTTCACCAAGTGCTTTAACAAACAGTCGTAAAGGACAGAACATCAGCACATGGAAATAAAAACAAAAGCTCAGTTACAAACAAGGCCTCGGAATTGAAGGCCAATTTGATTTGTCATAAGAAACCCAGACAATACAGGAACCCTACAACATAAAATGAGACCGTGAGAACCAACATGTGCTTTTAAACATGGTTCACATTGTCCTCTAAGTCCTAAATATACAGAAATAGAGGTTTTCTTAATCATATTCCTCAGTTTAACCAAACCGTGATAAAATCTTTGGTGGTATTTTGGTTGTAAAGCCAAATGACCGTGTCCCTATGCCTTTAAAAGAATTAAGAATACTAATTTTACAGCCTATACTAAATAATCCAAGACCCTTCATTGGTGTAAAGTATCCCCATGAATGAAAAGGTAAAAAGCAGATCAAAACACCTCATCATGGGGGTCTAAAGACCGGCCAGGCTTCCTCCACGTGTGCCTCCATCAGGTGCCAGCCTCCACGATAAGCTCCTTGACAGGTGCTTTGTTGGCCGTTTGCCAGTTAGCATTAGCTTACGGAGCCGCGAGCTAACACTAGGTTGTTAAAAGGCTAATAAGAGTTTAAGCTAGCTAATGGCTAATGAGAGGAACAGATTTCTGGAGCTAAACAATAAGATTACGATTCAGTTAACAAAGTTTAAGTCACTCTTGGCCGATGAAAAGGGAACGGTGATTAAAATGCCACAAGTCTGGCGGGGAATGTTCTCAAAAGCGACTTCATGGCAGCTCTCGTGTGCGAACAGCTTTAAGTTCTATTGCTGTGCTTCTGTCCTATGCTAACTCTGGTTGTCGTTTTATTTTTAAGCAGTTCAACAAACCTGAATGTCGGCATAAGTGGTGCAAATTGGCATAATTGGCGCCAAATAATGGGAAAGAATTTGTTCTTTGTTGAACTAGTTTTGGTATTTGGTGACTAAACGGTGAAAATATTTGCTTTTTGGTGAACATGAGCAATTACTACATTTATTCCCGTTTACGTCAGTGACTCTTCGCCATTTTCTAGTTTTCTAAAACTCCGAACACTTTGTTTTGTTGGTACATATCAAAGAAACTCAACATCACTGCCAACAAGAATGAGCCCCATCTATTACAGAGATGTCATCAGTTGATGTGTTTTACATTCTGGACGTAATGGCCTCATTAGGTCATTAAGCATGTCGCTATTCCTTCGTCCTGACGTCTTTTGCCAAGAACAGCAAAGATGACGACTTCTTGCTACTTTTTCCTGACTATTTCAGGGCTTGACTCTAACTTTTTTCACCAGGGGCAGATGTGAGTTAAAAAAGTAAGGAGAACACAAAGAACACATTGAAAATTGATAAAAATATTGTTTGTCCTTTTGGTCGATATTAGTACTATTAATTTAAATTAATTTTACGTCTTCTGGTCACATGACATGGAAGCTATTGTAGGAAAACAGCCTTTTCTGAGAACATCAACCGCTAATTTATTGACGGTCCCTTATAGTTTTTGTCGTGCGATTATTTCAGATGTTTATATTTTTTTTCGAACCTGTATCCTGTCAATACAAGCGTTCACATCAGCGACGTTTTCCCCTCCTGCGATATTGCGGCATTTATGTTTTTTGTTTTGCCTCCGAATATTTTGTAATTTTGCGTCGTATATTTGCGGCGGTCCCGGTGTGTAAGGACCTTAAGAAGACACCGGTAGATCCGCAATGAATGTCAGTTGAATATCCAACCTAAAACTAACTTCACCGCGGTATTTACATGAAAACACATTTGTTACCTTTATATTCGCACACATCTATTTTTAGTCGCAAATGAGAGTGAAACGGTCGCACTGTCGAGCCCTGCCATTAGCTTCGTTTTCTTTCATTTTCATCATTTATATCTATGATGGTATTAGCTGCTCGTTCTGTTTGCTTAGGTAACAGGAATAATTGAATAATTAATTTTTGTTAGCTGAGGTAGTTCGGACGTCACATTTAGGATTCCCCTTATTTATGAAAATAGACCCGTAGGTTTAAAATGGTTCTCTTATACTTCTTTTCATCCTTTGGACCAAACGTGAAGTAATACATCTGCTAAGAGGCGGTGCTAAGACTTAAAATTACCCCAAAAAAGGAAGAAGACGAGTCGAGACGAGAAATATAACATCTATTTAATAAAATTCATGTTCAAACTATTAAATCTTGATATCTGCAGATAGGAAAGTCGTCTGTTTGTTCTTCGTCTTTCACTCCTACTCGCCGACATTCCCTCATTTTTACTTATTACTTTATTAAGTCGTACACTGATTAGGTCCCTGCGGACATGTCCCGGGTTAACAGTAAAACAAACATCAAACCTCGTCCAGGAAGACCTCTGTGTGTGTGTGTCTGTGTGTCAGACTGCTGTCGGCCTTATTGTTCTGGGACTCCACCGCTCTCCTTTATTATTTCTGGTCCTGGGGTCGATCTTTGTTACTGGCAGACTGTCAGAGGTTTATATTTGGAAAGTGTTCGGCACTCGCTACTATTCGTCCTTCACTCGACCGGCAGCTGGATGGAAATATTAGCCCTCCTGGGGACGGTCTAAGTGAATTTAAAGAAGCGTGTTTATTTAACGTAGGATGTCCTCTGTGTAAACTCGAGTGAAACAAACGCAAAGGGAAACTATAGGAGGCCTTTTTTAACCTTTGTCTGAGGTAAACGCCCGAAGAGGAAAGAGAGGAAGGCCGCAAAAGACACAAACACAGGAGGTTAAGCTAATAGGAAAAAATAACCTCTCCGACAGTTTTAACGGCAAACGATAAAAGAAAAAATAGCAGCAGTCATAAAAAATAACGACCGCTCATAAATCAATCTCGCTGAATTCAACCTCTGTAGACCTGAAACTTTGAATATTACAAACAAGGATGGTCTAGTCGGAGAAACAAAGAGACACAAAAACCAGAATACTTTAGAAAAGAGTCGGAATTCAGTCCAAAAAAAGAGCTCGAAAAGTTTTTCAACGTGTTAGTTGTTATAAAAAGTTGGGAAACACCCATAATGAGACATCAAAATAAACACTTGTGTCATCTGCGTATAATGACAACCGTCCATTCAAAAGGCTCAACACTTTTTTAATTCTTTACCTCCATCCACTTCAATGAACACTACCCTAGACCAGTGGTTCTCAACTGGTCTTACTCTGGGACCCACATTTTCCCATCGTCCTTAAGTCGTGACCCACTTCTATAGAAATCAAACCAAGCGAATTTGGTAACACTTTAAAATAACCATAATTTATAAATGATAAATAGATAACTAATGGTTAATCATCATTTAAAAACAGCATATAGTCCAATTATGAATGTCAAATAGTTTATTATTGTAAGTTAATAGTTACTTTAAGCAATGAAATATGCTTAATAATTTACATTATTAATTGGACTATTTATTAAAGGTTTATGTAGGATTTAAATATTGGTTGTAAAACATCTAGATTGAAATATGTGTCAGTAGCACTTTGTAAATGGTTAATATTTGGTTTTTAAATCATCTGTAAACATTACTTAGATGGTTATTGTAAAGGGTTACATGCTGCCACTCCAACATCTCAGCATTCCGACATCCTGCCACTCCGATGTCTCACCATTCCGACGCAGCTTTCCATATAAGGGGGGATGGGATCACATCTGAAGTCCATCATTTAATCCCGAGTGTAGCTGGGCAAGCCCCGCACCGAACCTGCGCAGAGGGCTCCGCGGCCGACCATAGCGGTCGAGAGCTGTCAGAATTTGATAGCATGGTAACATACCGCCACTCCGACAATTAGAGACCAATGGTGGAATGGCGGAATGGCGGTTGCCCCCAATTGTAAAGTTAGGGTTAGGGTTCGGTTTTTAAAATTGTAAAATTTACAATTTATTCATGGTCTATATGTTATTTATAAATGATTATTTAACATTAATAAACTATCTGCTTTACCATTTATAAATGCTCTATTTACCTTTTATAAGTTATGGTTATTGTAAAGTGTTACCGCAAATTATTTTTTATAAAAAAAAAAAACTTTAAAGACTCAAATCTTTAACACAAATTCACCCGTTTTATTGAGTAAAGTGCATTTCAGAGCACATGAACTGAGGACGACAACTACTGAAATTGCTTATACAGAAAATATCAAATAAATATCAAATTGAACAAAATAAAAGCTATTTTTCAAAATAAAAGACATGTCAAACAAAAATACTGACTTTTTTGACCAGCTGTTTGCGACCCATCCAGAACATGTCCAACCCACCAGTTGAGAACCACTACCCTAGACAACTACATAGATTTATCAAATGACTGTCCTCCAACACAACATTGGAAAATGTCAACAAAAGGTAAATAAGTGGAAAAACCGTTTAAAATTTACTCAAAGGCACCTGGAGAAGTTCTCTCTTTACTACTTTCCGATGAAACTGTTGTGAAAACATTGTCCAGTAACACACTGACCGCTGAAGGCCACACCGTCATGCCCTCAAAAGTAGGTGTTCAGCTCCAGCAGGAGGTCCGCCAGGTCCCAATGTCCTGGTTTTTGATTAGTTGGCGTTAGCTTCAGCTAAGTCCCTGTGTGTAAGAGGCTGGAGGCAGTATTTACAGACCGGCGCAGACAGCCTGGGAATATGTGTGTGTTGTGTGTTTTGGCTCCTTTCTCTCCGTGCCGCTATAATCACCTGAGAAAAGAGAACATCTCTTTATGAGAGGCCGGGTTTACAGCGCCGGACGGGCGGGTTCGAGGCTTTAGTGTAGAGAGACGAAGAAGAAGAAGGAGTGAGGTACAGAAGGAGGAAAAGCAAAGATCAGGATCTACTTTTCAGTTAGAGAAATAAGAGTCTAATCAAACCAGCGTCTGTTTGCTTCGTGACGAATAGTCAAGGATAAATCCTGAGTTTCCACAGAAGCAATAACCGTCAATGTGCGTAAATGTTATTAAAACTAATCCCACATTAAACTGGTGTCTTCCAGTAACAAGGACATAAAACTCTCCGGTGACGGAGATGTTTTGATCGTAGAGGGTGACACAGGGTGACTGTAGAGCGAGGGCATCCGCGGACGACCATTATTAAGTTTATGTTACAACAGTCCAGTCTATCGTAACATGAGTCCATGAGTCAGTTTACAGCCCCGCTCCCCCCTCTCTCTTCGACTGTATAAACACCAGATTTCAAGAACGTTGGTAAAAGCCGCTGTGGCGAGGACGATGCTCTAAAGCACAGAGGGACATTGTGTTGGATGATAATATTTACGGTCATAAAGAGACTGTGGTTGACGATAAAACCAAGACTTCAAATGTCAGATAACTCAGGAGGACAGGCTTAACCACAAATGACGAACTTACCTCGCTCTTTCTTCTCTTTTGAGAACGAGTCCAACTTCCTGCGCAGAGATTTCCTCCGTTTGCGTGTTTCTGCGGAAAGAAATAAAAACCGTGTTGAGACATAAAATCGTGATTATGCGTGATTACACTTTTCGTGAAGATGCCCCTTCAAAAACAAAAGAAGGACCCTCACATTGGTCTCTTTTGTTTTCCCATCAGCCCTTAATGAACCTTATCGTCTCGTCTTTCTCGCAGACACAAACACGGTGGCCCTCATCAGGACTGTTTCCCCCTCTCCTCTCTCGTGTTTATTAGCCTTCCTCCCGAGTGCCTCTGACTCACAAGGACCCTCTCCATAGAAGAACTCTGCTGTTTGTTTGAACAGGCCTCCGCTTGATGGTCGCACGCCGCCCCCGACATAAAGGAGTTCAGACGGTGGATGAGGGTTTATTATTTTAATTTGTAAAGGATTTGGAAATATCTACAAAGGAAAGGGGGGTAATAATAGAGGCAAACGCACCGAAAACGTCTGACAGTAGAGGGAAATACAACTATTTACCGTTAATATCAAACTTGAATCAGAACTCAGTCTTAAGGTCATTCAATAGATTTTTGAGTCTCTGTTTTTCTTGAGGGACACTGGAGTTAGTCCGTGGCGTAGATGGTCAGGATATGAGCCAATTTCATGACATAACCAAGAGGAAGTGTTTAAGGATGAGTGGCGATCGCAGAGTAACGAACTCTTTTGCTATAGTTGTGAAAGAAACCCGTTATACCGATCCTTTTTCTAATACGCACAGACTCATGATGCTAAGATATTGGAAGTCGATCTCAAAGGCATGGTTGACGATTGGAGAGATTGGTTAATATCACGAACGTTGTTTCTATGGCAACCATGGTCCTTTAGCGCGATCTCCACAAAGTGAAGAGAAAGAAGAACGTAAAAAATTTGTTCAGGGCTGCAAAAACATTGACCAATGGGTGCCATCCATCCCGGTCAGCTCCTATTGGTCAATCTCCTGCTCCACCTCCACCTTCGACACACCCCTCTCCCATAGTTCCGACTTCTCCTCCCACTCTCCCGGCCCTCATCTGAGTTCTAAGTGGCTAAAAGTAGCGTAGCGGCCTAGCTACAGGAGCTGGGAGAAAACGCTAGTCAACAGAAGAAAGGGGTGGAGACGAAGAGGACATGTGATCAAGCGAGGAATCCAACTGGAATAAACATCGGGTCATCCTTGGAGCGGTGGAGAAAGCTCCGCCAGGATTTGGTCCTGAGAACAGACGCAGAGACAGCAGAGTTTTTGTTGAACAGGTCATTTTTATCGCCTTTTATTATGTCACATGTTACATAAATAACTCTTATTAGTCTCTGCGATGTCAACATGGTAGCAGAGCTGGCGTTTACTGCCACCAGTTACTAGCATTCCGACATGGTGAATCCTATTTGAAGCTAGCGTAGGATCTTCTGCCGGTTGAATTCTTGCTCTGCCAGAAGAGGTGTGTCGTGGGGAGGCTGATACGGGTTCGGGGAGGAGTTATGGTGGAGCACAGAGGGGAGGAGTTTGTGTTCGGGGGTGGGACGCCATTTCCAATTCTGCCTCAACAGCTCTGTTTTTTTCAACTGCTTCTCAGATCGTCAACTATGACTTTAAAGTTGAAGTCCATGTTTTTTTAAACGTATGACACAGAGTTACTTCTTTAAGTTTGATTTTTTTAAAAACGTAATTTGCCTATTTGTGCAAGCGAGGAAAGTGACATTAGCTTGTAAGACAAGGCCAGTTGTCGTTAAAGTCTCGATTCCTGCTTGTTGCTTTTCTATAAATTTTGCCAGTTATATAAATCACAAACTTTTTGTAGCTTCTTGTAAATTCTTGTTTCTTAGCGATAAAAATTCCTGAATATTCCTGGTCGTTCCCGCTGCCCTGCATGTAAGAGGGTATGTCGTGATGGCAGCAGCTCTGTTTTTACGGCAGGTCTGTTTCTTTCCTCTGGTTTTACGAGCTCCACGTCCTCCCCCTCTGACCGGGACCACAAAGAAGAAGTCATTGTTTGGGTTACTGAAGCTGGTGTTTAGAAATCACTAATTCAAGGAAGGCCTTCTTCCTATTAAGGCACAAATGGAGTTCCCTCTTCAGACCGGGTCGTCTGGAGTACTTTGTAAGATGGATTCTGCTGGTTACTTCCCTCTTAGTTTAAAGGAAAATTCAAGTCAAGGGTTTGTGTAAGTGTCCATGTGTGTCAGTGTTTGTGTACTTAGGCGCGCGTGTGTGTGTGTGTGCTTGTCAGGATAAAAGAGGTCAAATTCCCATGACTGCAGGAAATTAAAGTTTATTTCCAAAACCGGCAGCCCCTCCCACCGCGCACACGCCACATCACGCCAAGCTAATCTCTTAGCGCTGCTCTTGGACATCTGTGGTAATGTGTGCACATGTGTGTGATTACATAAGAGAGCTGAGATGATAGATTAAGACGAACACAGAGGGGGATTTCAGACCTCTAAAATCATGACGTGACGCTCGCAGAAAGTCTTGGTTTAAATGCTTCATTGCAACTAATCGTAGGACGATTATGAAATTATACAAAACTGCCAACGCTTCAGCAGACTCACAACTTTCACAACTTGTTTTTCCTTCAAACTCAAGGCAGATGAATCATTAAGTTTCTCCAACAGTTACAGATCTGACTAATTTCTTTAACAAAGAGACTAAACAGGTAACCTACCCAGTCTCACCTACTCTCTTCCAGCAGCCGCTTGTTTCTAGCGAGACCTCAGGCCAGTCCATTACGGACTACAGCGGGGTGTCACAGCTCAAGGAAGAACATTTATGATCATTTCTTTATCATTTCCTTGAAGTAATAATCACCATATTAATCATTTTGCTCTGCAGACACTGTAGTTCTTCTGCCTTAGCGTCTCGGTCTGATTGTATTTCCATGAAGAAATGATCATAAATGTTCTTCCTTGAGCTGCGAAACTCCACTGTAGTCCATAATGGACTGGCCTGAGGTCTCACTACAAACAAGCGGCTGCTGGAAGAGAGTAGGTGAGTTGTGTTTAGTCTCTTTGCTAAAGAAATTTGTCAAAGTTATAATATTATTACATCCCCGACGCATTTGGGTAACAATGAGAAGTTTGATATTGGCCGATTTCAGTCAGTTGCAATCAAATGTGTCATAGCCATAGACTGTATATACTATGGACAACTTGGTTCCGCCTTCCGCCAGTATACAGATTTGAAGCCGAAAACCTCTCGGTAGTTCTGCGTTTTCTCTTCATTTCCTAAAACCAACATCACGCAGTAACGTTGTACGCATTTGGCAGGAGAGTCGCCGAGAGTCACTGTGAAGACGCTCGGCTCAAACGGCGTATCGCAATCTTCGTACACCCAAAAGAGGACTTGAGCACAAACCAGTCTCACAGTAACTACATGTCAACATCACAAATTAATTTCTAAGGTTTGTCCACAGGTCCATAAGCTTTGCTGGCGGAGGCGGGATTTATGACCTATACTGCAGCCCGTCACCAGAGGGTGCTGTTGTCAGAGTGGCTTCACCCAGTGAGGAGGCAGACGGCGTCGATTCGAGATACAGTCTATGGTCATAGCTGTTCTCAAAGTTGTGTGTAATATCCAGGTATAAAGACGTGTATTCATTTCAGAATTATCCAACGTAACACTGGCAGCTGAATGTCTTTACAGAAGCTCTGGAACTTGTCTGCAGTTTAGAGATAAATTAACATAACGTTCGACAGATAGTTGAACCTGGAAAGTTTAACAGGAAATAAAAAGAAGGAAACTGACAGATTGGAAAGAGGACGAGAGGAAAACATGAACGTGTTGGTTCAGGGTCTCTGTAGACCCTTCAGAGAACTCGGAACAAGAACGAACTTCAAAAACACCAAATAGGAGCAAATGTTTCAAGACTTCACTGGAAACTAACAAACGCATACTTGTGCGCACAGGTGCACAAACAAAAACACACACACTTGAACACATTTACAAAAAAATAAAAAGTGATTCATGGCCAGAAGAGAGGAACTGGATTAGGAGCTAAAGTAAGAGATAAAGAGGTACGGTGGTGAGATGAAACTGGAGCTGTTTGGAGACGCAGAGGAATGGAAAAAGAAACACGAGTCCAGAGCAGGAAAAACAAAATGAGTGGAAGCACAGCAGGAGGTGATGCCAAGACCATGACAGGCTCAGTAAAACGGAGAGATTTCACCTCAGGGGAGGCAGAGAGGACAACAGTTCCCACACTTTCAATCACCGAGCTTCATCAGCGAGCTCCACTCCAGATTCAGACTGATCCTGGATTCAGAGGACGACTTATCGGTGATACGACGGTTAACCCCCCGCGTACTTTTATACTCTTTATATCCATCACTGCAGCCTGTGAACTCCTCAGAGCGACATGTAAAACATAAACGAACTTGTTAAATAAAAACAAAATGGAAAGGCTCTCTGTGCTTTAACAGGCGGCCTCTAGTGGATGTTTGAGGTACTGCAGTTTTCACAAGTTTAACTCGCTAACTCCAAAAAAAGGTGTTAGTGAAAACCCAGCAGAATAAAACATGAACTAATTAAAAGAATAGTTTAAATTGTGCGCCATTTGATTAACTGCAAAAACAGAAGAAGTCAATAACGTAAATATAGCTAACGTAACGTAACGTAAATAACGCTAACTTTAGCTACCACTCCAGCGTCCATATATGGCATTTATTGGATAATTTATCAACATATTACGTTGTTTTTTACACAAAAAAACTAAAAAAAAGATAACGTTGACAATTTTATTTCTGTAACATTAAACTAGCATTTTCTTCTCGCTAGTTTTCACTGGACTACACTTTTTTATAACTACAGAAATTTAACATGAAGCCTTTTGTTTGGTTTTGTTTTTTCTAACACTGTTACCCCAAATTTCCCCCACATCCAGAACAAACTACGATAAGGCCGTATCCGCCGATCGTAGCTGATCGTTACCATTCAACTTAATGTGTCAATTCCCACCGGCTTCTTTCCGTTCCGCTGCGGATCGTCGATCTCTGCAACTGATCGCAAGAGTTCTATTTTCCTGGACGCTGAATAAATTCAGCACAGATTAACCCGTGCTGGGAAGGAAGTCGGGCGCAGACACAAAATAAAACATCCGGCTTCTTACCAAAATAAAACACTCCACGTTTTAAGCAGATCGTATTTCACACCATGCAAACCGGCGGCGACGAACAACTGAAAGGTTTATAGACATCATTTCACCCCGATGATACCATGGATGAGAGGATGCTGATTCTAGAAGTCTAGAAGTAGATTTCCTCCTCTGGAAGGACACAATCTACTGCTTATATGGTTAGCCTATGTGGCTAAGAGACGACTTGTTATCGCACGATTGCACGTAAATCCACAGGTTCTTGTGAGTTCTCACGATTACCGCAGTCCATAAACCGTTACGATATTCACCTCACCAACTGATCAGGTAGGAAATGGCAGATGGCAAATATCTCCGCCATTCCAGATCGGAGCCAATCCGGATGCGGGGAAAATTGGGGTGTACAAAAAGCTGAAATGTTGATTCTCTTTGCAGGTGATACAAGTCAGTCTACCGGAGACCAGCAAACGTGACGACAGCGTATGAAGTTAAACCTTTTCAGGGCTTGTCATTGAAGTGAGTAATACACAATCAAATACTCACAACTGGGAATCTCACCAGGTAAGCATTACAACAGCACTGAACTACTTGTGTAACCACTTTAAATAACTGTCTGATCTTTTTCAGTAGTGTTTGATTAAGCATTGTTAGTTCGAGTTAGTCAGTTGTGTTTTGTTTGGTTGGTTCCCCCTCGTTTCCCATCCAGTGTAAACAGAGTTCACACAGTTGTTTGTGTTTTGGTTGTGTGTCTTGTGTGTAAAAGCACATCCTCACTCTTTAACAGGGTTTAAGTGTTTTAAATTCCCTGTTTTGGTTCGTCAAACTGGTGTTTACAGAAAACTAATTCAAGCTCTGGGCTTTTTTTTCTACTGAGGGACACATGGTTTCTCTGAACAGACTGTTCCAGAGGGAACATGTGGGATACCAGGGAGGTCTTTTCCTCAAAGTTTAATTTGTTCACAGGAGTTTTTGTCTTTTATTCTCCTGGAGGATTTAAGATGCAGAATCAGAGAGCATAGAGGCTGAAGACGCAAATCCGTAGAAACTCGTGATAATATCTGAAAAGACGGCGCCACAAATCCTCGATTTCTGCTCTTTTTCCTGTGGATTAAACTGAGTATTTGAACTCTGACCTGATGGGAAAAAAGCATAAATCAACTCCTACAGATTGAAAAAAACAAACTCATAGTATTTAAAGAAAAAGAAAAATTGAAGACTTCCCAAAAAGTGAAGAAGGACAGAGACAGTGGAGTCTCACAGGAAAAGCAAACAAAAACTTCAGCTTTTGGAAAAATGAAAGACAATTCCCACACGACCTTCGTCTTAACCCAGAATCCAACATGGGAAATACTTATTTAGAGTGGGTTACCATCCATCACCATCAAGAACACAGTATTATTTCAGTATCACAGTTTACAGAACTGATAGAAATACAGAGAAAAATCACGTTATTGGACGGGTGCACGAAAAGGATCTTGACGAAGTTTTACTAAAAAAGGAGAAAGATCATAAACAGTGACCACCTAAAGCCAAAAAAGGAACAAAATTTCAAGTGGACACTTGGGGAACTGCAGTTTTTAGCACTTCTACATTGGCTCCAAGTCTCAAGACTGAAGGTTACAACAATCATGGTTAATAAAAGACTCTTACGCCGAATTTCCACCTCATCTGGAACGGCCTCGACCTGGAACAGCAGGGATTTTCGCTGTCCGCTAATTCCTACCGGATCTGTTTGTGAGGCGAATTTCGTGTTGGATTACGGATCACGGGAATCGCAAGACCTCTCAACTCTCAACCAAAACGCCACTTTATAGCCACAAATAATGCCTAAAATAGCACCTAACTTCATCAACAAGGTCCCAGCCGTAGTACTAGCCACCAAACATCTTCTCAACTTCGCTAATTTCTTAAGCAAAGAGTCTAAACACAACTCACCTACTCTCTTCCAGCAGCCGCTTGTTTGTAGCGAGACCTCAGGCCAATCTATTACGGATTGCAGCGGAGTTTCGCAGCTCAAGGAAGAACATCTAAAGTTGGTATAACTAGAGAAGCAAATGGTCTGCAACATTCATCTTTTGCGGTGGTGTCTAACTCGGTGTTACGTGTGTTTGACCCTTAATTAATTTCACTCTGGAATATCCCTTTAAGTTTGTTGTTACTGGTGAAGGTCAGTGTTAATGACCCAGGAAAGAAAGAGCAGGAGGGCAGACTTGAACAGAAACTCTGCTTGTTTGAGATTTAGGCGATGTACTGTAGTTTAATTATTAAATTGTGCATGAGTGTTAACTTGAGGTTACGTGTGAACCGGATCTGATTGAATCTGCAGTCTGGTCTGAGCTGAACGGGTCAAAGGCTAACAGTCCAGGGAGAGCAGAGAGTCTGAGAAAAGCCGCTTAAACTCTGACCGGTCTCACAGGACACCGGCTACCGACACATAAACACACATATAGATCCTACACACACTTTAAAACACACACAGCACTTCTACAATCAGCTGTGTTTGTTCTTTAACAGTGAACTCTGACCTTTGAGATCCCGCTGGCCCCGATAAACGCAGAGGAAACCTCCCGGTCCGCAGTCAGTGAGGTGTTTGAAAGATTTACAGGCTATTGGTTGAAGGATGCGGCTTTATTGGCCGGGTTCAGGGCCTCAGAGGTCGGCTGGATAAGACGGTTGCACATAAACAATATTTGTGAGGAGGGAGTTCTCCAGAAGCAGCAAGAAGAGGAGGAATGTGTGTTCGAGTAAACATCAGCAGAGGTAGACGGTGGAGCCATTCCTGCTGGTTCAGAAACTGGTATTTTTGGAATTTGGCGCATTTATTTACTCCCCTATCAGAGTTTATGGTCAAATAGGAAAGGAGCAGGGTCCTAGGTCTGGTCCTAGGTCTGGTTGTGACAAAGGTTTGCCCCATTTTGGGTCCAGTGAAATAATATCAAAATACGCAGTCAGGGTGAAGTACCTCCAAATATGTTTGGTTTGGTTGATCGCCAGGTCGTCTGTTCCCATCCACAAAGAGAACTTAGGATCCGGGGAAAAGCAGACAGACCCACAAGTCACCGGTAGACGTGTTTTAAATGGAACCTGGATGTGAAGAGGCGAAGAGCATCTGCTCCGCTAACACATCATTTCATACGAGGACAGTTCTTTGGATGTGGCCACCTGTTTGAAAGAGTCGGCTTCGCGCAGAATATGTCAGACATCCAAGGACAGTTGGTCCTCATTACTTCATGGCACGAAGAGATGAGGATTCCAGCTGGTGCCTGTATGATATCCAAGCGACGACAGATATGTATCTTCGTCTACTGAGCCCATTTGGTTGAAATATTTGGGATTATCGAACTGTTTGTGGTTTTGAGAAATTATGCCAGCTCTGAATAAAGTATTCAGAACTTCTTTATGCAATAATGCCTCCTGTCAGGATATTTCTTATGAACTCAATTTGTCCCGACACTTCCTTGAAAAGCCAAAAAAGAGTCAATGGTTGGAATTTTTGGTCCAGTCCAGGTACCCAGATGGTACTTTCAACTTTTTGCAAACCTGCCTTCAATTTGGGACAATATCCTTTCAATCCAGACCGGATTCAAGAGATTACAAAATGTGATCTAGTCGTAAAAAAATGATTAAAAAAGTTGATTATGGAAATGGAAGAACTGGCAAAAGGGGCCAAAATGATGGATACGTTATAAATGGTTTCAATGGTAAGAGTGGCAAAAGTGGTGAGATGGTAATGCAAAATAGTTTAAAGGGATATTCCGGCATAAAACTAATTTAGGGTCAAACACACCGTAACACCTAACTTCATCAACAGTATATATATGGTCCTTGCCACAGTACTAGTACACCAAACATCTTTATAACTTTGATTTCTTTACAGCGGTCAAAAAGACCAAACACAACTCACCTACGCCTCTCTTCCAGCAGCCGCTTATTTGTAATGACCTCAGAACAGTCCATCATTGACTGCTGCGGGGTGATGCAACAGGAAGAACATTTATGATCATGTATTAATGAAGTTAGGTGCTGTTCAGCAACATTTGTGGCTATAAGTGGTGTTTTGACTGAGGTTTGTTTATGGCTCCTCAGACTGCTGTGTATTGCTATCGTGCGGTTGTTACTAAAGTTGGTTTAACTAGAGAAGCGAGCAGTCCATCATCTCGAGAGGGGTTTCCAACTGGTGTTATGGTATGTTTGACCCTAAATAATATTTATGATCAGTGTTGAAAATGGCTTCATTGGTGAAATTGGCAGAAGTGGCGAAAAATGGTGGAATTGGGAAAAAGTGATGAAATCTGTGAATGTGGCGGAAATATTGAAAGTGGATTAAATGGCCTAATTGGTGTAAGTGTTGAAAATCGAGAAACTGGGACAATCAATAATTGGAAGAAAGTTGCAGAAATAATACAGTCGCAGACCCCTGGATGTTTTAACTCTGCTGATATTTTAAAATGTATTTAATTGTTAGAAAAATATCCAACTTTGCTCATAAAACAGACCACAAATAAAAAATACCCTTTTTTTCTGGCCCCAAAAAAGGAAGTGAAAATAAATGAGAACTCTAGATTGTTCTGGTGATAGTGTCCGGAGCTGGGAAATAAAACAGTTTTTTGGCTCCAGTGTCCCCTGAGATTGTTATTGTGTCCTTTCCAGGCGAAAAGAGCCAAAATCATCCTTCCTGGATGTTAGAAAAGCTTCACTTCTTCATCAGACACACAAATACAGACTTGGGTCAAATTTTGAGCATCTAAAAGCAGCTTCCACTGCCGTTTTTGACAGTTTGTAGACATTTCTTGCTTCAGATAAAGGTTGTTACTTCATTAGTCTGAAAAAAAACCTCCAAATTCCCCAAAGATAAAATCATGATGAACCACACTGCTCTAAAACGCCATCATTGGTATAAGCGATAGGAAGGAGGCACTCAACAAATCATGTCGGGTCCTTTACCCTCTTTTATCATATCTGACAGTTTGGATTGCTTACACATGTGCGCAGAATTGGACCTGAACTTCAGCGTCTTCCTGCTTTGAGCTCATTCCTCACATTCACCAGCAGACTGTTATGTCTACCTCGACAGCTGGGGGGACTGAGCGCGCTAACCTACACTTTAACCACAACTTTTTAAGGAGAGGGCAAAGACACCCCCACGAGGAACATCGTCTAAACTGGCGCCATGTTGAACATGTCATCATGAGCTTGCTCCTGTAACATTTGGTCCTTGAATTGCTGAAAGTAGCTGCTTCCATCAGGAAATGTGAGCTCTCAAAGTCCTCAAGGTCATAATCCGTCATTTCTCAACAGTCTGAGAGCCACTTGAGGAAAACATGTTTGCGTCTTGACCTCGGCTTAAAGAATTCTTTTCATGTTTTCACTCAAAGCCTGCAGCTGAGTAGTTCCAGAGTCCGACATGATCTACCCAGGAGCATGTTACATCAGCAGCTCATTTTCTCACCTTTCGGGATGCTGATCTTGAAGTCCAAGTCTCGCTCTTCCAAGTGATACAAGGCGACTTCCTGTAATCGAGCTCGCTCCAGCTCCGACAGGCTCTGAATGGGCACCGGCTGCAACCGCACACTTTGACCCAACATGGTCGCCCACGTGTGGTCCCCCTGCAGAGAAAGAAGAGAGGAAGATTAGACAAGACATCCTTAGGATCTGACTACAAGTACAAGAACTCTATTCCACTGATGATCTTGCTGAGGTCGCCAATCATTTCCCCCAAGATCCCCAATCATTTTCCCCAAACGTTTCTCAGGATCCCAGAAAGTTTCCTCACATCTTGTAACAGCTGCTAGTATCTCTTATGAGTATCCACTGAGGATCTTGCTAAACTGGCCCAGGATTCCCTGTCCCAGCACCCACAGTATCTTGCAAAAATGTTAATCGTTTAACCAAACTTTCTTAAGGTCTTGTGTAGGTTTCCGAGGATGCTGTGTAAGTTGCCCAAGACCTTGGTTTAGTGTCAAGTCCACTTGGGTTCAAAATCCTTAAGATCTGATCACAAGTACAAGAACTCTTTTTCACGGATGATCTTGCAAAAGTTGCCAATAATTTCCCCAAAAGTTTCTTTTCCTAGGATCTTACAAATATTTTTTTGGAGGAAACTCTCAGAAGTTTCTCAGGATCTCATAAAGTTTCCTCACATCTTGTCAGAGATGCTAGTATCTCTTATGAGTATCCACTGAGGATCTTGCTAAAGTGGCCCAGGATTCCTTGTTCCACCACCCACAGTATCTCGCAAAAATTCTAATTGTTTAACCAAACTTTCTCAAGGTCTTGCGTAGGTTTCCGAGGATGCTGTGTAAGTTGCCCAAGACACTTGGGGTTCAAAAAGCATCCTGGGATCTTGCACAATATTTGCAAAAGCTTACAAAGTTATCTTGGGAGACTCAAAAAGTTACCCAGGATCTGTCTAAAGTGTCCTGGGACTTCACAAAAGTTGTCCGTACCACTCTAAAGTAACTGGCACCTCTCAAAATTTTTGTAGGATGTTGAAAAAAGTTCCAAGGAGCCCCCAAAAGTTTCTCTGGGTTATTTTTGAGTCTTCCGGGATTTCAGAAAACCTGCAAAAGGATCTCCTGGAGGTTTTCAGGTACTTCACAAAAGCATCCTAGCATTTTTGTTGGCCTAGGCCTTGCACGAGTTTTCCAAGATTTTGCTTTAAATGCCCAGGATGTCATTTAGCTTCCTTAGATTCCAAAAAAGTTTCTCAGGATCTCACAAACTTTTCCCAGAGACACTTGCCTAATTGCCCAGGATCTGCCAAGGGAATTAGCAATAAATTTTAACGATCTCTCAAAGGTTACTCAGTCTCGCATGAGTTCCCCCAGATTGCCCTTATGTCGTCCCAGATCTCAATTAAGTTTCTAAAAATTCTCCCCTAAAGTTCACCCGGGTTTCGCAAAAGTTTCGCAGGTTCTTGCTTAAATTCCCCAGGATTAGATTTATTTCGAGAGTCTTGCAAATGTTCTCTGGAATCTGGCGAAAGTTACTCAGAGTCTTGCAAAACAAACACTTGATATCTGGTGTAGCTCTCAAAGTTTTTTCTCAGCTGACAGTGGCGAATGCGGGTGGGATTGGGTGCCAAGTTTTCTCTTTGGGAGTTCCACCCAAACGGAAAAGATAATCATCAGGGTGTCAGCTGCTGCTTTAATAAACACGTAGAAAAATCACTCCCTCTAATGAGGCAGCATCCAAAAAGAGACCGACAGAACCGAATCTTCAAGGGTTCTTCCACCTCTGGACAATTTGATCAAATTGGACGTTTTCTCACTCTCTTAAACCAAATCAAATGTTGAAATCTGTTGCCAAAAGTTATTTTTATCATTCTTAATAATTTCACCGAGGGATCTGAATACTTCCTCCACCGCACAAACTCTTTCTCATGCTCCATTGTTTACTGCAGGGCTCTGGGGTCTTGTGAAATCCATTCATCACTGACTGAACTGCTGCTACGCAACACGCTGACAAATAAATAGAACACAACTGTTGTTAGTACAGTACAGCGTTTTCAATTATTCCCATGTGGACGGCTGGAAGTTGTGTGAACTTTTCCCCCTGTGGTCTGAAATGGTGGTTTTCCTTTGAAGCTCTAACTTGATAAATACTCCATAGATTTGAGTGGACACTTTTATCTGAAGGGAGAGGATGCTTTGAGGGGATGAAACTCGAGTCTGCAGTGTGTGGAGGATAAAGAAAACGTCACAGATGCAATTTCAACTCTCTTCAATGTGGCAACTTTCCATGGAGATCTTTCTGCGAAATAACAACGTATGCGAGGAGTCTGAAATGTCTTAAACTGGCACTTTGAGAAAATTTCAAAACACATTCAAAGTTTTATTATATTATATTTGACAAAGTTTATCTGACAGCTTAACCTGGGCTTTCCACTGCATCCGGAACGGCTCCAATCCGGAACGGCGGCGATTTCTGCCTTACGCCAATTCCTACCGAATCAGTTTGTGAGGCGAATTCCGTGGCAAATTACAGACAGCAGGATTCGCGAGAACTCACAAGAACCCGCAGATTCACGTGCAATCCTGCGATAACAAGTTGTCTCTAACCATAGAAGCAGCAGATTGTGTCCTTCCAGAGGAGGAAATCTACTTCTAGACTTCTATTTTCTTTGTGTCAAATAATCTGCAAAAATTGTAGCTGATAGCACAGATGACGAAAAGTATTTGGAACTATTTTTGTCATCTTTCTGAAAAAAATGGATATTCTGCAAAAATTAAGCAGACAGTAATAAGTTGTAGTGGTTCTTTCTCCTGGTTACCACACATTAGAAAATACAGGATCGATGAAGAAGAAGTAGCGGACAGCTAGCCAGCTAGCTGTAGCAACTGTTTGAAAGATGATTCAGTACTTTTAGTACCAAATTTGATTGAGAATTCAAAAACAACGATTGAGCTTGTGACTCTTCTAGTTGCTCATCAACTGAACATTCAAACTTTCTTACTGCTTTTTTTTACCATTTTCATTCGGTTCTTTGATTTACGATTTACTGGAAGTAGCATACTTCAAAATAAAAGTACAGTTAGAAGATGTCAGCTATAAAGCAACCAAAAAGCCAGACAGAAAATATATCAAAATAAAAGCCCTATTAATAATTGTTTACTGATAATAGTTTCAGTCACAGGGCTGATGATAAATCAGGAATTTGGATTGGACTCCTCTCTTGTCTGGCCTTCCTTAAGTTGACCGGTTTTATTTTTTGTTTTCCGTGAATATCTTCATGATATCATTATCGTATCATTATCATAGGTGATCTAACCTGGAATTGTAATTATTGCAAATTTAGAATATCAGTTTGGAGCAGTAATATGGTCATATTGACACCGCACATTTTAGGGTTTTATGGACAGATTATTGGTTACATCAAGTTCTGGTTGAAGTCCATATATTTCATTTACCATTCAACCAAATATCAAGCATTTCTGGGGTTATTCTGACTTTTCCCCATTTATTAAAATGACACTGGTTCTTGAATGACTCAGTTAATAGTTGTTTTATCTTTTCTTTTTTTTAGTTTCACACCGGAGAGCTTGACTCACTTTCCTTCTTACTTTGGGATAACAAAGCTGGTTTTCCCACCATGACAGGCCGATTAATCTCACTTTGTCCGATAACAGATCTTGTTTTCTCGTGATAACAAAAAAAAATAGGCTAGTCACTTTGATTTCTAAGACCAACGACAGGCTTTGCTGCCATCAACAGCACTACAGAGAAAAGTAAAGCCTTTCAATGTTGTTCTGGGAATTTGAGTTACGATCATCTGATGGTGACGGTGATGCACGTTGTCAGGGGAGCGTGTCATCTCAAGATAACATGATGCAGAAGTTGAGATCTCGATCTAAGAGAGCAAGCGGAAACTGACCCACTATCAGAGTACAAGAGAGTAAATGAAATGTTCAGATACACATCTTAAAGTTCCAGCTCCTCAAAATTGATTTAATTTCAACCAACAACCAGAGTGGCACCTTTTCTTAAGATATGAAAGCACAACTCGTCATCTGATAGTGAAAAACAGACGTAGTATGTCCACATCTTTAATTTTCAGTGACCTCCTTCCACTGTTTACTGAGACGAATCTTTAGCACAGAGCAAACGGGGACAGTGACAGACCGACTGACTAATGAAAAACAGGACGGAGGATGAAAAAGCGAACGTGCGCCTGAGTGAGAGGTGAGAGAGTTTCTGAGGGATTCAGCGGTCACGGGTTAACCAGAACCAGACAGAAACACTAAAGATCTGAGGGTCTGTGTGTCGCGACCGGTTCAGCCAAAAATGTGTTTGTAAAATATGTGTGCGTTTTCTGTTTTTGTGTTGAAAGCCCTCCTGTGAACTTAGGGAGAAACTCTGAGCATCAAGTTTGAGGCGTCAAGCACAAATGCATGTTAATGACTCAGCTTCTCCTTCAATCCCTAGTTGTGGTCGCTGGGTCGTCTTTAGTCGATCATATCTGCTGACGACAAACTTCTGTGTTAATTGTGCAGATTTCCGATGAGCCACAGTTTTTGTCTTCAACCTTTTCGCCACAGTTTTTATCTCCTTTCTTTACAAGTTGGTTCACGAAAGTCTGTGATTACAGCTGTATCCATGGCAACGGTGTGCTGTCTAGAAAGAGCAGACTGTTGCTATGGGGTCTGGACCAATAAGAATCAAGAACTGCAAAACTATAGTTTCAAACAGTCAATGCTATAATACAAATACCAAGCGCAAACATATTTCTTAAACTAGCATTTAATATGCGACCTAGCTAGCAAACTGGCTCAACCAGCTAACCCTAAATCTAACCACTTTAAAAACTATTCGGGTAAAACTGCCAATCTAGTGACTTTTCAGACCCCCTAGCAACTTATTTTCAAAAAGAGCGCCTAGCGACAAATCTGGCGACTTTTTCTGGAGTTTAGAGACTCCAACATAAACGCAGGAATAGATGTTACTCTTCTTAACGAGGGCATCAAAAATAAAGACACTCAGACACCCCACAGAAGACTCCTCCTCCTCCTTCTGCCAGGGGTTGGGTGGGGTCGGTGGCGACAGTGGGTTTGACGGAGAAATTATGCAAATTAGGCGATGACATTATCTACCAGAGGTGGGGGAAAGTCCTTATGTTGCAAGTCCAAGTTTGGGCTGAAAGGTATTAAGTGACTTGAAAAGACTTGACTTGACTTTTCAAGTCACTGGGCTCAAGTCAAGTCAAGTCTCAAGTCTTTAGCAAACAAGTCCCAAGCGAGTCCAAGTCATTTCTTGATTTCATCAAGCAAATTAAAAAACGGGACTCAAGTCCAAGTCGAGTCTCGAGTCGAGTCGTCAAGCCCCCACCTCTGCTATCGAGCGACTTGTAGCGACTTTTACGGCAGTTGGCAACACTGCTCCTTGTAGCTGAGAACTCCGTTTCTATAATCACCCCTTTGTCAGCAATCAGCCTCCAGCCTTATCTCTCCGCCTCCGACTGAAACATACCAACCCTTCATGGTCATTTACAATAACTGCCTGACTCTCTATGCTTTTTTCCCCTTCTGTATATGAGTGTGTATGTTTACTTCCACATGTGTATCTCATGTCTATAATCTAGCCGGCCTCAGCTCACAGAGCCGAGCATGATTGGAGAAAATTGCTTTGGCCTTAATGTTAAACGTAACCAGACGATCATTGTGCGGTTTAGAGTGGATGAGAGGCGTCCGCAGAGGTTTGTGAGGCCTCCGACGGGTGACATACATTTCTCTAAAGAGCGCCATGGGAGTGTGTTTTTTGGAGGATTTAAATGCCACTGGTGAGAGTTGACATTTAGGCTAAGTGTCTTTACCCACGGTCAGTCTGTTAAAGGAAAGGAAACCTTTACATTATGTCATGTTTGTCTTCTTAGCTCTGATTGACGAGGATTTATATGTCAAAAATACATCTAACCTAAACGCTGGAACTCTTGAGGATTGTGTGGTCTTCCAGTTTTGTTTGGCTCTTTTGTTTTTATCGCAAATATTCATCTAAACCCAAGAAATGCTGCATTTTAATACGATAATATACCGTGACTGTTACCGCGTTTTATCAGATTATTTTCGAGCAATCCTGGCCGACAAAGACCGAGAGAGTTTGTGGTTTTCAACAGCATTGACAGATGGTTTTTATCTCATAAGAAACAAAACATTGTTCAGCTGAATATCTCTGAGATCAAACGAAAAACAAATGTGACATTTGGTTTCTCTGGAGCGGGCGGGCAAACGTCCAAGACGGCGAAAAAAAACTTAAAACAGATAATGCGACGATTGAAGTCGAGGTCCCTCTACCTTGTTTGGACCTTTTTCATCCAATTGTGGTTTTTTTCTCAATGCCAGGAAGGAGGAGGACAAGTCAAACCACACGGAGAACAAAGCAGACAGGAAGATAGAGGACAGGGGAGTTCAACGACCCAAAAACAAAGATTTACCGGGACAGGCTCGTCCTCATCCAAACACAGAATTTGTTGCGTAAGAGTCCTCAACTATTATCTAATACGATGTCTGGTTTGGCTCCATTGGTAGAGGCCATAGATAGACGCATATGTAGAATGTATTGCGGCTTTCCTGGTACCTTTAAAAAGGTCACTCGAGGCAGAGGATAGGTCTTGTTTATTTAAAAACAATAACAGACAAAACGCTTCCACAGTCGCCAACGATTTACATGTGACATCGGATATAATACGTGTTAACTTTGCGTCGTGTATCATCGCAAACAAAGAACGTAAAGCGCGGTCAACAAAAATTACGGCTACCTAGACTCACCTCTCAACCCCGGCGCAGGTGAGACGAGACGGGTATTGCTGAAACCACGCCCCTCTAGCCATGACTTTTCAGAATAAAAGCACAGAAAGAAGCCCGGAGTCAGAAGTTTATGCCGATAACGATAAACAAAAGAAAAAAGGAGATTGTGTAGGATGGAGTTGTTATGTACATCTTGGGGGGTACCCGACATCCCGCCATTCCGACATTGGTCTCTAATTGTCGGAGTGGCGGTATGTTACCATGCTATCAAATGTCCCGTCATTCCGACAGCTCTTGTCTGCTATGGTCGGCTGCGGAGCCCTCTGTGCGGGTTCGGCGGGGATTAAATGACGAACTGCGTCGGAATGGTGAGACGTAGGAGTGGCGGGATATCGGAATGCTAAGATGTCGGAGTGGCAGCATGTAACCGTACATCTTGCACAGAATACGAAAAACGGAAGCAGCGCTGGAGAGGGCGGTGGTCAGTATGCTAGTTACCTCGCGTTTGGAGGGCGGCGTATTGTCTCCCGCCATTTGCTTCTTCGTTTCTCTCTAGGCATGCGTAGATTTATTTTATTAATGATTACAATGATCATACAGTTTATTAATAAAATCGGTAAAACATGGAATCATGCGATTAAAACATCGGACCAACAAACGTGCGGCACCCCCCACCCACCCTGGACTGACAACTGTTCGGCGTTCATTGTATATACCCACCTTGCGCCATCGTAACCATGTATTGTTTCTCGTAGTCTTGTTTAACCTACCGTCTTTCAAACACAGCGCCCACGTGACCCGAACCCAGCGAAACCAATGGCAACCAGACAAAAGTAACTGAACACAGGACAACCGATAAGCAAAGCAACGCTAGCCTGGCTGGGCCATCCAGTTGCGCGAATCACTTGCCGTTCCTTCCCACAACAGTCTGGACTTCGGCCAATTGGGAGCCCTAAAAGTGGGCGGGAGTACTTTCCTTGATAGACAGACTACTGTAACGGATCACTCCCAATTGGCGGAAGTCCAGACTGTTGTGGGAAGGAACGGCAAGTGATTCGCGCAACTGGATGGCCCAGCCAGTTTAAAGCAACACCTCCTCGCTAGGTGATGCCACCTCGAGAACAGCACCCTCTGGTGACGAGCTGCAGTATAGGTAACGGATCCTGCCTCCGGACAGCAGGAATTGCGAGAACTCACAAGAACCCGCAGATTCACCAGCAATCGCGTGATATCAAGTTGAAATTGGGGGTTAAGCTTTGCCAATCTAGGCTGTGCACTTTACTGCCCCCTACTCTCCAACGTTCACTGGAGTAGATTTCAACAAAGGATCAAGAAGTACTGAGTAAAGTCAGAGGAGGTAGACCGGTTATGGATGCTTTAGACTGCACACTCCACCTTCTTATAGACCTGTCTTTGCCGAAAAAGGTAGGAAAGAGGAGAAAGAAAACAGATCTGCAAAGAGATAGTCCGATAAAAGCCTTAGTCAGGCCAAACCACGCTCTGTTTTTGGACGTTAGATAAATACAGAGAAGGCAGAGCGGGAGGAGAAGCAGAATTAAAATGTCCCCACAGTAATGAAAATATCCACTTATTATGTAAATGTCGGACACAATTATGGCTCTCAGTAATTCAAGGTTTATAAACAACCTCGTCGCTTCCTCCCGCTGAATGAGAGCGAGTGATCTCATTTATCTCCGCTTCATTAACGCTCTATTAACTGGAAACTGAGGCGGGACGGGAGGACGAGGTTAATGACGAGAGCGTAGAGAAATAATGAGCAGGAGGAGCACCCATGGGAGAAGACAAATATGTGATCAGAGTAGAGAAGAAACGATGGAGGAAGAGTCTGAGAGTTTCAGCAGGTGGTACTTTGTTGTGTGAAATCTCCTCCGGGGTTTTTAAAGCTAAACCGCCTCCCTGAAAACATTAGCGTGGCTTTGCTAGAAATGACGAGTCATGCTTTTATCACAACAAAAAGCAGCTCGGCTTTTAAACCCGTACCTCTAAAAGGTCTCAAGTGGCCTTCAGCGGCTCCAAATTTCCGGACGTTAAATGATTCACTGAGCTCAGTCCACAATGGTGCTGACAGATTTATCCCACTGAAGTCTGCTGGTTAATTTGAGGAACAATGGACCCTGACAGAAGCGGGCTACTGTGTGTTTTGTTTCATTAAAAAAGAATCAGGACTTTTGTTACGAGAAACCGCGACGATATTTGATGTTCTGGATTGTACAACGCTCTTCCTGCCGGGTCGAAGGGGAGTTGGGGGCTGATTCCCGCCAAAATAGCTGGTTTTATCACATGAAACTAAAAGTGCCCGTGAAACTCCACGGAAACTAGAATGCTTTTGTTGCCTCTACCATAGACTGTATATACTATGGACAACTTGGTTCCACATTCCACCACTTGCGTGGTAGCGTTGTACGCATTTGGCGGGAGAATTGTGTTTCCCCCGGGTGAGCTACGCAATCTTCGTACGCTCAAAGGCTGTATCAAGTGTCAATCGTAGAAAACATGAACCTCCTAATAAGTTTTAAAAATGGAGCTTCACAGAAAAAAGAGGACTTGAGCGCAAACCAGTCTTACAGGCGATTTCCACCGCATCCGGAACGGCTACTAAAAGGTCGTATCTGCTGATCGTAACCATTCAAGTTAATATGTCAATTTACACCGACTTCTTTCCGTTCCATTGCAGATCGCCGGACTCCACAGCTGATCATAAGAGTTCTATTTTTTCCAGACGCCAGAGCATGGTGGATAAATTCAGCACAGATTAACCCGTGCTGGAAAGGAAGTCGGGCACAGACACAAAATAAAACATCCGGTATTTCACACCATGCAAACAGGTGAGGACGAAGAAGTGAAAGGTTTTTAGATGTTTAGATGCTGATTCTAGAAGTCTAGAAGTAGATTTCCTCCTCTGGAAGGACACAATCTACTGCTTATATGGTTAAACTATGTGGCTAAAGACAACTTGTTATCGTGCGATTGCATGTGAATCTGCAATTTCTTGTGAGTTCTCACGATTCTTGCTATCCGTAATCCACCACGAAGTTCGCCTCACAAACGGATCCGGTAGGAACTGCCTGTTGGCGAAAATCGCTGCTGTTCTGGTTGCGGTGGAAATCCAGGGTTAGTCTGTTGCTTAGTTGGTCAGCATATGAGTCAAAATCATAACAGAACAGAAAGGAAGTGGCGAAGGACGAGTGGCAAACGCAGAGTAACAAACATTTTTACTACAGCTGTTAAAAGAAAAGGAATTGGCGGACGGCATAAATCGCTGCTGTTCCAGATCGGAGCTGTTCCGGATGCAGGTTTCTGACCTAACTCTTCTTCTTTATCTCCTCCCCTATAAATATAAGTATATAAAAGTTTGTAGGGGGAGGTGGAGTGTACGGCCAGACCTCCGTCATCTTTCTTCAAACTCTTCGTCCGATCTCTTTTCTCTTAGATTTTTAGCATTAAGGATCGTAAAAGTGTGGAGAGGGGTGGTTACAGGATGACAGAGCTAACTATTGAGCCTCCTGGAGGTGTTTTAGGCGCAGGACAAGGGTCGAAGTTCGGCCGTTTTTTGCATTTCCATTCAGTCAATAGGACAGATAAATGCTCAGCGAATAAACACGTCCTGTTTTGAGTTTCATTTCACTTCAACCTTCATATCGAAACATTAAAATGTGAATTCCTCACATGCAACTTTCACACACTGTAAACATCATTAACTTTGAGTAAATGGACATATTTTTAGACGTGATTAATCTCTGTATTCCAGCTGCATCGCATCAGACCCCTTTACTCTTTATTCCAACTCAGAAAGTCACAGATAAGCCATCTTCTCTAAATTTCCTGGCAGGAAGTCAAAGTGAGTCCTGTGTTGAGCGTTTCCCCCGTTGATGATATACTGTACAGTATGTTCTCCAGCTTTAATCCCTCTCCCTCTGCTGCCCTGAAGCCTCTGCTGCTGCTGCTTCACCAGTTTGATTCAATACATTAACAGACGCTCTTTATTCAGGTATAAATAAATCACTGGAGCACAAACCGTGGCCTGATTCGGCTTTATGCTTTACTGCTCTCATCTGTGCTGCATTCTGGAGACCGTGTGTTACGCAATTTATAGAATGTGCACAAATTACTGGATTAGTGTTATAAAAAATGGCGCCAGAAACTTTTAATTTTAATATTTATATAAAATATGCTGAAAAAAAAGAGTTTAAAGTTGTTTTTTTCCTCTCATCATAAAAACAAAAGCTAATTTATTGTGTTTTCCTCTCGTATCGTCGGCGTATAAAGACATAAATAATGTTCTGTATTCCGGCCGCGGCTCCATGACTCTCTCTAATGAAGGAACATTATCCTCACATTATTCTGACCCACGTTTTGTTGACAACAAATTAAACAGGAGCAGCAGCAGCAGCTCTCATTACGCTGCTCTCAGAAACAAATCACACACGAGCCCAGAGTGTGTGTTAGCGTGCACGGGTCCTCACACACACACACACACACACACTCCCACACACTCACAGAGGAGGATGTGCGTAAACAAAGAGGAGGTACTAATAGGTCCTCAGGCAGTTTGCAGACCTACTGTGTCAGAGTGGAGTCACCTGGACTGTAAACACAAATATACAAACTTCATATTTTCGTCTTAGTGGCTAAAAAATCTACAGATGTGAAGGAAAAATTGCAAAATTTCTGTCTGACTTGCTAAATGTAGCTATAATCACTATATACCTGCATTAATCTAATTTTCCCTTCCCTACATCGAAAACATGCCAGTAGGAAAGACTTTAAATCCACCTTTTTGGATTATTGGTTAGTCTGTCTCTTTTTAGATAAAGAAACTGATTTAGTGTTAGTTCAGGCGATCCGGTCAGGTCAAGTTCAGCCACAGTACAACAGCTCATCCTAACGTCAGTGTCTGCTTCTAACAGTTTCATATGTATCGTCACTCAGACCTGCTCTATTCTGCTCCCCCGGGGTCTTTCATGCTCTCTCTCTCTTTTAAAAATATTAAAAAATATATTTTTTATTGGCTTTCATGCTTCCCTGCTCTCTTTTTGTATTTTTATTTATTTATTTATTTTAATTAAGTTTCATGCTTCCCTGCTCTCTCTTTTTTATATAATGTTTTCAATTTATTTTTTTATTAGTTTCATGCTTCCCTGCTCTCTTTTTATTGTACTTATTACTATTATTTAATGAGTTTCACACTTCTCTACTCTTTTTTTTTTATTTTTGTATGAATTTTTTTAATTGAGTTTCATCCTTTCCTGCTCTCTTTTTGAAATATTTTTTTGAAATTTTTTATTGAGTTTCATGCTTTCCTGCTCTCTTTTATAACAGTATTTTTTATAATTTTTTTATTGAGTTTCATGTTTTTCTGCTCTCTTTTTATCATATTGAAAACTAAAGTACATCTCTCAAATATCTGCTAAATTAAATTGGAACATCTTGTCGTTAACATATGATGTTATATAAGAAAAAAATGAAGAAATGACTAATTATAATAATCTAAGTACAGTAATCTGATTGAAAAAGCTCCTGTAGTCAGATTTTTGCGAGTACTGGAGCATCACTCCGTCAAATTTCCTCTAGTCGACTCGATTTGATTAATTCTGCTTTAATTTTTCCTTGAATATTTTTGTGCTTTAATTCAGAGGCTGCAACAGCGGATAGAGAAGGGAACTTGGTAAAGTGTTTGGCAAACAAATAAGGTAAAAGGTTCAGGGTTTTTTATTCCTTTCTTACATTTTTTTCACTTTTCTTATTATTTGAATAAAAGCTGCAGCTTCTTCATGAGAATGTATCAGCCTGAGTATTTTTGCTTTCTATCTTGAAAATATAAAATAGAAAAAGTTTACAAACGTTGTGCACCTGCCTCATTTAAGAAAACAGAAGTAAGAATGTATTTCCAAAAGTTAAATAAGTACTAAAAGTTAAAAAAAAGACGCCTTAGACCTAGTGAAGAGATTTGAAGACACTTCATGATAGTTTTACATTAATGCATCAACTTTTTTTTTCATTTATGTGTTTTTGTCTTATTCTGTTTAAAGTGTAGCAGAAGCTTCTGTCTGATATGAAGTTTTTTCTGCTTCTTCATTGATTTTTTTTGCACCAAATCCCCGAGACAAAATCCTGATATGTGTATAAACCAACTCTGACTCTCACACTTAAAGTTGCGTCTCCATCATTTCACATGCACACTGACATACCTTCATTCTCCAGCACTTTATTCAACTTTATCCACGTCTTTTCTTTAAACTCACTGACTTCAACCTCGAGGACCCGAGTTTACTCCTCTTAAAGACAAGCGTCCTCATAATGCAGGTATGTCAACACTTCTTACACACAGCAGAGGTGATGCAGGTCCACAAACACACACTAAAACATAAACACTTGTACAAATGTACACACACCATTAGTACCTGTCGGGGAGTCGCTGTGGATCAGGTTCCTCTCTACAGGTCCTCGTAGGTCTCTTAGCGCCCGCTATCCAGAGTTTGTTCAGACTCACATTCACACACTGATCTGAGCCGAATCAGACAGTCTGAGGCTCTGAGGTGAAGTAGCAAGTGAGAGAGAGAAAGAGAGAGAGAGAGAGAGAGAGAGAGAGAGAGAGAGAGAGAGGGAGGGAGGGCTGAGTTAGATTAAGCAAAGAGGAGGAGGAGGAGGAGGAGGAGGAGGAAGGGGAGGAGGAGTGCGGCATGCTGGCTTTACTTTTAAGAGCTGAGAACATAAACACAAGAGAGAGAGAGAGAGAGGAGAGGGGAGGAAGGAAGGACGGAAGGGGGAGGGTAGGAAGAGGAAACAGGAAGGAGGAAGAAAGAGGAGGAAAAGGAAGGAATGAAGGTTAGAAAAGGGAAGGAGAAGAAGGTAGGAAAAATGACGGAGGATGAAAAGAGAGATTCCGAGTGCTACTCCAGTCATGTAACAAACCGAGAGATGATGATGTTCATTTTTAAAATCATAAAGAGGGGAAGGATAAAGGAAGACAGGAGAGACTAGAAGGGAGGGAAAGAGGGAACAGGGGGAGTGTAGAATTAAGGAAAGGAGGTGAAGGAGCCAAAGGGAAGGAGAGGTAACGAGGGAGGGAGAGAGTGTGAGTAGAAGGAGGATTAAAAGGCGGGATAAAAGCTCTATAAAAAGGACAGACGGGAGCGAGGAAAGGAAAGGAGAGGAGACGCCGAGAGGAGGAAAGGAGGAGACATAGAGGATGGAAAATGTTGAAGTAGAAGAAACAAAAGGGTGAAAAGTGTGAAAGATGAAAAGTTCTTAAACTGAGATCAACCTCAAGAACTTTTTATCTTTCACTAACTTTTACTGATAATCTCGTGACGTCAAAATCAGCCTGAATCTGACAACTGAGCCTGTCAAATAGTGTTGTGCTGTTTGCGAACGATTCTTGCAAAAGAACCGAATCTTTTAAGTGAACGTACTGAACCAAATCACTTCCTCGAGTGATTCGTTCGTTTCTTACTTCAGTTGAGCTGAAGTGAGAAACAGCATTGCTAGATGAGCAGTCCTCGAACGAGGGATTGTATGCACTGACACCGGAATCACTTGATGAACGAATCACACATTGAACTGCTCTCTGGAATCATTTTTGTTGGACAAAACTACCTTTTTTTAAGTGCTAAATTGTATCTTCCATACTTCAGGACACAGCATCCTATCATTGCAGCGGTTTGCGAGGGAACGGTGAATGTTCAGTGTGAATTCTTCTAAAAGTTCAACGAACTAATCACTCACTGAGCCCAATTTAACCCTGATAAATAGCATATCATAGGACACTTAAAACATCATGACTTATAAACAAGTTCATTTGTACAAACCTGTTTAAGCAACACAAACAAACACTCTCGTCTCCAAGTCCCAGAAGTTATGAATTAAACTGAATCCTGAACCGTTCAGTCGTGTATCTTTTGAACGAATCATTTTAGTACTGATTCTAGTGATTCAGTTCATCTAAAAGAACTGCAGTGCCCATCACTACCGTCAAATCCAATCTAACCTCCTCTCAAAGTTCAATTTATTCTCTAACATGGACTCCTTCGTCCTTAAAAGACATTTACAGGTCAGTCTTATTTTAAAACGTTGATGTTTTCACTTGTTTACTTCTGTTGTGTATTCAGCGGGGTTACTGTGAGCGTTTGTATCTCTGTGCATCAATAAATCGGAGAGGAAACTCCCCGCCTGCGACGCCGACTCCTCTCTACAGCTGTGCGGAGTCATGTGAGCGTCTAAAAGTGTGCGTCCGCGTGTGGAGAGACGCCTGGAAAACATCTGTCAGCGCTCCAGCTGTGGGGCAAAAAAACAACAGTGGCTGAAGAAGATCACACACCGACCTTTGACGTCTCAGGTCGAACCCAGGCAGAGTTCAGAGGTGGCGACCCTGATTATCTAATGAAGTTAAGGCAGGAATGAGGAGACGCAAACAAGCGAAGAAGAATAAACGGAGTCTGTGAGGGAGGAATGATCACAAAGGAGAGAAGAGACTAAACAAAAACAATCGAAAACTACAAAAACAATCAATTAAAATCAGATTTTAGTGAAAGAATAAGTTTTAAAAAGTTAAAAACTGCAGCAAATTTTTCCTAAAATCGTCTGAGTGTGTTCTAGTTTTAGCTCATCCAGAAATCGACTCACTCAGGACTCATTTATTCACTCCTGTGTCGTGTTTAATAATCAGATTTGTGGGATTCAGCAGCTTTAACAGTTCACTGATTTCAGGGGAAAAAATTAATTGAATTCCTGGAACAAATATTTTAATTAAAGCTGCAGCGAGGGTTCAAAAAGAGGCTGAAATTAATCATGATGCTAAAATGACATAGTATGGTATGTTTAAAATTTATAAAAAGATAATATATAAGTATTATAAAATATCATAGTACAGAATTATAAAAAATAGATCTTGTGGTCCTCATAGTCTTATTTTGTGTTGCATGGTTCTTGTATCGTCTGGGTTTATTTTGACATGAAATGGCCTTCAATTCGCCTTAACTGAGCTTTTTGTCCTTGTCTCTTTTGTTTGTCATTGTTATTATTATAGTGTGTTGAAATATCTGTATAATATAATTAGTATAAAATGTCATAGTATAGTATGATGATTGTAAGGATGTTTTTCTTTATCCAGCTCTGTCATCCTGTTGTGTGGTGAAGCTGTGTAACTCAAATATCACAGATATTTTGATGCTAGATTCCTGGAGTCATGAGCCTCCGAAAACCATCATAAAACAAGGACCTTCTACACCTGTTCAACATCATTTATCATATATTTGCTTTGTTATTACCCTACATGGACTCTCCTTAAGGTAAAATAGATGTAAGCAGAATGTTTGGAAATGTGGATGGCTATATATACCTGAACAGTCTCAGACCAGTCTTTGTTACACTTGTGGCATGTTGAAGCTGTAACCCAGATCTGCAACCAGTAAAGCCTGTCAAACTGATGATTCCTGTGGACCTTCCTTTCTTTTACATGTCTTAACATAAGCAATGCATCCTTACATATAGAGTGTTTAAAAATAAAAGTTAAGTATTATAATGTCATAGTATAGTATATAGTAGGGTATGAAAAAAACATATTATCATTATGGTGTGAAAAAGGATAGTATGAGGAAAATATCACATTTAAGTATGACAAAAAATGTCATAGTATAGTGTGATTATAATATCATAATATTGTATGAAAACAATGTCAAAGTTTGGTACCATAAAAATATCACATTGTAGGATGAATGATATATCATAGTATAGTTTGCTAAAAATGTCATAGTATAGCATGATAAAAATTTAAAATTTTGGTGTTAAAAAAATATGTCATAGTTTAGTATGAAAAAAATGACAGTATAATATAATGAAAATATCATAGCATAGTATGTTAAAATTTCTAATTTTAGTGCGAAGAAAAAATTATATTTTAGTATGAAAAAGATTTTAGATTTAAGTATGAAAACAAGTCATAGTATAATATGGCAAAAGGTTCAAATTTTGTTGTGAAAAAAATATATATTTTAGTATGAAAAAAAATAGAAATTTCAAATTTAGGTGTACAATGAAAAATTCATATTTTGGTATGAAAAAATGTCATAGTACAGTTTGATCAAAATGTCATAGTATAAAGCAAAAAAAAAAAAATCATGTTCTTAGTATGAAAAAATAATCAGATTTTTGTCCAGAAAAAAACAAGTCATAGAATACTATGACCAAAATTTCAGATTTTAGTGTAATTTTTTTTTCAGATTTTAGGATGAAATAATATGGGATAGTATTGTCTGATCACAATGCCATAGTATAGGATGTTAAAAATGTCATATTTGAGCGTTAAAAAAAAAAAATCATAATTTAGTTTGAAAAAAAAAAAAACCTCATAGTATACTATGACCAAAATTTCAGATTTTGGGTGAAATTTTTTTTTCAGATTTTAGGATGAAATAATATGGGATAATATTGTCTGCTCACAATGCCATAGTATAGGATGTTAAAAATGTCATATTTGAGCATTAAAAAAAAATCATAATTTTAGTCTGAAAAAAAAAACGTCATAGTATACTATGACCAAAATTTCAGATTTTGGGTGAAAAAAAAAATTCTGATTTTAGGATGAAATAATATGGGATAGTATTGTCTGACCAAAATGCCATAGTATAGGATGTTAAAAATGTCATATTTGAGCATAAAAAAAAAATCACAATTTAGTCTGAAAAAAAAAAACGTCATAGTATACTATGACCAAAATTTCAGATTTTAGGGTGAAAAAAAAAATTCAGATTTTAGGATGAGATAACATGCCATAGTATTGTCTGATCACAATGCCACAGTAAAGGATGTTAAAAATGTCATATTTGAGCATAAAAAGAAAAACTAAAATTTTTGTCTGAAAAAAAAAACCTCATAGTATACTATGACCAAAATTTCAGATTTTAGGGTGAAAAAAAAAATCCAGATTTTAGGATGAAATAATATGGGATAGTATTGTCTGACCAAAATGCCATAGTATAGGATGTTTAAAATATCATATTTGAGCATAAAAAGAAAAACTAACATTTTAGTCTGAAAAAAAAACGTCATAGTATACTATGACCAAAATTTCAGATTTATATGGGATAGTATTGTCTGATCACAATGCCATAGTATAGGATGTTAAAAATGTCATATTTGAGCATTTAAAAAAAAAAATCACATTTTAGTCAGAAAAAAAAAAACGTCATAGTATACTATGACCAAAATTTCAGATTTTAGGGTGAAAAAAAAAATTCTGATTTTAGGATGAGAAATAACATGGGATAGTATTGTCTGATCACAATGCCACAGTAAAGGATGTTAAAAATGTCATATTTGAGCATAAAAAGAAAAACTAAAATTTTTGTCTGAAAAAACCTCATAGTATACTATGACCAAAATTTCAGATTTTAGGGTGAAAAAAAATCCAGATTTTAGGATGAAATAATATGGAATAGTATTGTCTGACCAAAATGCCATAGTATAGGATGTTAAAAATGTCATATTTGAGCATAAAAAAAAAATCACAAT